TGGAGATTCTTCAACGTAATCCTGAGTTCTTGGCGTTTGCTTCTCCGAATCCAAGGATATCTAGTCTGTGATCTTTATGTCAGGTATGAATGTATATGTGCTAATATTTTCTAACTATTTATCAATTTGTTTCTTGGGTATAGTTAGTTAACAAACAAAAACTTAAAACTCGCCGTTTTTGACGAAACTATGAGGCTTTTTTTTTTTTTTTTTTTTATATATAAATATAAAGAAATGGCACGAATTAGATTTCTGAATAGAATTAATGTCTTGAATTTCTAATTGAATTTTCTGATACTTTTATTTTCTCTATTCAGGATATCTGTCATTATAAATTAAGGAAAAGACATGAAGTAAATTCACTGGCCAAACAAGCAGTATTGCACGTGACTGTTGCTTTTTCTTGGCCAAACAAGCTGGCCAAACAAGCAGTATTGCACGTGACTGTTGCTTTTTTGAAGCCTTTTATGTATTGGGTGACACTAATTTCTTTGTCTTAAAGTTGTTTTAGCTAGCTTTTGGTTTGTTTTATTTTGTTTAAGCTCAACGTACTGTTCTGCAATTGCTAGTTAATGTGGTTTTTTTTAGCTCTTTGATTTACTTTTTCTTTCAAACTCTGCCTGCCTTTTGTTTTCCTTTCTGCATTTTGCCAATGCAAATTATAAATATTAATTAAATTATTTTGAAATGTAGGTTAATAAAATAAGGACAAAGGAAATGAGCTGCTCTGGGCTTATGTGAAAAGAAATAAAAAATTTAAAAAAAAGAAAAGCAATTAGATCCTTCATTGGAATTCAAGTTTCTTTTTAATTCAGGGAAATATTGTCAGACGCTCATCTTTTATGTCTGTTATACCTAATATCTATTTGGTCCATTTATTACATTTTCAAATAATAAGTCAATCTAAATTTGGGCGGTTTAAGGAGATAGAAATTAAATATGGGTAAAAAATATCCCCAAATAGCTCCACCTCGTTCTTCTCTGCGTTTTGAATTTTAGTTTCTTGTTTCTTTTTTTCCTTTTTTTTTTCTCTATCGAATTTTTTTTTCGTTTGCCTAAAAATTAGTCTCTTTATCAATTGTCAGTTAGAGAATGAAAAATCCGGTGAAGAAGGTGTGGCTTAAAAATCAATTTTTAACTTATTGCTTGTTTGGTTGTTAAGAAAAAGAAAGAAAGGGTAAGAAATTCTTGATTGAGAGAGTGTAAAGAGAGAAAATGGTGGAGAGTGTCAATCTCCTTTTAGAATTAAACAAAAAAAAAAAAAGATAACAATTCCCATTTAACTACACACTCTCCTCTTCTTTATTTTTTTGTTTAAAAGAAAATGAAAAGGCAAATCTCGGTCATCACTCTCTTGTTCCTGTCATCGCGAAGATCCTCAACGTTCCTTTTTTATATTACCAACTATCATATCCACACAATTTCCGCATTTAACTACACACTCTCCTTCTTCTTTATTTTTTTGTTTAAAAGAAAATGAAAAAGGCCAAAATCATCGGTCATCACTCTCTTGTTCCTGTCTCGCGAAGATCCCTCAAACGTTCCCTTTTTTATATGACCGAACTATCATATCCGTAACCTTCTTTCTATTGCTTTCATCTTAACGCTCTTTTTATCTTTTTTTTATCTTCGTGTGTCTTCTATAGTTTTTTAATTTTTTTTCTTGTTTTGTTTGCTTCTTGTTTTTGATTTGCTTATTGTGTGGACCAGAGTAAATTGGATAAGATTTGTAATAATCGGATCTATGGTCTGTATACAAAACTCTTGATTGAGATTTAGAAAGAGGGATGATGGTGGCAATGCCAGCAGCAATCCAGCAACGTTGCCGGCAAGACACAGTTATGCCTTCGTTATCTTGTGTTTTAATTATGGTTATTGATATCATTTCATAACAATTTAACATTTGAAAAGTGTAAAAAATGAATAAAGGGGTAGTGGGTGTGAAGGATCTAAAACATAAGAGTATAATAGTGTATTTTAAAAAATACAAAGTAAAGTAATTATTTTTGAAAAAATATAGAGATATTATTATATTTTTCCCTTTAATTTATTTAACTCTAAATTGACATTGAGAGGTTCTCCTCTTTTTAGTCATTATCCTAGTACTGTCAAAACAGTACTAAGCTCGTGGACAGTCTGGGATCGCACGTAATTTTTTCGAATATGAACAAAAGATTTAAAATGAGTTTTTTTAATGAGGCCTATTTTTTATCAAAGCCCGCGTGGGCCAAACGGGCTCACAGGCGCCCGCTTTAAAACAATATATATATGCATATATATTACATAAATTGACTGAGAGAGCTTGCTTCCCTTTTTTTTTTTTTTCCATTTTAGAGCTTTTTGAATGGACACAAAGTCGATAGAAATCAAGAAAGTAGTAAAGTTAAAAAAAAAAAAAAACAAAGGCTCAATAGCAAAATCCAAGAAAGTAGTTAAGAGTTGAAAAAAAAAAGAAAAAGAAAAAAAAAACAGAAAGCACAGATTGTTCAACGAACAGGACATGTTAGGGCCGATCTGACAGGGCCCGTTTGGACCAGATCGAATTTGAATAAATAGAGGCTATTTTTTTAATGTACGTTTTTGCCAAAATCTGTTTGTTTGTAATCAGGAGTTCGTGGAGGGCCCGGGACAGCCCGTTTTGACAATAGCTAAATTCATCCATCAATATTATGGTTACTATTATTCACATATAGACTATATTCTATTTCAAAAAAAAAAACCAAAAAATGCATGGGATCATTCCTATAAAGAGATGGTTTTGTGCGTTATATATATGCATGGCATCATTCTACCAAAGATGGTTTTCCTCTATGTTGCGACTGTCTATGTATATGATATCGATATGAGGTGTGTGGAACTATTTTGCTAGAGTTGATCAGTTTTCCTCCTAATTGTGTTCATAGTTCTGAGCTTGTTGGAATTGCTTGATATTATCTAATCAGTTTCATTAAGTGTGGAGAGATCGTTTAGAATGGTAGTAGAAAAGAATTGGAGAAGAAAAGAAAATAGAATAATGTTATTGAAAGGCTATAGATGAAGATACATTCATCCACTTTGTTTGTTTCATTTGGAAGTGAATAATTTCTTTCAAGAAAAGAGAGAGAGTATATATGAGTAAGGTGAATTTGATAGGAGTTTTTAGGTTTGGGTAGTTTCAGGTGCCAAAATAATAGGTATGCTTATAATTTAGTTAATAATTTAATTTTGTAGCTTAATTAGAAGTTAATAGTTAGAAGGTTCCAATTATGTATTTGTATATAAATAATTTCATGTAAATGAAATAAATTAAGAGCTTAATTTCTAACTAATCTTAATTAGTCTTCTACATAGTATCAAAGTAGGTCTAAATCTGATCGACTAATTTCTCATCTGGATGTTTAATTTCAATATCCAAACCTGATATTAAAATAAGTGTTTAACTTTATTTCAAGTGCAAATATCAGATAGATACACTTATTTATCATTTGAGAGAAGTATCACATTACCACGCATTGGTTGAGAGTGAAAAACATTTTACAATGGAGGCATTTTATCACAAAATTTAAATTCAATCTACGAACTTAATTCACATTTGTGTTTCAGTGTCTCATTCTCTTTAATTTAAAACTACGATACCATTGAATGCAAGAGTGACCTCCTTCCTTTGTTGGGGTGAGAATAGAAGTATACAGAAATAAGAATAGTTGACTTGAAAGAGAAGAGATTGCAAAAATAATACGATAGGTGGGGCGGTGGAGAAAAGTGGTACTTAGAGAATGCTTCAAAGGAAAAACAAAAACCAAAAAAATATAGCAAAACCATAAAAATCCGACCTGCCGGATTCGAACCAGCGACCTAAGGATAACAGTTTCAACTACAGTCCTCCGCTCTACCAACTGAGCTAAGGTCGGCTTTCTGGTTTGTTCTCCATAACAATTCTACTAACTAAAGTGCTTATTTTATTAATAATCTTTTTAAAATTTTACTCATATTTATTAGGTGTAATTTCTTTTTATGTTTACATTTATTTTTTCATTTTTTAATTTGACAATACAAATAACTAAAAGTTTTCATTATATCAACTATCAAGGCATAAAAACATAGAAATGGAAGTACTACTCTAATGATAATGTTTTAATATGAGATAAAATTAACACTGCTTTTGTAGTAAAATTAATTTAATTAACTTTTAATTTTAAGAAGGGTTTGATTGATATGGTCCTAGAGTATGAGCTTGGACGGATCAACAAGGTTGCGGATGCCTTAAAAGAAAAGTACGAAAATAGAGCTTGAGGCAATTTGTATATTCTACTACGTATTTTTTAAAAAATAATGCGTTTCAATTATTTTATTTTATTAATTCTTGTGAAAGAAAATAAAATGTTACTATCGAATTGAGACGGATGGAGTATCGTTTGACTTTTTGTTTTGGATGTATTTTAAATTTTGTCAAAACTTTGAAACTTATAAATTCTTAAAATAAAAAAATTCTAATAGACCATCTCAATTCAGTTATAATTAAGTTCATCATTAAGTTATGTTTAAAGTGAGAATTGAACTCTTTTGATAAGTAATACTTTAATATTTAAAGTTTAAAGTTTACCGGATTATAATTTGATGAATGCTAGATTTCTAAAATTTTCGAACTATATATAATCTTTCAAGAATAATTAAGAAACTATATATACATATAAAAAAAAGATATCACAATATTAGAAAATACATTCCAAACCCCTTCGAATCAAGCACTTAATTATAATACAATAAATATTTTTACAAATAATTATTGATTTTGAGATAAATAATAATTTAATTAAATTACTTTTGAGCTTGTTATAATCTAAAAAAATTAATCATTTTCTTAATTATTGTACAATAACTTTAAACGACTTATATTTTATATTTTAAAATAAAGAGAATAATTATTAATTTTACTTTTTTTTAAAATAAAATTTATTTACAATAATATTAAGAATTATAAATACTCAAAATATATACTCCATAAACATACCAATACAATAGTAATTATCAAAATATAAACGCGGTCTCTTTCTCTCTGAAACCCCTCCCAAGAAAACATCTTTAGATTTATTTTTTACCCAAATGCAACCATAAACAACCTTGAAAAGGTATGCCCAGTCCCTTCTCTCTGTCCTCTTTTATTTTCTTTCTGGGTTTCGTAATTTATGCGTTTTTGAATGGTTTTTCTGTATAAGATTTATGTTAAATGGGTTTGTTTACATTTGTTAGTTTGAGAAAATGCAATGTTAATAAGCTGCAAAGAACTTTTTTGCCTATTGGGTTATTGAAATGGTTCTGTGTGTTCGTTATACGTATTCTTTGAATAAATATTGGTGACCTTGAATTTAGATCTATATATTTTATCCAAGAAGAAAAGAGAGGAAGATTTGTAGGTGACCATAATGTGTCTAATTTTAGTGTGCTAAAGAGGATTGGCATTGCGGGTTGAGCAAGGTCGAATAACCTTGTTATTGAACTCGTTTTATGAAAATTCTTTGATTTGTAGAATGAGGAATTTGCATCTGATTTTTTTTTTTTTTTTTTGGAGGGGAATTTGTATCTGATGTTGGAGGAATGTGAGAGATTTATTCTGTGTTTTCTTTGGGCTGAGAAGCATTGTGAACTCTTTTTATAGGAAAGATTTCTTGTTGCCCGTTATTATTTTCTTGGAAGAGCTTGTTAAAGAAATTTTAGATTTTGGCACTTTTGATTTGTACAATTTTGAGGGTTTAATTGCTGTGGAAAAAGAAATTATCTGTTCAATTTCTCTATTTGCTTGGAGGTCATGCAAAATAAATAGAGTTTTGTGCTTGCTTATCTTTTTCTTTTTAATTTCTACCATGAATAAATTTTATGTCAAACAAGAAATTAATTCTTACAGCTGAATGTATATTGAAAGTTGGTGTAATTGAAGGCATTGTCAATAGGATGTACAAGAAAATACACAAAAACTAAAAGCCGCTAGTTCTTGTGCATTCTTTTTGATGATTCACAACACTGCTCTAGGTGAATGAATGGACTTGAATGAACTAAGAAGAAGAGGTAAAAGTTTATTATGGCTATCTCGGTTTTAAAATATAAGTTTTTTTAATAATTATTTTATCTAAAAATATAAGTTATTTTTGAACATTTTAAAGAGAAATAAATAATATTTTTCAATATTATCTTTTTTTAATATTAGTTACAATAAATATTTTTACAAATAATTATTGATTTTGAGATAAGCATTGCTTTACAGAGATGCATGGATATCTTTGTCTAATAGACCCAAAGGATTTTTAATTTTCAGTTTATACTGATGTAGAATCTGAAATATTGTAACAAAGATTGAGACATTTTAGGATTTATTCTATTGCTTTGAATTTTTACTTTTCTAACATTTGGTTGAGGTAGTGCTTAATTTCAATAGAGACTTTGTGTTGCAGACCTTTCATACTCTGAGTTTCAGATCTGAATTTTAAGTTATTGACAATAAATAATCGAAGCACATTGAAACTGCATGAAATGCTATATTTCGAGAATATTTTTTTTCAGCACTATTTCTTGTGCTCAACAAACTGTGATATTTGGCAGATCAAGTTTGTTTATAGATTTCTATGACAAGAGGCTGGTGTTGGCGTGACTGAAGCTCATGAATGCATAAATAAAGGCATAGTTCAATTTTTTCAAGTCAAATTCTTCCTTATTTTTCCCATGTTGTCTCTCTTCTTTTTCATTTGTTTATCAGGCCAAATATCTATTTTATGCTGAGCAGTTGTTCTGGAAACCTTGTTAATTTCCAAGCAGCCATATCGTTTGATAAAACCTTGAGGACCACGTGTCAACAGCTACGTTATCACTGTGTAAGGGAATGGTCATTCAGTTCAGAAATGGATGTCAATGTTGCAGGTTCTCATTCCAGTGAGAAGCAATCTTTAGAGTGTCCAAAATCCACCAATATGGCGAAGAAGTCCGTAGAAAAAGAAGTGAGCATGAACACTTCTGTTTTTGTCAATCATGGTGAGTCTTAAAAAAAAAAAAAAATCCTTGTAGTTTTGTAACTTTATTATAAACTTCAGAATCGCAAAGTGGTTCCAATGGCAAAACTTTTTTGAGTTGGTGTTATTTCTATCGCTGCAGTTTTTCATGGAAAATTTTTCATGGGGAAAATTTTCTGTTGTGTATGTGAAATTATTAGTAATTGCTCGCTGTTTGGGGTTTACATATTCTCTTAACTATTATGTCTCTCAAGTAGTCCTTGAGGATGAGAAGAATTTTAGATAAAGGCAAGAAAAGAACAGATTGACTGTACAATCAATTGACTACGGCCGAAGAGTATAAATGTGATCCCTTTCTTATTTGCGTTGAGTCATGGCGAAATTCATTGGTTTTCCTTTGGATAACGTAATCTAGATCTTGTTGATAAGTGGTTACCATTTAATCACAGGTGCCTCATCATCTAACAAGCAGTGTGAGGAATAAGTTTAGTTAGCTTGTTAAACACCCTCACGCAACAGCAACTTTATAATAGGATTTAATCGGGTGATTTTGAGAATGAATTAAAGAGGGAAGGGTGAGGGTGACAAAAATTTTCCCAGCTAGTCCCTTAAAGCATACGGCTCTACTCCATTTCCAACCACATATTCGTTGGATACGCATTCACCACTAGTATTTGGAAACTCATATATCTGTGGATACTGTCATTGCACCATTATTCCGATAATGTTTTAGTATGAAATAGAAAATTTTCTTAAGTTTCAAGAGATTAAAAAAATAATTTCACAAAAATTATCCTACTTGTTTGTGGTCTCCTTGAGCAATATCAACACTGAACACAATATTTCACATTATGGTATATAGAGAGATACAATGGAATTGGACACAATATAACATCCTTATTTAAAAGCATGCCATATAAATGCAGACTTCTTAATCATTGGACAAATTTTGGCCAAAAAGTAAATACTTCTTGGGTTATTGTATTCCGGCATGTGTTCATAATACCAATATAAACCTGCACCATGTGCTCTTGTCAGTACATATTTTTCCTGCTTTGCTTTTGATTCAAATGTATTCGTTTTGAGCCTAATTTAGCCAAATGTATCACTGTAGCTGCAATAGCTTGGCATGAGAATAGAAGAAAGTGGGTAGGAAATCAATCTCGACAATCAAAAACAGTGGCAAAGGATCCAATCATAAGGTGGTATAATTTACATTCACTTCTATTGTACAATGATGTTCTTTTTTAAAAAAGAAAAGTAGAAAAAGAATTGTTAGTTTAGTATTTGCAGTAATGTTACTCCTCCTCATTGGTACAACCCAATAACCGTGACCTTAACCCATCAAGAAGAGATTGGCCTCATCACAATTGTTATTCTTTTTGTAGTAGTTGCAAACTTATTAAAATTTATGTTTCAGTAGAGTTGTTTTTTCTATCTTAGTTTCTCTATTTAAGGTTGTCGCCTCTATCATGCAGACTTTCTGTTTCCATTGGCACCTAAAAAAAAAGTTGTAACAATTAGTTGGAAGGTAGAAAAAGAGAAACAACAGTTTTTGCAGAGTGAAACCTGATCAAAGAAATTTATTTTTGGTACTCGTGATTATTCTGCGAAAATTCATCCTCATGCAATTACTCTGCTGGATGAATAACAGAGTTGATCACAAGATAAAACCATTACATCTACAGGCCTCATGAGTTAGACCTGTTAATGTATTTCTTAGTTATGTTGGAAATATGGTATGTACTATTTTGAATTATTGCTTAATTTTTTCTCCTAAATATGGTATGTACTATTTTGAATTATTGCTTAATTTTTTCTCCTTTTAGGTGTTTTTCAAGTTCTGAATTTGAGAAGTATAAACTTGAATTAATTGCTATAGGAAAAATAATGAATTCATGAATAATGGTAATATTAGTAAAAATATATTGCTAAAATATATATTTTAAGATGTATGAGCTTTAATATATTTTTAAAAATATATTGTTAAAATAATTCAATGATTATTTTGAAATACTCATGCTGCGAAAAGTACCATGTAAAATATATTTTAAATGGTAGGGACCTATCAATAAATTATTTTAAACATTTCTTCCAAAAGAAAAACCACTTGACATATTTTTGACACTTTCAAAGAGACTGCAGGCTCACAATTATACCTCTTCATGAGGTGGAGTGTTTCTTTGGAAGATCAAAGAGACTAGTTTTGGATTATCAAATAAGTTAGGAAAATGTTTTCCCACGTAGACAAGAGTATATCATTTTCTTAATTGTTAACTTCTTAACAATGGAAAAATATAAAAAATATTTTTTTTTATAAATTATTTTACAAAAATAAACAGATCCGAAGATAAAATATTATGTATTTATTTTCTTTAGCTATTGCCTTACAAATAATAAATATTGTCAAAAAGTACTATTAACTTTCATTCAATTTTCTTACACCTCTTCTCTTTCACCATTCCCAATAAAGTTCGAGTAAAGGGCAGTTAAGTAAATGTCTTTATTTCATTTACTGAATTAAAATTTCCCTATATGAATAAGTGGACTATATAGTTTCTTTAACTTTTAAAGTTTTTTTTGTTTTTTTTTTTTTTTTTTTTGAGAAAACTGGAAAAAAATTTTTTTTTTTTTTTTTTTTGAGAAAACTGGAAAAAAAATGATTGAACAATTTTATTAAATGAAGCTTGTGATTTTTTTTTCAAGCATTTTCTTTGTAATGTTATTTTATTATGAATTTTGCCAAATGATATTAATTATGTTTGTCGCGTTCTGTGCGCATTTGCTAAATTTCTATTTTATTTAAACACTAAAATAACTATAAAGGTGAAGAAGACGTGAAATACTTGTTCCATAAATTATATTGATTCGCAACATTAATGTTATTATATTTGCATAAAAACCCACTACCAAATTATTAATTATAAAAACCATTTAATTATTTAAACATTTTTTTAATGAAATCATTGTTTCATCTGAAATATTCTTACCAAAATAGTTAACATCATTTATCTCTTCATAAAGAATACAAACCTTAAATTTGTAAATGGTTCATTTTTGCATCAGTTTAAGAAATAGATTTTGAAAAAATATTATTTATGTCATCGTAACCACAATACCAAGAAATATAATGTCAAATAATATCATATAACAACAAAATAAATAATAGTTGTATTAAAGAAATTTCCATTCGTAATAAATAAAAGTTTAGTTTATATATTAAATAAAAACTTTAAGAAATGAAAAAAAAATTAATAATTTTCTTTATAGAATTGCGGTGGTGGTGGTAAGCTGGAGCCTGGAGGGTTCTTCTTATGGGGAATGTTGATAAATCACAAGCAATGATTATTAAGATTTAATTATATATTATTGAGTATTAACTGTACATCAGAATCCCTAATTTGCAAAGTTTGATTTGTCTAATTCTATATATATATATATATATGTGCGCGCGCGCGCGCTTCTTTCTGTGTGCTATCAAGTACCACCTAATCCGGCTCGAGATTTAATCACAGTTAAGACTCTTTATTCCCTTTGCAGGTGTATTTAGTGGGATTTAATCTGAGAGCTTTTCTCATATGCCTAACCTGCATTGTCAACTGACAACCCATAGGTAAAAATCTTATCATATTTGATAACACATAGACAAAAACAAAAACAAAAAAAATTAATTGAAAAAAATAGGTTCTTCATGTATATTAACTTAATACGTTTGTATAAGTTAAGGAGTTTGAGTTAATAGTAAAAACAATCTCTATTATTATTTTTAATTATTATTTTATTATTTTTAATATTTTTAAATTATTTTTTTAATTGATAATAAATAATATTTAAAAATTAATTTCTTGATACATGAATGTTTTTTTAAATTAGAATACAATTATAACTTATATTCTATTTTGATAAAAAAATGTTGCAATTTCTAAAAGTCTATGAGTCAAATAAAAGTGTTTTAGATTTTATAATTATTTCAAAATTTATATTAAAATCAAACCATAATAATAAATTTTTTTTGCAAGGGAGATAAAATCTCAATCTTTCATCAAACTTAAATCGGAAACAACTAGAATTTCAATGTTTGAAGGTAGCTCAAACCAAATATGAAAACCAACATATGAATAGGCTTCGCAAGCTAAATTATGAGCGACTCTATTTGATTATCTCCTAACTAACAATAATAATAATAATAATAATAATAATAATAATTAGGCAATGCCGTAATTTTAAATCAAACCATAATAATAATAATAATTATATTCTTTTTTTTTTTCCAAAAAAAAGAGTTCATGTATCAATGCCTTAATTTTATTTTATCCATTAGAACTCTAAACTAATCAATGTTTACAATCAAGTTGATTTGGCAGGAATTTCTTCCTATATCAAGCTAAATTATTTTAGCTTATTTCTTGATTGAGGTAAAATTATTAAATTATTCTTAATAACAATAAAGAGTTTTAGAAAAAATGAAAAAAACTACTTCTCATACCAACCAAATTCAATACCAACCACTAATGAAAAAATTTTATGTCTATCCAAATTCAATATAAGATTTGATTAATGCACTGATTGAAGCTCGTACCAACCAAAATTACTTCTCATTCAATTTCAACCAAAATTAACTTCTCATTTCAATTTACTTACCACTTGTCTCGGCTCATTCCAATAAAAGTTGAACTCAAGGAAAGTGGTGACATTATTTATTTTTATTAAAAATAAATATGTAACCCATAACGTCAGATATATTTTTGTTTATTTAAAATTATTAATTTTTTTGGGAAAAGTGAGCTTTAAATTATAATATTTTGGGAAAAGTGAGCTCTGTATATAGATATGTATAATGTGATAATATCATGTAATAATATATAATATTTTTGGAAAAGTGAGCTCTGTATACAGATTTGTATAATGTGATAATATCGTGTAATAATATATAATGTGGTCAACCATTTTCTTTTTTATTTATTTTTTTCAAATAATCTTTATATTTGTATACAAATTTGAATTATTCTAGCCCAAATATTGAGATTTATATTTGTCCATATTTTGAGATTTTGTATCAGATTTGGTTTTGAGTTATTATTATCACTATTATGGTGATTTTGTCTAACTTCTTTTGTTATTTTGATAGTTAGGCAAAAAAAAGTACAAGATCTCGTCTCCCATACAAGAAGAAATTTGAAGTTAATTATATCGAATTTGTAAAAAGATCATAAAATCGAACAATGACCATGAATAATCACCAAGTGGAGCAAACAATTACCTATGCCACAAATATTATGTTTTGTCAACTCAATTAAATACTTCAAATCAAAATTACATTTTTTTTTATTTTTTATATAAATAATTTATTATTAGACTTTTTATTAAAAAAAATATATAAAAACATACTCATCTGTATCTTGATTAGGTAACTGCTTCCCTGATCCTATATATATATACTACAACTCACATAAGGGCACTACAAGTTTTCTCCAAGATAAGGGCACTACAAGTTTTCTCCAAGATACTGCAAATCTAGTAGCTAAGAGAGATGGAAGTTCAAATCATTTCAAGAGAGTTGATAAAGCCATCTTCCCCAACAGTTCAACACAAAAGACCCTATAAACTCACCCTTTTAGACCAACTTACTCCTACAACATATTCTCCACTGATTTTGTTCTACCCCATGAATAATATATCTACTACTCTTCAAACCTTAACCCACTTAAAAGCCCACTTAAAAGAATCTCTATCTCAAACCCTAAATCTGTACTACCCTTTTTCTGGAAGACCAACTTGTGATAACCTCTATATCAATCGTTTCAACGAAGGAGTTCCATTCTTTGAAGCTAAAGTGAATTGTTCCATGTCTGAGTTTCTCATTGTTCCATGTCTGAGTTTCTCAAGCTCCATCAAACGGAGTTATTAAACAGTTTTCTTCCATGCAACCCCTTTACCAAGGAAGTATCCATTGAAATACCCATAATAGCCTTCCAAGTAAGCATGTTCACTTGCGGTGGAATAACATTGGGTTTGAGCATGTCACATAAGCTAATAGATGCCGTAACAGCTTCTGCTTTCATGTCTACTTGGACTTCTTTACATCGTCGGGATTTTAACGGCGTTATAGCGCCATATCTCCACGAACCATCACTATTTTTCCCTTCACGAATTTCATTTCCTCAAGGCCATTTATCTCTAATGGAGAGTTTATGGTTCACCGAAGCTAATTACATTACAAAAAGATTTTCTTTTAATCCTAAAGCCATAGCTACTCTAAAAACTATGGCAAAAGGCGACAGAAAAAATAATGTAGATCAACCAACCCGAATTGAAACGCTTTCATGTTTCATTTGGAAATATTATATGCAAGCATCATCAATGGTGGAATCAAGTAGAGGAAGTGAATCTAGAACATCGATTTTAGTTGAAGCAGTAGATCTACGGAAGAAAACAAAGCCACCAATGCATAATGGGTCCATTGATAATGGGTCCATTGGAAACTTATTTTGGTGGGCAGTAGCAGTTGCAGATCCTAATGATAAAAAAAATACAGAGTTACATGAACTCGCAAGTTTATTAAGTGAATCTGTTGGGGTATATAAAACTGAGTATACACATAGTTTACAAGGCGATAATGGGCATGAGACTATGTCAGAGTACTGTGAGCAATTAAGTGAGTTGTTTTCTTTAGAAAAACCTGATATTTTTGCCTTTACAAGCTGGTGTAATACGTCAGCTACAAAGCTAGATTTTGGGTGGGGAGAGCCTTATTGGGTTGGAGTTATGGGAAAAGCAGGAGCTGCATTTAGAAACTTGACTGTTTTTGTTGGTTTTTGTTGATGCAAAGGATGGTAAAGGGGTTGAAGCTTGGATTACTTTAGATGATGAAAGAATGGAGATTCTTCAACGTAATCCTGAGTTCTTGGCGTTTGCTTCTCCGAATCCAAGGATATCTAGTCTGTGATCATTATGTCAGGTATGTATGTATATGTGCTAATAGTTTCTAACTATTTATTGTATGTAGTTTCATTTGTTTCTTGGATATATATGTTAGTTTGTACATATTCATAAAACTGATAAACTTTAAACTACGCCGTTTTGACGAAACTATGAAGCTTTTTTTTTTTTTTTTTTTTTTTTTTTTTTTTGAAATTGGCAACGAATTAGAATTTCCTGAAATAGAATAATTGTCTTGAATTCTAATAAAATTTCTGGAAAACTTTTTATTTTTCTCTAGTCAGATTCTATCATATAAATTAAGGAAGAATGAAGTAAATTCACTAAATTCACTGGCCAAACAAGCAGTATTGCACGTGACTGATGCTTTTTTGAAGCCTTTTATGTATTGGGTGACACTAATTTCTTTGTCTTAAAGTTATTTTAGCTAGCTTTTGGTTTGTTTTATTTTGTTTAAGCTAGCTTTTGGTTTGTTTTATTTTGTTTAAGCTCAACGTACTGTTCTGCAATTGCTAGTTAATGTGGTTTTTTTTTAGCTCTTTGATTTGCTTTTTCTTTCAAACTCTGCCTGCCTTTTGTTTTCCTTTCTGCATTTTGCCAATGCAAATTATAAAAATTAATTAAATTATTTTGAAATGTAGGTTAATAAATAAGGACAAAGGAAATGAGCTGCCTCGGGCTTATCTGAAAAGAAATAAAAAATTTAAAAAAAAAAAAGAAAAAGAAAAGCAATTAGATCCTCGTTGGAATCCAAGTTTCCTTTTCATTCAGGGAAAATAACTAATTTACTCTGGTGTTTTATGTCTATTACACCTGATATCTATTTCGTCCATTTTTTACACTTTTAAATAATAAGTAAATCTAAATTTATGCGGTTTAAGGAGATAGAAATTAAATATGGGTAAAAAAATATCCCAAATAGCTCCACCTCGCTCTTCTCTGCGTTTTGAATTTTAGTTTCTTGTTACTTTTTTTCCTTTTTTTTCTCTTTTTTCTCTATCGATTTTTTTTTTTTTGTTTGCCTAAAAATTAATCTCTTTATCCATTGTCAGTTAGAGAATGAAAAATCCGGTGAAGAAGGTGTGGCTTAAAAATCAAATTTCAACTTATTGCTTGTTTGGTTGTTAAGAAAGAGAAAGAAAGGGTAAGAAATTCTTGATTGAGAGAGTGTAAAGAGAGAAAATGGTGGAGAGTGTCAATCTCCTTTTTGAAAGAGAAGAGATCGCAAAAATAATAAGAAAGGTGGGGCGGTAGAGAAAAGTGGTTACTTTGAGAAATAACAATTCCCATTTAACTACACACTCTCCTCTTCTTTATTTTTTTGTTTAAAAGAAAATGAAAAGGCAAATCTCGGTCATCACTCTCTTGTTCCTGTCATCGCGAAGATCCTCAACGTTCCTTTTTTATATTACCAACTATCATATCCTTAACCTTCTTTCTATTTGCTTTCATCTTAACCTTCTTTTTATTTTATTTTTTTTTATCTTCGTTTCTTCTATATTTTTTATTTTTATTCTTGTTTTTGATTTGCTTATCTTGTTTTTGATTTGCTTATTGTGTGGACCAGAGTAAATTGGATAAGATTTGTAATAATCGGATCTATGGTCTGTATACAAAACTCTTGATTGAGATTTAGAAAGAGGGATGATGGTGGCAATGCCAGCAGCAATCCAGCAACGTTGCCGGCAAGACACAGTTATGCCTTCGTTATCTTGTGTTTTAATTATGGTTATTGATATCATTTCATAACAATTTAACATTTGAAAAGTGTAAAAAATGAATAAAGGGGTAGTGGGTGTGAAGGATCTAAAACATAAGAGTATAATAGTGTATTTTAAAAAATACAAAGTAAAGTAATTATTTTTGAAAAAATATAGAGATATTATTATATTTTTCCCTTTAATTTATTTAACTCTAAATTGACATTGAGAGGTTCTCCTCTTTTTAGTCATTATCCTAGTACTGTCAAAACAGTACTAAGCTCGTGGACAGTCTGGGATCGCACGTAATTTTTTCGAATATGAACAAAAGATTTAAAATGAGTTTTTTTAATGAGGCCTATTTTTTATCAAAGCCCGCGTGGGCCAAACGGGCTCACAGGCGCCCGCTTTAAAACAATATATATATGCATATATATTACATAAATTGACTGAGAGAGCTTGCTTCCCTTTTTTTTTTTTTTCCATTTTAGAGCTTTTTGAATGGACACAAAGTCGATAGAAATCAAGAAAGTAGTAAAGTTAAAAAAAAAAAAAAAGGAGGAGCAATAGCAGCAACATGAATAAAAGGCTTTGAATCAATACAAGCAAAAGAGCTTGGTTTGTCAAGAGATAAAGCATTGCAAAGTGCTTGTTTTGCCAAACAAATATGTATTTGAAGCCTTCTTTTCCATTGTCTTCCTTTTTTTTTTTTTTTTTATGCTAAAATTTATCCATCGATATTATTGTTACTACTTCATATTACATAAAAGACCATATTTATTTCATTATAGGACCAATATATATATATATAAAATTAATATATATAATATATATATATATAGCATGGCATCATTCATACCAAAGAGATGGTTTTCCTCTATGTTGCGGGCACTGTTCTATTATATATATGCATGGCATCATTCTACCAAAGATGGTTTTCCTCTATGTTGCGACTGTCTATGTATATGATATCGATATGAGGTGTGTGGAACTATTTTGCTAGAGTTGATCAGTTTTCCTCCTAATTGTGTTCATAGTTCTGAGCTTGTTGGAATTGCTTGATATTATCTAATCAGTTTCATTAAGTGTGGAGAGATCGTTTAGAATGGTAGTAGAAAAGAATTGGAGAAGAAAAGAAAATAGAATAATGTTATTGAAAGGCTATAGATGAAGATACATTCATCCACTTTGTTTGTTTCATTTGGAAGTGAATAATTTCTTTCAAGAAAAGAGAGAGAGTATATATGAGTAAGGTGAATTTGATAGGAGTTTTTAGGTTTGGGTAGTTTCAGGTGCCAAAATAATAGGTATGCTTATAATTTAGTTAATAATTTAATTTTGTAGCTTAATTAGAAGTTAATAGTTAGAAGGTTCCAATTATGTATTTGTATATAAATAATTTCATGTAAATGAAATAAATTAAGAGCTTAATTTCTAACTAATCTTAATTAGTCTTCTACATAGTATCAAAGTAGGTCTAAATCTGATCGACTAATTTCTCATCTGGATGTTTAATTTCAATATCCAAACCTGATATTAAAATAAGTGTTTAACTTTATTTCAAGTGCAAATATCAGATAGATACACTTATTTATCATTTGAGAGAAGTATCACATTACCACGCATTGGTTGAGAGTGAAAAACATTTTACAATGGAGGCATTTTATCACAAAATTTAAATTCAATCTACGAACTTAATTCACATTTGTGTTTCAGTGTCTCATTCTCTTTAATTTAAAACTACGATACCATTGAATGCAAGAGTGACCTCCTTCCTTTGTTGGGGTGAGAATAGAAGTATACAGAAATAAGAATAGTTGACTTGAAAGAGAAGAGATTGCAAAAATAATACGATAGGTGGGGCGGTGGAGAAAAGTGGTACTTAGAGAATGCTTCAAAGGAAAAACAAAAACCAAAAAAATATAGCAAAACCATAAAAATCCGACCTGCCGGATTCGAACCAGCGACCTAAGGATAACAGTTTCAACTACAGTCCTCCGCTCTACCAACTGAGCTAAGGTCGGCTTTCTGGTTTGTTCTCCATAACAATTCTACTAACTAAAGTGCTTATTTTATTAATAATCTTTTTAAAATTTTACTCATATTTATTAGGTGTAATTTCTTTTTATGTTTACATTTATTTTTTCATTTTTTAATTTGACAATACAAATAACTAAAAGTTTTCATTATATCAACTATCAAGGCATAAAAACATAGAAATGGAAGTACTACTCTAATGATAATGTTTTAATATGAGATAAAATTAACACTGCTTTTGTAGTAAAATTAATTTAATTAACTTTTAATTTTAAGAAGGGTTTGATTGATATGGTCCTAGAGTATGAGCTTGGACGGATCAACAAGGTTGCGGATGCCTTAAAAGAAAAGTACGAAAATAGAGCTTGAGGCAATTTGTATATTCTACTACGTATTTTTTAAAAAATAATGCGTTTCAATTATTTTATTTTATTAATTCTTGTGAAAGAAAATAAAATGTTACTATCGAATTGAGACGGATGGAGTATCGTTTGACTTTTTGTTTTGGATGTATTTTAAATTTTGTCAAAACTTTGAAACTTATAAATTCTTAAAATAAAAAAATTCTAATAGACCATCTCAATTCAGTTATAATTAAGTTCATCATTAAGTTATGTTTAAAGTGAGAATTGAACTCTTTTGATAAGTAATACTTTAATATTTAAAGTTTAAAGTTTACCGGATTATAATTTGATGAATGCTAGATTTCTAAAATTTTCGAACTATATATAATCTTTCAAGAATAATTAAGAAACTATATATACATATAAAAAAAAGATATCACAATATTAGAAAATACATTCCAAACCCCTTCGAATCAAGCACTTAATTATAAGAAATATATTTTTAATCAAAGAATTTAAGATTAACAAGAAATTTGAATTTGTTTTAAAATATATTTTGACTGTTTCTATTCTGAACAATTTTTTTACCTTAAAAAGAATTGTTTGTTGCTTGGTTAATCCACCTAATATATCAAAATACCCTAAACTTGATTTTTTGCAATTCACTCTATTTTTATATTTTTTTTTCAATTTTATACAAGTAGTAATAACACCCAATTGCAATTAAGGATAAAATTGCGAATAAAAAAAGTATTTCTATCTATTTTTAGATAACAATATAATAATAATAAAATTTTAAAAATAAAATTTCGAAAAAAAAGGAGGAGGAGCAATAGCAGCAACATGAATAAAAGGCTTTGAATCAATACAAGTAAAAGAGCTTGATTTGTCAAGAGATAAAGCATTGCAAAGTGCTTGTTTTGCCAAAACAAATATGTATTTGAAGCCTTCTTTTCCATTGTCTTCTTTTTTCTTTCTTTTTTTTTTTTTTCCTTTTGTTGTTGTTGTTGTAGAGAAGATGAGAATCATTCATGGTTTTGACCACCGTGAAGCTTTTTCAGCTTCTTTTCCATCAATAATTTTTTATATCCTTATCTCTTCTTCGTGGGAAAGTAAAATGATATGGTTGCCCATTTGCATCAATTAAAAAAAAAAAAAAAATCAGTCTAGATTGATCAAAATTTTAATTTATCTACGGAAGCAATACACATATTAATTAAGCAATGGGCACGTGTTTTTGGTTAAATTTAATTTTTTTCATTCAACTTGGCAAATCAACCGTTGACATATATATGGCACAACACTTTTTATTCCATTTCTAATTCGGGCTTATCAGGTAAATTGGAAACACTTAATTAAAAATTTTTTTTAATAATTTAAATATTTAATTGTAAATATTGTCTATTCAGATACGAAAACTAAAAAACTTTCATGAGTTAATACACTAAATTTATAATTAAATTAACCCTAATTTTAACAAGGGAAAAATACAAAAATAACACGTGGAGAATCTCAGCCTTTAACTGGAATGCAACAGAGGCTATAACTTACGAAATGACCAAAATACTCTCGAGTTGGGAATAGTACTCATCAATTAGATAGGGTTAGGTGGAGGGCATTCTAGTAATGATGTGATAAAGACAATCTAGCTTATCCACTTGAAGCTGAAAAATATATCCCATCCACGTCAACATGGACAGAAACTGAATAAAACTGAAAACAGAACCAAAAATTTAAAGAAAATAAATATTTTGTATAGAAATAGTAAATACTAGTATATTTTTACATCTAAAAATGCTTTATTATTTATGGCTATCTCGGTTTTAAAATATAAGTTTTTTTAATAATTATTTTATCTAAAAATATAAGTTATTTTTGAACATTTTAAAGAGAAATAAATAATATTTTTCAATATTATCTTTTTTTAATATTAGTTACAATAAATATTTTTACAAATAATTATTGATTTTGAGATAAATAATAATTTAATTATTAGTTACAATAAATATTTTTACAAAATAATTATTGATTTTGAGATAAAATAATACAATAAATATTTTTACAAATAATTATTGATTTTGAGATAAATAATAATTTAATTAAATTACTTTTGAGCTTGTTATAATCTAAAAAAATTAATCATTTTCTTAATTATTGTACAATAACTTTAAACGACTTATATTTTATATTTTAAAATAAAGAGAATAATTATTAATTTTACTTTTTTTTAAAATAAAATTTATTTACAATAATATTAAGAATTATAAATACTCAAAATATATACTCCATAAACATACCAATACAATAGTAATTATCAAAATATAAACGCGGTCTCTTTCTCTCTGAAACCCCTCCCAAGAAAACATCTTTAGATTTATTTTTTACCCAAATGCAACCATAAACAACCTTGAAAAGGTATGCCCAGTCCCTTCTCTCTGTCCTCTTTTATTTTCTTTCTGGGTTTCGTAATTTATGCGTTTTTGAATGGTTTTTCTGTATAAGATTTATGTTAAATGGGTTTGTTTACATTTGTTAGTTTGAGAAAATGCAATGTTAATAAGCTGCAAAGAACTTTTTTGCCTATTGGGTTATTGAAATGGTTCTGTGTGTTCGTTATACGTATTCTTTGAATAAATATTGGTGACCTTGAATTTAGATCTATATATTTTATCCAAGAAGAAAAGAGAGGAAGATTTGTAGGTGACCATAATGTGTCTAATTTTAGTGTGCTAAAGAGGATTGGCATTGCGGGTTGAGCAAGGTCGAATAACCTTGTTATTGAACTCGTTTTATGAAAATTCTTTGATTTGTAGAATGAGGAATTTGCATCTGATTTTTTTTATCTGATTTTTTTTTTTTTTTTTGGAGGGGAATTTGTATCTGATGTTGGAGGAATGTGAGAGATTTATTCTGTGTTTTCTTTGGGCTGAGAAGCATTGTGAACTCTTTTTATAGGAAAGATTTCTTGTTGCCCGTTATTATTTTCTTGGAAGAGCTTGTTAAAGAAATTTTAGATTTTGGCACTTTTGATTTGTACAATTTTGAGGGTTTAATTGCTGTGGAAAAAGAAATTATCTGTTCAATTTCTCTATTTGCTTGGAGGTCATGCAAAATAAATAGAGTTTTGTGCTTGCTTATCTTTTTCTTTTTAATTTCTACCATGAATAAATTTTATGTCAAACAAGAAATTAATTCTTACAGCTGAATGTATATTGAAAGTTGGTGTAATTGAAGGCATTGTAATTGAAGGCATTGTCAATAGGATGTACAAGAAAATACACAAAAACTAAAAGCCGCTAGTTCTTGTGCATTCTTTTTGATGATTCACAACACTGCTCTAGGTGAATGAATGGACTTGAATGAACTAAGAAGAAGAGGTAAAAGTTTATTTACAGGTGATTGGATTGGAGTACTATTAGCATTGCTTTAAGCATTGCTTTACTTAGCATTGCTTTACAGAGATGCACGGATATCTTTGTCTAATAGACCCAAAGCATTTTTAATTTTCAGTTTATACTGATGTAGAATCTGAAATATTGTAACAAAGATTGAGACATTTTAGGATTTATTCTATTGCTTTGAATTTTTACTTTTCTAACATTTGGTTGAAGTAATGCTTAATTTCAAGAGAGACTTTGTGTTGCAGACCTTTCATACTGTCAGTTTCAGATCTGAATTTTAAGTTATTGACAATAAATAATCGAAGTACATTGAAACTGCATGAAATGCTATATTTTCGAGAATATTTTTTTTCAGCACTATTTCTTGTGCTCAACAAACTGTGATATTTGGCAGACCAAGTTTGTTTATAGATTTCTATGACAAGAGGCTGGTGTTGGCGTGACTCAAGCTCATGAATGCATGAATAAAGGCATAGTTCAATTTTTTCAAGTCAAATTCTTCCTTATTTTTCCCATTTTGTCTCTCTTCTTTTTCATTTGTTTATCAGGCCAAATATCTATTTTATGCTGAGCAGTTGTTCTGGAAACCTTGTTAATTTCCAAGCAGCCATATCGTTTGATAAAACCTTGAGGACCACGTGTCAACAGCTACGTTGTCACTGTTTAAGGGAATGGTCATTCAGTTCAGAAATGGATGTCAATGTTGCAGGTTCTCATTCAAATGAGAAGCAATCTTTAGAGTGTCCAAAATCCACCAATATGGCGAAGAAGTCCGTAGAAAAAGAAGTGAGCATGAACACTTCTGTTTTTGTCAATCATGGAGAGTCTTAAAAAAAAAAAAAAAAGTCCTTGTAGTTTTGTAACTTTATTATAAACTTCAGAATTGCAAAGTGGTTCCAATGGCAAAACTTTTTTGAGTTGGTGTTATTTCTATCGCTGCAGTTTTTCATGGAAAATCTTCTTGTTGTGTATGTGAAATTTTATAATCTGGTTGGGTACATATTCTCTTAACTATTATGTAATCTCTCAAGTTAGTGTCTTGAGGAATGAGAAGATTTTAGAAAGGAAGAAAGAACAGATTGACTGTACAAAATGGACTTCGGCCAAGAGTACATGATCCTTTTCTTTTTGGCTTGATGTCATGGGGAATTCATTGGTTTACTTTTGCGATAAGTAATCTAGATCTGTTGATAGTGTTACCATTTATCACACCTTCATTCATCTACAAATGCAGTGTAGGGAATATTTAGTAGACTGCTAAACAGCCCTCACCACAGCAAACTTATAATAGGATTAAATGGTGATTTTAGAAAATTAAAGATCGGAGAGGTGATGTGACAGGAAATTTTTCCAGCTAGTCTTAAAGCATGGCTTCTTACTCCATTTCCAACCGCATATTCGTTGGCATAGCATTCACCACTAGTTATTTGGAACTCAGTATATCTGTGATGACTGTTCATTGCACATTATTTCTCGATAATGTTTATATGAAAGAAAATTTTTCTTTAGTTTTTTTCAGATTTTAAAAAAAAAATTAATTTCACCAAATTATCCTACTTGTTGGTCTTCTTGACAATATCAAACAATCTGACACAATATTCACATTACTGTATTATAGAGAGATACATGGAATTTGGGAAATATATAATCCCTATTTAAAGCAATGCATATAAATGCAGACTTCTATCATTGGACAAATTTTGGCATTATCAAAACAAAAAGTAAATACTTCTTGGGTTATTGTATTCCGGCATGTGTTCATAATACCAATATAAACCTGCACCATGTGCTCTTGTCAGTACATATTTTTCCTGCTTTGCTTTTGATTCAAATGTATTCGTTTTGAGCCTAATTTAGCCAAATGTATCACTGTAGCTGCAATAGCTTGGCATGAGAATAGAAGAAAGTGGGTAGGAAATCAATCTCGACAATCAAAAACAGTGGCAAAGGATCCAATCATAAGGTGGTATAATTTACATTCACTTCTATTGTACAATGATGTTCTTTTTTAAAAAAGAAAAGTAGAAAAAGAATTGTTAGTAAAGATTGTTTAGTATTTGCCATAATGTACTTCCTCCTCATTGTACAACCCAATAACGTGGACCTTAACCCATCTTTGAAAGAGATTGGCCCTCATCACAATTGTTATTCTATTGGCCTCATCACAATTGTTATTCTTTTTTTAGTAGTTGCAAACTTAATAAGTAAATTTATGTTTCAGTAGAGTTGTTTTTTCTATCTTAGTTTCTCTATTTAAGGTTGTCGCCTCTATCATGAAGACTTTCTGTTTCCATTGGCACCTAAAAAAAAAGTTGTAACAATTAGTTGGAAGGTAGAAAAAGAGAAACAACAGTTTTTGCAGAGTGAAACCTGATCAAAGAAATTTATTTTTGGTACTCGTGATTATTCTGCGAAAATTCATCCTCATGCAATTACTCTGCTGGATGAATAACAGACTTGATCACAAGATAAAACCATTACATCTACAGGCCTCATGAGTTAGACCTGTTAATGTATTTCTTAGTTACGTCGGAAATATGGTATGTACTATTTTGAATTATTGTTTAATTTTTTCTCCTTTTAGGTGTTTTTCAAGTTCTGAATTTGAGAAATATAAACTTGAATTAATTGCTATAGGAAAAATAATGAATTCATGAATAATGGTAATATTAGTAAGAGGATGGATTTGGTGTAATAGTAAAACTACTCTGCTTGTGACTTGAAAGTTATGGGTTCGAGCTATGGAAATAGCCTCTTGCAAAAAGCAGGGGGAAAGCTGCGTGTATCAACCCTCCTTAGAGCCCACAAATGTGGGATGCTCTATGCACTAGGTTGCCTTCTAATGGTATATAAGTAAAGTTGAGTATAACTTCACTTCCAAAATATTTCTAGGCAAAAATAAAGGAAGGAAAAAAAAAAAAAAAAAGGAGCAGGAATAAATAAGAATGCAGAAGCCTGGCATCTTTAAAAAAAAAAAAAAAAGGAGCAGGAATAAGAATCAGAGCCTGGCATCTTTCTATGCCTGGATTCCCTACTCTGAATAATGGAAGGAAAAATGACTTCCAGTCCTACTAATCTCTCTTTTGGGACCTTAAAAGATCTTGAAAGGTATTTTGATATTTTGAATATTTAATATCATGTTTTAACTGATGGATCAAATGGTAAGAGAACCACTTAAGAAGATCGAAGAGGTCTTGTGATCGGCTGAGATTCTGATGAACAGATATGTGAATTGGTTTTGAGTGTGGACTGTTTTCTGATAAGGGTGGATAGAGACATAAAGCTTCAGCAAGTGCAAGAAATGATATATGTTGAACTTATATGTTGTAGACGTGTGATATATGGCCTACTTTTTGTCCCACCGTATCTTATTTGAAGTATATGGACAATCAAAATTAGAAGAAAATTATCTATTTTAATTTTGTAACTCAGCAAGTGTTTGTGGTTGGTTTTATGATTAGTGCAGCACTATACTGATAACATCTCAAGCCATTTACTCTGTGTTATCTGTCTTTGTAATTGTTTTTCACATTTACTCATGTTATAATGTAGAGAATAAATATTGACATTTTCTTTGCAGCTGGTCAATGACCTATGACGAATTACTGTCAACTAATGATCCCTTTGCCGAACCTATTCCTTTAACAGTAAGATTCTTCAAACTTAAAAACTTGTTGATTTTCCTTCTTTGTTGGTAACATCTTAACTGGTAGCTTTCGGTGAGCTGTCATGCAGAAGAGAAAATGAGAGTTAAAATGTAAAGATTTAAGTTAGAGCAACATCATTGACATACAAATATGAAGTTACCACTAATTGGTTGTGGAAGATAGTTACGATATTGCAGGCCTTTGATGTCCAGAAATAATTGAATATAACATTTGTTGATGTCAATTTCATTGATTTTGCAGGAGATGGTAGATTTTTTAGTTGATATTTGGCATGACGAAGGCCTCTTCGATTAAATAATTGATGAGGACATGATTAGTTATGGTGCAACCGAATACTGATAGAAGGTAAAGAGTACAAACTATTCACAACCTGAAATGCAGTCTAATTTGTTGTAGCTAATTCTTCTACTGTCAAAGTATGTTGTTAAAAGCCTCCATTGTACTTGTAATTGATACTGTCATATAGATACTAGTTAGCAACCAATTCTTTAACCTTTTCTCCTATTGTTGTGTTGTAATTTGAACAACATAAGTTATATTATATAATAATCATTTTTAGGCTAAAAATTTAATAAACAAAGCCATGTGTCTGTTGTTTTTGTAACTCTTTGAGAAGTTTTTTGGAGTTGTCTGGTAATTCACCTCTTTCTTAATATAGGAGCCATAGTTTTGTGGTTGACGGTATATTAAGGATTTGTTTGGCATTGAGTCGCCGGCCCCCCACCCCACAAAGTTTTTTACTACTTTTGTCAAACACAACCCCTCCCCACCCCACTGGACGAAGCTACTGATTGGAAGAGGAGGTCAATTGCTCCCTCTTAGGAGGAAATAAAATTGGTTTACATTTTCACAGTTTGAACCTAGTTTCTTTACTTTTTCCAGAACACTCTGGCCACTTTGTCCCCCTTCACTTATATATTGCCCCTTTCTATTTAGATTCTGGCCGTCCCTGCCCCACTCCTTTTTTTCTTTATATATACATACATGCATGCTGAATTATAATATATTCTCATTTAAATTATCATTCTTAAAAAAGGATATGTTGTTATAAGCAATGGTAGAGTTAGGATCCTAAGGTCAGGGATGACACTAATGTATAATACTCCCTCCGTTCCATTTTGTTTGCTTATTTATTTATTTTTTGGCTGACTCAAAATGTTTGCAAAATTTTTAAAATTTAGATATATAAATAATTATTTTTTCTATAATAATCTTTACAATACTTCATTAAATGAAGGACTTTTATTAATATCTTAATGAGTTATGGGTAAAAAAAAGACAACAACTTTTGTTGTCTATTAATATGCTTGTTTTGTCAAATTATGTAAATAAAATGCGATAGAGGAAATATATTTTAAGGGGGTTTACAAATTATAAATATAACAATTTAAGGGTTCAATTTTTAAATATATTATTGACTAGTTGGAAAAAATTTTCAAGTCAGGGCACATGTAGGCTTGGCCACGGTTCCGGAACCGGCGGTTACGGTTCCGGAAAAACTGGAACCGGAACCGAACCGAAAAGGTCCGGTTCCTGTTCCGGTTCCAATCCGGTTATAAAACCGACGGTTCCGATCTTCCGATCGGTTTTCCGGCGAATCGCCATAATTTTAAATTTTTAAATTTTGGAAGACCGGTTTTAAAAAAAAAAATTATTGAACATTAAAAAATTTAAAAAAATACACCTAAAAAATTAAAAAATACTTCAATAAATTTATTTTTTTTTTAAAGACTTGAACATAATTATTCTTTTTAAAAAAAAATTTTCAAACTGAATTTAATTTTTGTTTAAAAAAGTTTGAACATAATTTTAAATTTTTGAAGACCGGTTTAAAAAAAAAATATTTGAAACCATAAAAAATTTAAAAGATTACACCTAAAAAAATTTAAAAAATACTTCCAAATTAAATTATTCTTTTAAAAACTTAAACAAATTTCACAACAAAATTTAAAAAAAAAAAAAACCTGACAGTTTGGCTAGAACCGCCGGTTTCGAACCGGTTCGAACCGGCGGTTCTAACCGGCCGAGAAGAACCGGCGGTTCCAGTCCGTTCCGACCGGTCTCTGGAACCGCCAGTTTCCGGTTCCAGGAAAATTTGCAGAAAATTTGGAACCGGAACCGAACCGGAGTTTTTCGGTTCCGGTTCCGGTTCGGCCCGGTTCCAGTTACGGTTCCGGACCGGTTCGAACCGACGGTTCCGGTTCCCGGAACCGTAATATGGCCATCTCTAGGCACATGTCTTTTAACTATATGTGCCTCCACTGCCGCTGAATTTTCAGATATTTATAATCAAAAAAGTATTAAGATGCCTCTTCCTCCGCGTGCTTCTGTTGGAGGCAAATTCGACAAGATATATCAGCAAAAGGGAATAAGGTATTTTGTGCCTTTTGTTGATCAGGTGTATATATATATACACTAATGTTAGAGTCCGCGCAATGTGTGGAGCAATATTTAAAGATAAAATAATTTTTATAATTTTGACACAAATATAATACGAAAATTAGATGGTTGACACGAACACGACATGTTTAACCCGTTTAATATAATAAACAGATTAAGTAGGTCGTGTTGACTTATATACAACTCGTGTAACTCGTTTAATATCATAAATAGGTTAAGTGGATGTATTGACCAATATACGACACACTTAACCTGCTTGTAGTATTTTTAACTCTTAATCTATTTAACTCCAATCATATTTAGAAATAAATTTTCACACATAAATTTTCACACGTAAAATGCATAAATTCTTCAAGATTTATAATTAAAATAAAAAAGTAATACAACAATAAAATTTAAATAGGTTTTAATTGGAGTGTTTATATCTAACACTAAAATTACCTTTTTATTTTTAAATAAATAGGTCACTTGCCTAATCTGCGTGTCAACCTGCGACACAACACGTTTATATTCGTGTCATAAATGGGTGATTCATTTATGATACAAACTCATTTAACATCAATCCTAACTCATTTATTTCGCATGTTTGTTTGCAATTCAATTAGGACAAGGGTCTCACGTGACCCATTTTGACACTCCTAGTATGACTTGCATCAAAGAATACATATACACTATTAGTGTACTTTTCAATAGTGATAATAATGTTGAGAATTTAACTAATTATATTGAAATAAGAAATTAAGTATTTTTTTTATTTTATGTTTATGATTCATTATAAATTATTGTTTATTTATTTGAAATGAAATAATTATTGTTTATTTATTTGAAATATTAATGTATTATACTTATCTAGTATAGTATGTCCTAAGCGTGTGAATCTCCTACTTTTTTTAAAAATTATCATATCGTGTACATTCCGTATCGCGTGATGAACTGTTTTTTTTTTTAATTTATTTTTATATATTTTTTTATTAATGAATAATAAAAAAATAAGAAAGGACTATTTTTTTTTTCGGAAAACTTTTGTTACTTATTTTTTGGATATAAAAGAAAAATAAAATTAATTTTTCTCTACAAATTTATTTTTATAGTTTTTTTTTCCTTCTAATTTGAAGAGAAAATTATCTGAATTCTTTTCCCTTATATTCCTTTTTTATTTTCAAATAAAATAGTTTTTGCTTTATGAATATTAATTTATTTTTTTTCCTCCTATATAATATTATCTGAAAATATAATTATTTTTTCCTTATAATCCGCACAATGCGTTGGGTAATATTAAAAAATGAAATAATATTTTATAACATCATTCAAAAATAGTAAAATTATATAATAAAATAATAAATTGTATCTTATTGAATTGAGACATGCTGAAAGTTGCGATGATAAGATTATGTTTTCTTAAGTTCATGCGAAACTTTCATAAGGTATTTGCAATTGTAAAAGTCATTGCATGATATTGGACCTATATTTAAAAAAATGCATACACACTATTATATATGTTTCAAAAGAGATAATAATTTGAAAATTTAAATATTGAAATAAGGAATTAAAGATAAGAAATTAAGTATTTTTTTTATTTTATGTTTATAATTTATTATAAATGATTGTTTATTATTTGAAATATTAATGTAGTACTTATTTAATATAGTGTGTCCTAAGAATATGGATGTCCTACTTTTTAAAAATTATCGTATCTGTACGTTACCGTATCTCGTATCCTATGTCCGTGCAACTTAGCTCTTGGTATATGAAACTACTCCTTACACCAAGCTACTCAACCAAGTTTTTTTTATTACCAATAAAAATAAAGTGTTTTTTTTTATTTGCTTTTGTATCATTGAAATAAGAAATTAAGTGTTTTTTATTTTATATTTATGATTTATTATAAATAATTATTTATTTATTTGAAATATTAATATATTTACTTATGTAGTATACTATGTCCTAAGCGTGTGGATGTCCTACCTTTTTTAAAAATTATCGTTATACTATGTCCTAAGCGTGTGGATGTCCTACCTTTTTTAAAAATTATCGTATTCCATTTCCATGCAACATAGCTCCTAGTATATGAGAATATTCTATACACTAAGCTAATAAACTAAGATTTTTTTATTACCAATAAAAAATGAAGTTTTTTTTAATTTATTTTTGTGTCATTGAAATAAGAAATTAAGCTTTTTTTATGTGTGTGTATAATTTATTATAAATGATTGTTTATTTATTTGAAATATTAATATATTACTTATTTAGTTTACTGTGTCCTGTGGATGTGCTAAATTTTTTAAAAATCATCGTACGTATCCTATATTTATGCAACTTAGGTCCTGGTATGTGAGACTACTCCATATACCAAGCTAATCAACTAAAATTCCTTTTGACCAATAAAGATGAAGCATTTTTTTTTTAATTTGCTATTGTGTCATTGAAATAAGAAATTTAGTGTTTTTTTATTTTATATTTATTATAAATGATTGTTTATTTATTTAAATATTAATATATTGCTTATTTAGTGTAATATGTTTTAAGCGAATGAATATCCTACATTTTTTAAAAATTATCCTATCTCGTATATTTCGTATCTCGTGTCCCATTTCCGTGCAACTCAACTCTTTGTATATGAGACTATTCTATACACCAAGCTAATCAACTAAGGTTTTTTTATTACAATAAAAAAATGAAGTATTTTTAAATATTTTTATGTCATTGAAAAAAGAAATTAAGTTTTTTTATTTATTTTATGTTTATGATTTATTATAAATTGTTGTTTATTTATTTGAAATATTAATATATTATTTATTTATTGTAGCGTGTCCTAAACATGTGGATGTCCTATTTTTTAAAAAAATTCTCATAGCTGTATGGTTCAATTTATATATTTTTTAAAATTTCTTATATATTGTTTATTTAATAGTAATATATTATTTATTCATATTCTTTTTAAGCGTGTGGATTAATTATTAATTGTTTTGTAAGAAGAAATAAATTTATATTAATATATTAAATTAAATGTTAGAGATAATCTTTTTTTTATAAATATTATCTTGATAGAGAGATTATCCGAAGATATTAAACAACTGATCTTTTTATAATTTTTACAATTGTACTAGATTGTGTGAATTATAACATTCATCATTCTATAATCCAAAATAATGTCAAGTGGCAAACTGTACTACTTACATTTAGTTTCCATATAAAACAAACTACGCTGCTTATATAACGCTGCTTATATATTATATATATATATATATATTATATAATATATATTATATGATTATACTTAATATATATAATGAAAGCTGAAACAAAGAAAAAGCCTTAACATGTTTTCTTTATTCAACAATTTTTTTTCTTTTTTTTAGAGAATTTTATTTTTTTTTTTTTTTGTATTTTAATTGGCCAACCTAATTAATTTTTTCAATTTAATAGCTTTATAACTTGGATATTTTGTGATATTTTTAAAACCTAATCTAATGATAGGTCAATATAATACATCTAAAACTTCTAATCATCTTTTTTTTTTTTTTTTGTATTTTAATTGGCCAACCTAATTAATTTTTTCAATTTAATAGCTTATAACATTGATATTGTGATAATTTTTAAAACCTAATCTAATATAGTCTAATATAATACATCTAAAACTCTAATCATCTAATTTAATACAATTAAAACTCTAATATAACTAGGTTTATTTGAATTTGTACACGTTATTATATATAATCCCTACCTCCTCCGCAACTAATTGGCAACGTAATTTCCAACTGCGCAATACAATCTTGCTTATTCAACAATCTGGACATCTAGAAGAGAGAGAGATCGTCTTGCCTCTTCAAGAATGTAGAAGATCCTTCCTGTAGTAACTGCAGTAAAAAACCTCAACTTATCTCAACGCTCTCACTCTCAGGAATTTCTTAATGCTATATGTCGTACGTGATTTTTTCAGCAATTAAATTTTTACAGAAAGTCCCCGAAATTTGTGTTTAATAATTATTAAGAACCCGTGATGATTCTTTCCATGTTTTTGTTCATTTTTCCAGGCTAAATACTTCAGGTACTTGCTTAAACCTGTCACGTATATTGTTTGCATTGTGTTAATAAAATCAAGCTGGAAGTGGTAATTTTTTCTTTTTTTTTTTAAATTTTTTATTTCATTGAATTCAATATTCCATTGTTCCTTTTTTTATCTTCATCCGTAGCAAGGGATCCTTTCATTTGTAAGAGTTGTTTCCTTCCTGCCAGTGATGATGGGGCAAGGAAGGAAGACGTATTAGCTTCATTTATAGCTGATAGTGTCTACTTACGTTGCAAACCAATGAAATCATCACCCGCTGATAGGTAATGTAGAGCTATTACAACTGATGATTCAATTTGAAAGCAATTGCTATCATAAAAATCTAAATTTAATCTATTTAAACGGAATAAAATAAAAAATAATGCAATTTCCCATTATTATAAAATATATGAAAATGAAAAAAAAAAAGATAATTAATAAAAAAAATAATTAAAAATAACTAGATAGTGTATCCATCATTATCAGACATTTTTCACATTTAATAATTTTTTTCTATAGAATTCTATTTCTAAATTCTCCTATGCTATTATTTTTCCAAGTACCTAAATATCTTTAATAATGAAATGTTTCAAATTTCATTTTAAACATCATCTTTGACCGAGTTTCAATCTGGTTAGTTACTCTATTATTGGATTATTTTGATAATAAAACTTGATATAGATTTTATAATTGTTAATTATTTCAAGTAGAATTTTTAATTTTTCTTCCTAAAAATTTGGTTATTCATAAATAATAAAAATAAAATTATAAAATAATTAACAAAATAATATTTAAATATCCACTGAGCACGATTTTTTGACTAATTTTTATTTAAGAATGATCTCTCTAGCCGTTAGATAAAAATTTATACTGCTATTAACATTTTAATTATATATAAATTATTGCCACTATTTTTTAGTAATCTCTTCTGCAAAATTAGCTTTTAATATCTAATTAGTGGTAAAAGGTAAAACATCACACATTGTGTTTGACAATAATTTTTTAAGTAGTTTTTAACGTTTTGACTAGTTTAAATGCTAAATACTATCTTTTTTATAGTGTTCGGTACCATAACATTTGAATTAGATTTTAGATGTTAATGTAGCGTTTTATAAGAAGTTAAGGATGGTCGGCAATTTTAGTTATTAGTTGTTTTACTAGTAGTTAGTTGTCAATTATTTTATTAGTGGTTAGCTATTAAATATTAGATGTAAGTGATTAGTCATTTATATAGTGGTTTAGAATAAAAATGTTCGGTACAAATAACTGTTTGATTAGCTATTTAATATAAAATAACAAAGAGTGTATGAAAGCGGGAATAAGTTAAAGACAAGTGATGGGCAGGGATGGATGCAGGCTAGGCCAAGGGGGCCGTGGCTTCCCCAAAATAAAAAAAAAATTAATTTTTAATGTAAAAAATTTTTTTAAAAAAAAATTTTACTTTTGCCACCCATAATTGAGGAAAATTATTTTTTGGCCCCTTAACTATTTGGGCTGGTCTGCTACTGGTGATGGGTAAGGATGGGTATATGTCTCATTAAAAAAAATTATAAAACGCTGGTGATGGGTAAAGATGGGTATATGTCTCATAAAAAAATTCTAAAATCTAAGATAGATAGATATTGAGATATTGCATTACCAAGTGTTATAATTAATTAAGATAGTATTTTGACCTAATCAAAACACTAAATACTACTTCAAACACCGCTAACGTTTAGCTTTTAGCTTTTCATGAAAAAGTTACTCAAACACCTAACAACTAAACGCTATTAAAACAACTAACGGCTAACGAAGCAGTTAATTTAAGTAAACAGACCCGTAGAGTCTTTTTTTGTAGAATTGACTGTTAGTTGTTTTAATAGGATTTAGTTGTTTGAATAGAGCTTTTACCATTGTAACTTTTCATCAAATGTTAAAAGCTAAATATTATAAAAATTAACTTTTTATAATACGATAGTTTAACCTTTAAAAGTTAATTCAAACGCTATCAAATACTATAAAAAGTACAAAACCTATGAAAAATAATATTTAATATTTTAATTGGTAAAAACGTTAAAAATTACTTAAAATTAACACACTAAAAATTGCTTAAAAAGACTGTTAATTTTCAAGTTTTTCAGTTATTTTTTTGGACAAAAAGTGAGACAGACCCCTCATACCCACAATTTAGAAAACCTACTGCACATACAACATGGAGCATCCGGCTACCTAAGTGCATAAGAGCCTTTGCACAAACTTTAGCCTCGTGAGAAACGTGAGCAACATTAACAGTCCAATCCCCTTGTAACTGCCGCTAAATAAGTGGTTGGATAGAAGGAAAAAAAAAAAATTTTCCTCCTGATGTTTGAGAAAAATAAGAAGAGAAATGATTTTATAATAAAATTATAAATTTAATCTTTACTTCCTCTTAAAAAAGTACAATATAAAGATAAAATTTTAATTTTAATTTTAATTAGAAAATGCCATGTGAGTTCTATAATTTATTTTGTCTTCAGTATTTTCTTTACTCTCGAACATGATGAACGAAGGATGGACGAATTTCTAGTAATTTCACTTTGCCAAACGCCGAATTCTCGGTTAGCCTTTCTTGCCTTTTTCTTCCAAATCTTGCAGATTTCTGATTTCAGCTCTCAGAACCGCCAATTTTCCAGTTCCACCTCCTTTTCTCTTATATTCCCACGCACAACACAACCTGTACTCTGAAAACGATCCTTACCATACACGACCTTGACCTCCACAGGGTCATCCCTATCAACGATCTTGATCCTCCAAGACCAGACTTTGATTAAACTAAACTACACTAAAGACCCCATTTTCTTAGCTCACCCAATGCGACTGGGTCCCACGACAACAAAACCATACCAATAAATAGACGTTGAATTGCGTGCACACTTCTAACGGTGGACCACTTCATACGCAATCGCATTTTTCGCCTTTCCCGCCTCCAATCCAAAGCAAACAGCAAAGACTATTCTCTTCATCTACTACCTTACCCTTTGCTGACACGTCATAACTAATTTAAAAATCTAAATTACATTTAAGTCCTTAGTATTTAATTTATTATAAATTAGAATAAAGGTCTTTCAAAATTATGCTCATCCTTCTAATGAAATTTTTATTGTAATAACAAAAATATAAATATTCCAAAATACAATATAATAACCTACTGAAAAAATATTAATATTAATATATATATATATAGTAATCATAAACTAAAGTTTATTTTATAATATAATGATAAAGGTTAAGTGAACTTTATAATTTTTACATGTCACATCTTAATTTTAAAAATTATTTTTAATTTATGTTCTATTTGTTTCAGAAAAATAACTTACCTTTAAAAAATATTTCTAAGAAAAATCTTTTTTCTTAAATTTTTCAAAAAATTTATTTTCCATTATTTGATTGCAATATTGAAACTTAATTAAAAGATATTAAAATCTTTAATTTATAAGTGAAAATATTTATAAAAATCAAAATTTTGTATTTAAAAAAATTTTATTATTAAATATAAGAAAAAATAAAAAATAAAAAATTATGAAAATTATCGGTAGCCTGTGGTAGTGGCTAATGGTAAACGGTGATCGTTGGTAGTGGTTATCAGTGATTAATAAATTAAAAAATATGGAATTATAAATTTATAATAAATTTGTTAATATCTGAAAAATATTTTCTTCTCTCGAAAATATAAAGTCATTTTCCTTAAGAGGTGACTTATTATTTTTTTTTTCTACCATGAAAATATTTTCCGTTGATTTATTTCCTAAAGTCCTAAAAAATGAAAATTTGTGAAAAATATTTTTCTTTAATTTATTTTATGGAAAGAAAAGTAACCTTAGACAAACTTATTTTTGTTAACATAGACTTAAAATGTTAAAAATATGTAAAATTATTTCAGGAAATTGTTTTTTTTTTTTTAAAGAAATGTCTTAGTTGTAATTTGAGGAAACTTCATGGACCTGGATGTAATCGCATAAGAAAAACTCTTCCTGTTCAATCTCCGTTATTCGCTATAAAATGACCGCAACTGACAGTCCACCAAAACGACGTAGACGGTTAGTTCTGGACTTATTCTCTTAAAATCTCCTCCCCCTCCATTTCTCTCTTTCAGAAAGAAAGAACGAGAAAATGGTGAAGCTGACTTTGCTTTGCTTCCTGCTTCTCTCCCTTGTTCTCATATCTCACGCCAGATTTCCCGACGACAATCTCCATCTCGAGAGGTCGAGTTTCCCGTCCGTTCAGGCCGATAAAATGATTAGAGAGCTGAACTTGTTCCCGGATAAGGACATCAACGTCATCGACGGTGGTGATGGTGATGGTGGTCTTGTTTCCGGAGAGAAGAGGATCGTGGAAAAGCGGTTTAGGTTTCGGAATGTAGTTGGTGGTTATGATAGTGTTTCTGTCGATGATTTAGGCCACCACGCTGGTTATTACAAGATTGCCAATTCTCACGCTGCTAGGTCATTCTCAAAATCCCCTATATAATTTTTCAATTAGATTTTTGTATATGTTAAATTTTTAATCTTTGTGAACTTGAGCTGAATTTTTTTGATTGGATTGATTTATGCATATGAAATCTTTATGAATTACTAAAACTGTAAGAAACATATATTTCTAGCTATTTTCTTGATTCCCAAATCTCTTGTTTTTGGATTCAGTTAGTGCTGACATATTCTATATGTGGTTTACTAGGATGTTCTACTTCTTCTTTGAATCACGCAATAGTAAGAAAGACCCAATTGTTATCTGGTTGACCGGAGGACCAGGGTGTAGCAGTGAGTTGGCTATGTTTTATGAAAATGGTCCTTTCACTATTGCAGACAATTTGTCTCTTGTGTGGAATGAGTATGGTTGGGATAAGGTATCTTACTTTCCATTCTGCCTACTCATAATTTTCTAAACGGTGTATTACCGAATGAATTTCAACTGACTTTAATGCATAATAGTGATGCATGATGGTGACGCATAATAGTGAGGAATGATTATTCTTGGGGTTTTATCTACAGTTTAGATTACATCATCAGATGCGCACACACACATATCAAATAGGTAGTAATGCTGAATGTATAATGTTATTTGAAATTAGAAGCACATATTTCCTCTGGCTTTAACTCAAACCCCCTGTGGCCAAGTGCATTTTGTTATTGGAGGAAAGTTTGTTCCATGAAACGGTTCCTATCTGCATATGGTACTCTAGTTGATGATGCTCTAAGCACTCTAAAAAGATGCTATTGTATTTTATATTAAAATCTATATCTTTTAATGTATTGATTCACTCGATCTTCTTCCGCTTGTAACAGTTTTTTATTATTGTTATTCACAGTTTTGAGGGTTTTATTATTACTTGAGCTCACATAACTACACTCTTGAGCTAATAAGGCAAATAAAATACCATGTTTATTTCGCTGCTGCCTAGGCTTAAGAAGAGTTTTGTCATACTTGTTTAGAGCTTTTCAATCTTAATTTTGTTTGCGTCAGTTAGATTTTTGTTTTAATTTTTTATGGCTATGGCTTGGGAGAAGCTTTTTCTATTTAATTTCCTGCCTGACATATTACAGTTGAGTTCTATGCATAAGATGCTGGCTATCACTTCTCTATTATATGCATCAGTTAATTGGGTGTTTCTTGTAGTTGTGCTATCATGTAGCTGCAATGGTGAAGATAAAAAATAATAAAAATGAAGCCATGTGTCTTATAGCCCTATATTGGAAATGTTTTTCTTTCTCTCTATTCCTCTTAAGTTAGTATCTTCTCAAACATCCTACTAAACTTCTCTACTTGTGAAAGGGTTGACAAATTGCTATGATGTTTGCAGGCATCAAATCTTCTGTATGTTGATCAACCTATAGGGACTGGATTCAGTTATAGTTCTGATAGACGTGACATTCGTCACAATGAGGAGGGAGTTAGTAATGATCTATATGACTTCTTACAGGTTCGTTATTGTTGGATTTCCCTTTGGTAGAAAGTCAAATATGACATGATGATCTACCATGCAGTCATTCATTATTTTTTAATGCTAGAAGGAAAAATAATTCTAAATTCTAAATCTTCGAGATGTATTTTGTCATTCCTTGTTGGGGGAAAAACTATTATATAATGCCTCAGAGGAAGTATTTGACTTTCTAGTGTAGGAATTCAACCTTATTGCTAATACTAAAGTGGATTCTCTCTGATGTCAGGCCTTCTTTGCAGAACATCCTGAACTTGCAAAGAATGACTTTTATATAACTGGAGAATCATATGCCGGCCACTACATTCCTGCTTTTGCTGCTCGAGTTCATAAAGGGAACAAAGCTAAAGAAGGGATTCATATAAAACTGAAGGCATGCCTTTATTCCTAGTATGACTTATAACAGGTCTCTTAAATTCTATTAATTCCAACTCAAAATGTTGAACAGGGATTTGCTATTGGCAATGGGCTTACAGATCCTGGAATCCAGTACAAAGCTTACACAGATTATGCATTGGATATGGGGTTAATTACAAAAGCTGATCATGATCGTATCAACAAAGTGGTTCCAGTGTGTGAAATGGCAATAAAGCTTTGTGGTAATGTTTTAAACTTCTCTTATTAACTTTTTGAGAGATCCCTGCCCTATCTGATTGGATTAAAGTTTTTAGCAATGGTTTTTTTCTGTTCAAAATTCGTTTTTATGTTGACCCTCTCACCGTTCATGAACCAGGAAATATATTATTAATTTGCCCCTCTCACTTCTTTATCTAAGCATGCGTGGCATTTTTCTTTCTTTTTCTTTTCAGGCACCGATGGTACACTCTCTTGTATGGCTTCATATTTTGTTTGCAGTACCATATTCAGTAGCGTCTTGACGCGTGCTGGTGATATAAATGTAAGTCCTCGTATGTTCCTTCTAGTGTGTTGCTGCATCTAGAAACAGCTTTTCATGCAATCTGTCTACTGATTAGAGAATGGGGTGGTGATGTTGCAGTTTGGTGTTATTTCCACACTGAATATCTTTCCTGCTAAATACATGTTAAACTTTTTTTCAAAGAAACCTAAAGAAAGTAAATAGGGGGGAAAAAGCAAAAATTCGTTGCAACGAATAAAATGATCAATTTTATAGTCAGGGAGATTGAAAGATGAATAGTGGCATATATGATTGTGGCATTCTCTCTCTCCAAGTTTTTAGTCATTAAAATGAATCACTAGCAAATTTATAATTTATTAGTCATTTTACGCTTCAATACATATGAACATAATTTGCATCCTTAGCCTCTTTCTCGTTCTCCTATTCTTTCTTTGTTCTCTCTCTTCCTTTATCTATTTATTTTCCCTTTTGGCTAGATAAGTGGGGATTGCTAATCAAATAAAAATAACCAGATCTTACTATTGACAAGCATTAGTTTGTTCTCCTGTAGTACTATGATATCAGAAAGAAATGTGAGGGGAGCCTCTGCTATGACTTCTCAAACTTGGAGAAATTTCTGAACCTGAACTCTGTTAGGGAATCACTTGGTGTTGGGGATATAAGCTTCGTATCCTGTAGCCCTACAGTGTATCAGGCCATGCTAATGGACTGGATGAGAAATCTCGAAGCTGGCATTCCTGCCCTTCTTGAGGATGGAATCCATTTGCTTGTGTATGCGGGAGAATATGATCTTATCTGCAACTGGCTTGGTAAGTTTATCTTATAAGCCAGGGTTCCAACATATAGACCTAATAGTATTAGGAAAGGTTATTTGATTAATGTGTGGGGTTAATTTTTATATCTGCAGGAAATTCAAGATGGGTTCATGCTATGGAGTGGTCCGGTCAGAAGGAGTTTGTAGCATCTCCTGAAGTTCCTTTTGAGGTTGATGGTTCCGAAGCCGGAGTTTTAAGAAGTCACGGGCCTCTTGCTTTTCTCAAGGTATTTATCTCTCTCTCTCTCTCTCTCTCTCTCTCTCTCTCTCTCTCTTGTGTTTGTGCGGACATGTATAGCATTTTTTTTTTGTAATCAGTGCTGATGTAGTTGCTTGATGCATCGACAAACAGGTCCACGACGCAGGGCACATGGTTCCTATGGACCAGCCCAAGGCTTCATTAGAGATGCTGAGTCGGTGGATTAAAGGCTCACTGTCCAAAGCCATAGCATTGACCGAAGCCGTAGCTGATGAAGGGAAACTGGTTGCTGAGTTATGATTCGTTATCGTTTCGCCTTAAATGCTACGGCATCAGCCACTTAGTTGTTTCCTTTGTTTCCAGAATGTGCTTGTAAATATTTGCTGTTGGTTTTTTTGACAAGAGTTACTATATAATGCGAGTCTCTTGATGGATTTAAAAGGCACCAAGTGGTTGAATCAAATAGAAAATGCTTAGGGTCATCACTTCTGATGTCTGTATTAGCTGAAATGATGGTTGTCTAATGTTACTTATTTAACTCCCATCATGATATTTATAATTTGCTCCTAATACAATATATCATAAAATGAAATAAAATTCAAGGTTTTTTGTTGACATTGAAAAAATTGAAAATGTGATGATAGAACTGCAAAATGTATATCAGGGTAAATAACTATTTGTCATAAGTTAATAATAATTAGGATTTCATCCTTTTTTTTTATAAATATACTAATTAGTTCTTGAGATTTAATTCTATAAACTATTTAATCCTTCATTCAAAAATATATTTTGTTATTAAATGGGAGACTAAATAGTAATCTAATAGTAAATATGAGGAATATAATATTTAAGTTATATTAAATGTGAAGTATCTAGTTAATATTATTGCATAATTAACTCCATAAAATATTCCTAAAAAAAAACTCTAAAAAATAATATTTTTTGAATAAAAAACTAAATTGTTTAACAACACTGATCTATATATTTATCAAACAAAAGGAATAAAATAATAATTATGACCAAATTTAAAGGCCTAAATAATTATTTATCCATCCAAAAAAAAATGTGGATTGATATGAATTTGTAACAAATGCCATTTTTTAGTCAGTATAGCTTTTTTCGGAATATTTATAGCGTAATTATTCATCCAAAATTTTAAATTTTACTTTTCCAAAATATCCCGTTTTTGTCGAGCAACTTGGAAGATAACCGTATACTGGAGGAAGATAAGCTTCCTCGCTGAGGGGGGTGTGGAGTGTGGATTGTGCATTGCATAAGATAAAACTGAATAGTAGATCCTCATGGCGTTTGCTCTTCAATTCTCGAGTATCCGTTGTTTAAAATCTTTTGCAGCTTTGGTTCCTTCAGTTTCACCAAATCCTTTTGTAGTTTCACACGTATCAACAGTTGCTGCTGCTGCTGCTTCTTCTTCTTCTCCTTTTTTTTTATCACTAAAGGATACTACCCATCAACTAAAGCTCAATCATCTGTCAAGAGCATCTCCCGAAGGTTTGATTAATGACGCTCATTATATTTTTCACTTGTAGTCAGTTCTTTGATTGATTGTTGATTTCATTATATAATTGATGTTTCAATAATGGGTTTCTCTTGGATTGTTTAAAGTGAATATATAATTTTAGTACTTTTAGTTGTTCTCCAGTTAGGCAGCCATCAACAGCATGTGTTAGTGATTTTTTTTTTTTTTTTTTTGCTCAGTTTGATCGGCTTTGTTGGTTCCCGTCGGATCTGTGAACAACTCCAAAGCTCGGTGTAATCGGCTTTGAAGACACCTCCGAACCTCAGTTTGATTGGCTCGAACGATTTTGATTTGAGATTATCCTAATCAACTTCATAATACACCATCATTAATCAGGAAAAGGATTGACTCGATCAACTTCGTAATGCACCATCACTAATCGAGCAAAGGATTCAAGCAGCTTCGCAATGCATCATCACTGCTTGGTGGGATCAAACGACTTCGAGAAACCATCACCGGCTGACCTGAAAATATTTTCAAGAGAGAAAAGAGCAATTTCGATTTTTTTTTTTTTTTTTGTGGAATTTTAAATTATTCAAGTAATCCTTGCTTGAAGATCATATTGAAATTGAGCACAATACAGTTTTAGTATGGTGGTGTGGAAGTGTCTTAAAGATTGGATTTTTATTTATATAACTTTTCAAATGATACTTAGAGAAGATACAAATTATGAATGCTGAGTCATAGAGGCTAAGTTATTGGTTAAATAAACTTCCATTTTCCAGGTGTATTTTCATGGCATGGTTTGATAAATCTTGAAGGGATCCATTGTGCTTTAATTTTCCTTTTTTCATAAAAAAAAAAAAAAAATTCAAGTCAACATTCTGCTATTGCGATGCTTCTATGTTGCAGGGATTCCCAGTGAGTTGGTTGAAGATTCAAAGTTTGTTCCTTTAAATGCTGAAGACCCTGTATATGGTCCACCTGTAAGTTGTGGTTAGTTCTATGCCAATTGCAATCTGCTTTCCTGTTATTTTGTCTACTTCTTGTATTAATTACCTCCTATTTCCATAAAATGCTGCCAATTTGGTTCTTTCTTTGGCATCTGATATTTATAATCAAGTTTAATGATTTAAATGCTTACTTTTGCAGGCTTTGTTGCTGTTGGGCTTTGAACTAGATGAAGCAGAAAAGGTGATTATCAGTTGCATTTCATTGCCCTTCACAAGAATGATGTGATAGATATTTACGTTCTTAATAATTACTACTTGCATTCTCTTTGATTGTCTCAGCTAAATGCATGAAAATGGGAAGAGCGTCCTAATAGTTCATTTTCGAACAGAAAAAACTATTCATCTCAATATTAACGGTCTATTTGACTATACATTTATAGGGACAGTAAAAGAACTCCAATTTAGATACACCTCCAATTTAAAATGTATACTCTATTTTTTCTTTTGTTAGAGAATTGCTAGATTGATATCCCAGAACTTGCTCTCTAAAACCTAGATTAATCTTTTGTGCAGATCAGGCAGTTATTGAGCGACTTGGGTGGTGAATTTTTACAGGTAGTTTCTTGGTTGTTGTTCATTCACCTTTGATGGAATTGTTAAATCCCATAGCAACTGGCATAAAAAAATAAGAAAAATTTATGCAGCTCACAGTATCAGATTTTATATTCTTGCCATGTTTTAATATGATGTCAATAGTTAGTAACCATTTGGTTATATTAATTTAAATCATCCAATGATATTTTGTGGCAAAGGTAACCCAAAATTCCACAAAAGTAATATTTTTCTTGTCTTTTCCTGAACTTCTTTTGGGAAGGTCTTACTTTTAGCCTGACGTAAACAATAAAATTCAACGATCCTGTCATCTATGTTGATCATATGGAAACAATAAAATTCAACAATCCTGTCATCTTTGTTGATCATTTGGATAAACCGCAAAGATTGAGTTTTCTAACCCAATGCTTAAACATGAAATATAAAGCTTCTGCTGTTTCTGAGTTTTGCCTTCTGGAATTACATTCATGCCCTTTTTATTTAATTTTGAATTTTCGTGGAAAATAAAAAGAGCATTAAGGTATGTTTGAGTGTTTTTCACAATCATATGAAAATTTCACTAATGTGCGGTTTTAACTTTTATTTTCATCCTTACTCTTCTATTCAATTAGAAATGTTTTAGTGTCATGATATTCACTGTTGTGTTATGGCTTTATTGTTTTAAATAGCTTGCTCAAAAGGATGTCACGTGCTTAGACACTTGATATATAATGTGTAAATTTGGATCCATTATATATGTCATTTGCCTCTGCCTTTCATGTTGCCAATCATTCTTGTAGGTTATCTTCTGTACTGAGAACATGATTCCCCAGTCACTTTGGGAAGCAATGCATACAAGTCAACCAAATCTGGAAAAAGTGCAGGTTGAATTTCTAATATGCTTTTTGTTCTCTATATTTGATATGTTCATTTATCTGCATCTTGTAGGGATATTTATACGGAGAAATAACCTTAAGTCTCATGTTACCAAGGTATATGCAATAAGCAAATCATTTGTTATTATCAATAAAATGGTTGACATTGATTGCTCCAAAACTTTAGCTTATTGTTGTCACAAAATTTTTTCAATTGTTAGCCTATTTATACATTTTCATTATCATTACTAATCAAGTTGAGACAAATTCATGGTTTGGTTTTAATTCTCAGAAGCATTTATCTCCTCCTCCTCATATTTAAATTTAATGTATTATTGAAGAAAAGTCGTGTGATTTTCCAGTTTAAGATAGCAACACTTGAGGTGCTTAGCCGTTGTGAATCTTTAATTATATATATTCAATCTATGCCTGAATATTTGGCATTCTCTTCTGCAGATAGCAAAGTCATTGCCAAGGATTTGCTTCTTATCAGGCCTTAGTGGGGAGGAGATGATGATGTTCATAGATGCTTTTCCAGAAACTGGTACTTCGATACTTTCCTTTTGTAATGTTATAATCTAAATGCAGATATCCATTTAACAACAGTAATTTGATTTGAGATTTAAAAATCAAATGATGCCTGAAACTTTCAAATTTATAACCTTTTATCACGAAATTAATGTAAAACTGCATGGAACTAAAATCATCAGAAACAATGTAGAATTTCAAAATATTGAATAGGATTAAATAATTTATTTTTATGTGTAACCACTGATTTATGAATTCTGCTACAAAATTACCGTTCTCCTGTTAGTCAGTTCCACAGTTGTGACTTCAATTGACATACTTGGTGTTGTTCGGCTTATATGCAGGTCTAGAACCAGCTGTATTTGCAGCTCTTGTTCCAAACAGCGCTAATAAACCACTACAAGAACTAATAGAAGAAATCATGGGGGATCATGAAATGCTGGTAAGCTGAGAGTTAAGTAAGTTCTTAGGGGAAACTTCTATTATCTAACCCATTATTCAATTTAATTTTGTGCAGACTGGAAAACAGCAGGACTCGACATAGTCAAAGCCATATATTAGAGTTCATTTGTATCATGTAGAGAAGCAAAGTTCAGAGGTCTTTACTCATAGTAAAAAAACCTTTCAAATGCATAGTAACTCTTTTTAAACAACCTATTTATAGTCTGCTGGACTCAGGAATGAATCTGTTCACTATATATTGTTCTTGCAGAGTTTTTCTTTTTTGATTAATTTGATTTTGGCCGGAGTTTAAACTTGGACATATTATTCTTGGAGACGACTGTTAAGCTGTGTATCTACCGTATGTTTCTTTTACCACGTTACATCCTAAACCTAAATTCAATAAACTTCGGATCCTGTTCGACAATATTAGTTATTTTAATTAGGGTGTAAATAAGCCGACTCGAATCTGCCAAACTAAAAGCTCGGCTCGGTAGAATTTAGCTCTATTAGAGCTTGGCTCGAAAATTAAAGAGCCTGGAAATTTATGCTCAGTGAAAGCTCAAGCTCTGTTCAAGCTCAATTTGAAATTCTAGTTCAACTCAAAAAATTGTATACATATAGTTCAATAAAGCTCAACGACGAGCTTTGGAGTTGAACATCATTAGGCTCGAGCTCGGCTCGTTTGCTAAATGAACATGCTCGAGTTCGAACTCAATTTGAGCTTTGGAGTTGAATATCATTAGGTTCGAGCTCGGTTCGCTTACTAAATGAGCAGGGTCGAGTTTTAACTCAATTCGAGCTGAGCTTTTTTGAACTCTTTTTGAACCGAGCTCGAATAATTCGAGAGCCGGCTCGGCTCATTTATACCTCTAATTTTAATAGCTGTTAATTGTTAAATGTTATATCACCGAATGCTACAATTAACAGAGAGAAGTTTAACTTGCTAAATAAAGCCTTTGTGATGGAAATTAGGATTCGCCATGAAAATTTAAGTCCTAATCATTGAGATGTCTCCTTGAGGTATTTGAATCCTGTACTTTTCCAACAGAACATCATATGAAACTCAATGAGAAATAACATTTCCAATGATCCCAATTATCTGTCAAGAAGTTTTCGTTAATACATTAAGTTGAAATTTCCCGACTGCCAATATTTTGCTACATGCTAATATCTTTGCATAAGCATTAACCAATACATGACATTCTAACAAGTTTGCTTTATCAAATAAAAAAATATTCGCTGCACCACCTATCATTATCACTGTAACCATACATGTTGGAGCCCTGTAACTACACAAGATCCATCAATGGCATTTGATTGAGTTGCCTATGGTAAGGAATTTCAATCTAGATTGAGTCAAAAATGCCAACATGATGGAAATCCGACTAGAGTCGTTAGAGCGCGTGCTGATGCATACCATAAAGGCATAAACAATAAGCAACTTCCTTCACATCCATTTTCAATGTTTTGAAGCATTTCAGAGTAAAAGTAGCCTCAACATTAAGAGTTGGTTGTACATCGTCAACTTTCTTACAGAAATGCAGATTGCCGTGACTTGCTCAAGATGAAACTCCCTAGCAAGCCGTAATTTTGTTCACCATGCATAAAATGCTGTATATAATATTCTGAGCCTGAAGTCAGAATTCAGAAATATAGTTTTGTTACGTTTGTCATATGTACAAAGTGGTGGGAAGTCTTTTTCATTTCTCTCAATCAACTGGAAATGCCAAATCAACACTTTTCATTTGAAAACCCTGGCAGCATCATTGCCAAATCAACACTTTTCAAAGTCCCTGACCATGCAACAGGGTCAGAAACAAAGAGAGAGAAAAAAAAGTTAATTTAAGAGCAGTATAATCAAGTTGATTTAAGCTCATTACATCAGTAAGCACATCCACAGAAAACAAAGTCATTCAGAGAGTAGTGTGAATAAAACAGATGAGATACCCCCAAAAAGGACAAATTGCTCTGGATCCATAAGAAAACGTTCATACAGAGAGATGATGCATGACCACCATACAGTTCAACAAATTACCATTGAATAAATACATTTTTATGACCCAGCAGAAAACTAAAGCCTGCATCAGGAAGAAAAGAATATTGTATCAGTACTCAACTAAGTTTTGATTCCAAACAAGTTGGGTTCACAGAATCACATAACTTTAGATATCATCAACGAATTCAGGTATAACTCTTTTGTCCCCCTTGCACAGGCTTAATTTGAAGACAAAATTTTCACAATGCTCTAATATGCCTAGTCTCATTTTCCAGGAACAGGAAATAGGAATCACTTGTTCCACTTGAAGATGAACAGTGAAACAGCTCCTGTTTGGATCTCTTAATCAAGCGCCATGAATGACAAAAACAAATCATTTACTCCCCATGGTTGATTTGTTTATTTGGCTTAAAGGCAAAAGACAGCCAACTATTGTGAAAAAATCATTCTTTTTTACATCGAGGCAAAGGCACAATTAATATATACCAATAGCCAAATACTGAGAAGTAGAGAGTTTCTTTGGTTTAAAGGTAGTAGCTATCGACTGGCACTCAATTGCCAACAATTAAACGTTGACAGTTGGAAGCCAAATGCGAACACACATATCCTAACTTTTCAAATTTCAGTTATAATTATAAAGCACCATTTCAAATGCGAAGTTTACTAAACACCAAAACCTCAAAAGCTAAAGCACTTGTCCAAATAAGCACTAAAATATACTATAGGTTTCTATTTTTTTAAATTTTTTCCCCCCTATTTGACTAATACCAAGTTTATATCATTGAGATGTGGTAACAAAAGATGTCAATTTGACAGTAAATACTATAGTAATGACAAGTGAGGGAAAGTGGCTAACCAATTCCCATGAATCTCAGCTTTCACATTAACATACACACACAGAGGGACACATATTAACATAACAGAAAATAAAAACTCAAACCTATACATGCCGATCAGAAGAGAAAACCATTCATTAAAATTACATAATGCGTATAACATTTATAAGCTAATTAAACATTAGCACTCCACAAAATGTGCAGGATTAGCCATTTACCCATTACAATACACACAGAAGACGAAGTTGAAACACACCCTTTAACAAAATTAGCTATCATCCAAACTCTCCAATCTAAGAACACATCCCACAATAATTCACAAACATAAAGCAAATACCGATTTAAACCAAAATATACCTTTCACAAATAACAAAAACCAGAAAAACACCATACCTCGAATGTCCCATGTCCCAATATTACTCCTCCTCGTCACTTTCATCACTAAAATAACTCGCTTTCTTCACCTTCTTCCTCTCCACCTTAGTTTCCTCTCCTCTGCTCAACAACCTCTCATCTGCATCTCCATCAACCACAGACGCCCAGTTCTCCTCCTCAAAAACCTCACCGTCCTCCCATTCTTCCTCCCTCCTCCCTTGACCACCATCTCCCCGACCACGCTTAGCCACCGGCCTTTCCCTTGCCCCCAGCTGATTCCTTGGACACTCATAAGATAGATGTCCATTCTCTCCACACTCATAACACCGACTTTTATCCTTATAAACTCTTTTTTTAATAAACTCCGGCGCACGGCCATTATCAGCAGCGATAGAGGCGGAGAGGGTACGGCCATTAAGTATTTTCTTGTCCATTTGGCGAGCCGCAGAAACAGCGTCATTTCGCGAAACGAACTGAATAAACGCCACGCCCTTAGATTGGCGGGAGACTCGGTCTTTGAGGACGGTGACGCGAGCGATCTTGCCAAAGGTAGAGAAGAGAGTGTGGAGATCGGAGTTGGTAAGAGAATAGTCGAGATTTGAGACGTAAAGAGTTGATTTTGATGGAGCTAGGCCATCTGAGCCATTAGATTTAGGGTTCGGTTTGGAGGGATTTGAGGAGGAAGATGGCGGTTGAGGGGCGGAGGAGTAGCGGTAGTAGAAGGTTTCATCTTCATCGCTGTCACTGTGATGCTTGTGCCTCATTATTCTTGTTCCTCTTCCAGTGTTATGTGTATGCTCGTGCGTTGTGCCTCTTTAACTCTAGGAAGATTATATATATAAAACGCTTTTGTTTTTTCCGTACAAAGTTAACATTGGCATATTCTTCGAATTAACTTTCATTTATTTAGAATTAGTGTTTTTAGTTTAATTTGATTTTTCGATCTATTAATATATTGATTTAATTTGAATTTATTTTAAATTAATATTTTTGATTTGGTTTGATTATTTATCGTGTTAACGTGTTATTTTAGTTTGAATTTATTTAGTATTTTTGGTTTGATTTGATTTGGTTATTTAATATATTAATAGCTTTAAGTAATTATTATTAACTATTAGTTTTTAAAAAATGACAAAAACCAAATTATTATAAGTAGGCATATTAGTTTATATATATAACGTAGATAGATTTTCCTCTAGTATTGCTACGTAGGATTTCAATTTAATGACATATGTAATGACTTAATTATTTATTTTTATATTTATTTAAAAATAAATTAATTTATGATTGTTTATTGATTAAATTAAAACGTCTTAAATGTAATTGATTAAAATAACGTTAGAAAATTAATATCATATTAAGTAACAATTTATATAAATTTTAATCACACATAATTTATGAATTTATGATATGGTCAGTTATTATTTTATATTAAAAATTACAAATTATTTTTTATTAAATTAAATTATGTTAAATATAATTGATTATAATTTTAGAGAATTAATAACACTATGAATTGATGATTTATACAACTTTTAATTATAAAATAAATTATTTATTCATGGATTTTATAGCAAGTTAATCATTTTTCACATTAATTCTAAAATATATTAAATTAATGAATTTTACCACCTTTCATTTTATTTCTTTTTTTTATTATTTATCTCTATAAATTTCAACATTTTTAATCCATACTTGTCACAATGCAAAACCATGGGTTGGACCAGTATTAGGGTCCAGGTAAGCATAAAGCCACCAGGGCCCGTAGTAAACCTAAACCACTAAACTTAGCCACATTAGATTGGATTATATGAACAGTAAGCCCATATTATTCTATATAACAAATCTTACGATTGTACTATATCCTAGCCCAAATCCAGCATTTTAAATATTTCATAACTCGAGCCCAATACATTACACAATATCTATAATATAGATTGATCAGTCCGTATACATGTACATCTGTAAATCATCAACTTAAAGTTATCACTTAACATTATCACACACTCATACAAATTTGGAATTATCATAATCCTATAATAAGAGTTTTCACAATTTTACAACTGCAGAGTTCAATATCAAACAGAAATAAATAAGTTCTTGTACATAATGCTCACAATTTAAAAAATTACTGGAATTAAAAATTTTCTTTTCTAGAGAAAACAGAGCTTTAGCTGGGAGAAGGAATAATCTACTTTCTGAAAAGTTAAACAAAAAAAATGTGAATTTAATAATGAATAATAACTATTGCATAGCACAAGCATTCACACGAAGTGCTTCCCAAAATACTAAAATGAACACTCATCCAATCAAACACATGGGATAACATCAGCACCCACATACAAGTACACCTTCACATAATCAAATAAGTGGAGATTAGTATGCGGAGTCACTGAAACCCCCGATTAGTCGTTCTCACATATGGCCTATCCTCTCATGACGTGTGCACCAGAGAGCCAATCCCCATACATAGCTGATCGGTCTAATCCTTGCTTGATCAGCCCTTTCATTTTTTATACTCTCTTTTCTTTACCATACCAATAGTTTTCCACATCATATATCATCAAATGCAAACGAGACATCGATCTCTCTATACATGGCCGACGGTATCTAAGGCTGCCCTCACAAACCCATAAAAATCTACTTCATTCTAATTCCACACAAATAAGGCATATCATCATCACAACACATCTAATCAAGTATTGCATTTAAATGCAAGCATATTAAATAAACAAACATTGTTATGCAAATGTTCAATTATACACATATATAAACCAAGTATAAAATAATAAATGTTTATGCTAAAAAATAATAATAATAATAATTAAATAATTAGGGAATTGTAACATTATATATTAATGTATGTATGCATGATGCAAATGATAATTCACTACTTATTACTACTCATAGTAATAGAGGAGAGAAAAAGAATTTAGTTTTGATTCTGATTCATAAAAGCAGTGGAGGAGCTCGGACGATCTATGAGAAATAAAATTGAAAAGGACAAAAAAATCAAATAAAGAATTATTTTCAAATAAAAATAAATAATTATCTTGATTAAATCTAACAATTTTTTTATTAAATATACTAAATCCAAATTGTGTTGAAATTTTGGCAGAACCTCATTTAAAAATAGGACTAACTACCTACTTAAGTTTTAGCAATATTAAGGTTTTCTCGCTAGTTACTAACTGTAGTTAACCGAAGATGGAGGAACGGTGCTTGCGAGGTGCTAGGGATGAGGTGGGTTGGCCAGTTAAGGTTTGATGTCGTTGGAAATGAGAGAGAAGCATTGAAGGCGAGCTGTGTCGATCGGAAAGGAAAGAATCGCAGCAGCTCTCTCTCTCTCTCTCTCTCTCTCTCTTGTTTGCAACACTATGACAGGCTGGAAATGGAAAGAGTGGTGGCCGAGAAGCGATGGCTACGCAAAAGAAGTCCAATCAGCCAAAGTCGAGCTCAGATGGTTGGAAATTGCAAAAACGGAAAAGGGGAAAGGGGAAAGTGGGCTATTGCTGGAATCGGGAAGGGAAGAGAAAATCAGGACAAAAATGGGTTTTGTGGATTTCTAGAGCTTTCTAATTGGCTATAGATCGGTTGGGTTTGATTAGGGTTCGGTTTGGCCCAAACCATGGATTTTGTCTTGTTTTCAATTGGCTTATCGATTTTTTTTTCAGTTGGTTTTCTTTTAGGAATTTTTAATGAGTTTAAATTGGTTTAAAGGTTTGGTTTAACAAATATAAAATGTATTTACCTTTAATCTTATTAAATAAATTCACAAAGCATTGATTTATGTATTTTAAATATACTAATGTCTTATAATATCATTGGCTAGAATTAATATTTAAAATTTTAAATGAAAAATTTTTGAAAATAAAATTTCGGGTTGTTTCAATACTTCTGAACATCTGGTTATCTACTAATTTTTACTCTAACAATTAAAAATCATGGCTACATTTTTTTTACTATTAATATATATTAACAATATTTTCAATAGCATAATAAAATAAATTTCATTCAAGAATTTATAAACTATATATATATTCTTTTCAATTTTTTACTTTATTTTTTTTTATACACGGGTATATTGCTAGTGTGTATATATATATATATATATACAGTGTGTGTGTTTTTTTAATTAATCAAATTCTTTTATATTTTTAACAGTAAACATAAATATCAAGTAATCTTCATAATAATTTTTTTGAAAATGTAATCTTTGTAATAATTGAGTTAAGTATTAGTCATTTAATATTATAAGTTAATCGTAATATCACAATTAATTATAATTAAAGTTAAATATTAGTTGTTTTAATATCAATTATAAAATATTAATCCATAAGATTTTTAATTGAGTTAATAATGGTATTAGTCATGAGATATGTGTTTCATAACTCAAAAGAATTTTTGAATCGAAAAAAAAAAAAAAAAGTTACTCCAAAATTTACTTTCAAATCATATTTTACATATATTTAATATAATTTGTTTCAAAAATTCATATAAATTTTACTATATAATCATTGGATTTAATGAAATTAAGTGACATGTATGCAATCACTTTAGCCTATTTCCGTTCGGCGGAATGACATGTGTGCAACACGTGGATCTTTTTTTATTAATTTTTTAATTAGAAAAAACCTTCTCTCCTCCGGCTCAGCCTCTTTCGCTCACATCTTCTGCAATCTTTTCTCTCCCTTTGAGAACGAAAACCTCTTTTTCTTTGAGAAAAAACATTTTTCTCTCTCACATCTTCAATTTGCCAATCAAAATCATCAATGCCTTCAATTTGCCAATCAAAATAATCAATAAGGCACATCAGAAGCTTTCTTCCTCATCTGTACTTCTACTGAGCTATTTCTCCACTTTCTTACCCAGAAATCAACATAAGTAGCCAATAAATCTGTCCCCTCCCTGAATCGACGATTTCTTTTAAAAATTGAAAAATTAAGCCTCGATTCAGATAAATAATTGCTAAACGTATTTTATTTTACCTGGGGACAAATAAATCTGACTTGCTTTATTGATTAAGTTAGCTTTGTTGGCGACCTTGCTCTCGCCGGAGTTGGAGGAAATCTCGCTGGAACACAACTGTCTCCATGACCGTTTGAGATGACGACCTTGATCTGCGATAATGGAGTCGATTTTATTATTCTTTGCGTTGAGCCGACGCTATTGGTGTGCTCAATCGTCAAAGGTGCGGATCTTTAGCCTGAAATAGCTTGAGCTTATCGGTTTTCATGGCTACCCAAACCGCAGCCGGGCAAAATCACCAGAACTAATGATACGGGCTTTGTGGACACGAGAGAGAGACAAAGAGAAAAGGGTACGAGGTCGTTGTTGGTCTCACTGTCTCTTTCTTCACCGGAAATCGACCGCAACGAAGGAGAGACGTTAGCGCTGTTGGAAGAAAAGAAGAGACTTCATGTCGCATGAAGTGAGAGAAAGAACACGAGCAGGATTATAGAGTTTTTTTTTTTAATTAAAAAATTAATAAAAAAAGGTCCACATGTCATGAACTTGCCATTCCGACTAACGGAAAAGCCATTTTATTCAACTGCGTCAAAGGCATTTTACTATTATAAAAATATAAAATTAAGTATTTTTGAGTTAAGTGTCATTTCAATGAAATTAACCCGTGACAAAATCAATGTTTTGACCAAATCAAATACGCTAAAGTGATGGGTGATAAAATTTCAATTAGCAACCATCTTCATGATTTAATAGCGAGTGTGTATATATATACCTATATTAATTTTTAAAAAATAATTATTATATACATAATATTTGATTTTTAAATTAATTTTTTATATAATTAATTTATCACAATTATTCAAAAATAATAAATATTATTTTATTATTGTAAAAAAATTAATTAATAGAATACATTTATAAAGAACAAAATTTTGCTCCATTATTTTTTTTCCTTTTATCAGCTTATCATAAATAGTCTTATTTACAACATCAAAGTTTGCCGTTTATATCAGTTAATAGGGGATATTTAGCTAATTAATGTTAACGTTTGGTAAAATTTTATTAGTGGAAAAGATAAAATGATCATTAAGGGCACAATTGTTTTTTATTATTATATATTATAACGTATGATTAATATTTTTTAATATTTAAGGTGAATATATTATTTTTTATTTTAATATAGTACATAAATAAAAATATTAATTAAATTTTTATAATAACATTAATAGGAAATTTTTTTTTTGAAGAGAAACATTAATAGGAAATTATTACTTTATAAATAACTATAAATAAAACGATTAAAAAAAAATTAATCAACTAGCAATTGATGTGAAAAGGCTTTGATTGGAAATTTTATAAACTGTAAATAGGTAATTAAAAAATTTATCAAATACTTGACTATAAATTAACTATCAATTATATAAATAAACCGAATCAAATGTTCTCTAAAGCAAAAGAAATCTATCGATAGGAAAATGAACCAGAAGTAAAATTAGGGATTGACATAAAAAGCACCTCGCTTTGCTATAAGAGTTCAAATTTGCCCCCAAGTTATGATATAAAAAGGGGCAAATCTGTCCATCAAACTTCGAAACAACCTTCTCTTTCCTTGTCTCTGGAAGCTGTTAGTTGAGCTAACGAACCATAGAAGGAGAGATGTGAAGTGATGTACTGATACAATTTACAAAGGCCTATACAGTTTCAGTATTTTTGGATCTTCGCCTGTCAAAAATATAAGAAGAGAAAATAATTTCACCGATCAAGAGCTGAAAGATTCCTTCTTTGCTTCTTCCTCTAGGGCTTCCTGTAAGTGATTTGAATTTTGGATTTTTTTTTTTATTGTCTATCTGTTTGTTGATTGGATTTGTTGAATAATTGTGACATTATGAGAACTGGGTTTTGTTTATTTGGTGATTTTCTTATGTGAGTATGGATTCAAAGGATTGATCTTCGGTCTTGTGTAAGTTCTTCTATTGGGTTATGCATACATGTGTAAGGAGTGAGAGCTGTTAATAATTTGAGTGAGAAAATCCTAGGATTTTTTTTTTTTTTGCAAGCAACTTAATAACTTATTTAATTTTTTTCATATTTATTGCTGCTACCATTAGTTAGAGTAAGTTTGTTCTTTATATTCTACATGATTCTAAAAATTGTAGTGCCTGCATGTATATCAAAGAAAAAGAACTCTCCGATGGAAATTGCTTTTGAACTTCTGTGCAGTGTCAATTGAACAAGATTATGTGTTCTAAAACGCCTATGAAGTTACTTATGTGATATATTAAGCATTGTAGAAGTGACAATTGACAATGAATTGGTTACCTGCATGAAAGCATTTGGGCCTTAAGAGACTGGGAGAGTAATGCTTGAGATATTACTCAAGATGTTTGGTTTGGGGCAATGAGAAGATTGGTTCAATTGTTTAGTTGGTGGGTTAGACCTTTGAGAAGAAAACTTAAGAATGAGATGGTTGTGCTTTAGTTCTTTATTTTCATGGTGAACAAAAGGTAGCCATGTTTAATGATTTCTGTGAATATTTGAGGCTCTAGTCCCCACCCCTCTATTTTTATACCAACTTCTACCTTTATCCTCAATTTATTTTGACCCTCCAAATTAGTATTCTAGTCCTGCCCCGGCAACAAGTGTGTTTGACTCGTGTGCTAGAGAAAAGTTTTAAACAAGATGAATGCCTCTGCCATTAACATTTTCTATATATGTTTGTTTGAATAATAGACCTGCTTGTTTGGTCTTTTGAGTGCTTCAAGCTTGAAATATTATAAAGGTACTTTGTTTTGTATGAGTTGAGGATTTTATTCAGATACTGGAGAGGTGTGGGGCAGCAGTTGTGAGAAGATATATTGTTCTATGTCTGTTAAAAATATAGCTAAAAATTAAAACAAGTGGCCAAAAGAATTTCATACAGCATTCCAAGTGTAGTCATCATGTGTTAAATTTAGTTGAGCAAATTTTCTATAAGATGTTAACCAATAGGAACCCAATCATGAAAATTGGGGAGGTTATAATTCAGGCTAGAATGAATGCTCTTTGTTTGGAAATGTTTAATGAGATGTTTATGAACTGAATACGCCGTAATGGTATGGCAGCGTTGGAACTCCTTCCTTTATGTAACTTTTCTCAAGATGTTATATCTCGTTTTAGTGTTTAATTAATATTGAACCATTACTCACCTAATTATTGAAGTAATATATAACTGAATGTTAAAGAGATAGAGATTGTTTATCAAATAAGGAATATGAAATTCTTTCTATTAAAGTAAAATATGAATCGCAAGTCCTTGATCATGCTACAGTATGTGTATAAGCGATACCTTATGTGTAGAGTTATTAAAACCTTTTCAGATGTATTTCTCAGATGCACCGTTTTTTCTTGTTATCTCAAAACTGAGACATGAATTAATGATGTGACTTTGCAATAGTTTTACTACTTTGAGCTTTTATAATGAGTCTCATTCAGAAGTGTTTCCATTTTCTTAGAAGCACCTTCTGGAGATTTAAGCATTCAGTTTCTTTATAAGGCAATTTAGGAAAAAAACTAAGCAATTATTCTTTTAAAGCCATAAATCATACATCACCCGAATATAGAATTCATAGAAATGAAACTCAATTACAAACTTGAATATTGTAAAGTGAGAATTGATCCTTCTGTGGTATGTAGAAACACAAACACAAGACTTTTTTTGCTAAGGTAATTCCTGGCTTGTTTTGCCATTAATTGGTGATATTGCATGATAATGCTGAACCACTATAAACACTTGTTGATCCTTTTCTTCTTGTTCAACTTTATCTTTCTTTCTAGTGTTGAAATGCAATTGCTTTTGCAATTTGACAAACCAGTGATGAACTGTCGTTTGCCTTCAACAAGATGCATGAATTCTCCACTATTGACGGCTTTGCGGAGATAACTGAGAGCTTGGCAGAGATGATTAAGTACGTGGCAAATGAACCCTCAGTAGGGCTTTTCTATGTTCAGCAGCACACTCAAAATGCAGTTTCCAATGTAATTAATCTCAAGGACAATATTACCAAGAAGTCACATGAAACAACTTTGCACACTGAAGATTTAGAGGATTCTATAACCATGGTGAAATCCATGAAAGATTGTGGTTTTTCCATTGCTGATGAGATGATTAGAGACATCAAGATATCTCTATCAACAATATCAGCTAGACAACCAAAAAGAGGATTAATCCATAACCCAATTTCAGGTTCCCAATTAGGAAGAAATAGGTCATGGGGACCATCCGCTTGGGGTCATAATGGAGTCCAGCAAGAAAACAGAAAATCCAGTTATTATCTATCTACTGTATTCAAGAATGCAAAAGAAAGGGCCAGTAATTTCAAGTGGCCTCAACTTGATTCAAAAGAATCGGCACCAACCCCAGATGATAAGCTACTGTCTTTTCCTAATACATCGCAGTTGGTTGCATCTGCCAGCACTAGTTTATCACTCCCTGATATGGAATCTGATGAATTGCCCTTATCAAGTCAGGCTACGGATGAGCTACAAGCAGAAGATGAACAAGTTGAGATGAACTTGCCACATCAAAATATATTTTCACTATCTGGAAATTATGATGACTTCAAGGCTGATAAAGAAGCCAAATTAGAGGAATGGTTGGGAGGGAGTGGTGAACACTCGGATAAACTTCAAGAGGGTAAGTGATGCCAAAATGAGAAGTTGAGAATTTTTTTTTTTTTTTTTTAATTCTTTCTTCTTTTTCATTTTTCATATTGTAGGTTTCATATGCTGAGTAATCTTTTACTTGTAAAATCTTTTATTTGTAATACACTTTTGCCTGGACCATGATAATATGTATTTGATTCATCACAATAAAAATTTTCAGCTTAAAGCTTTTGTTGATTCTCCAGTGCTTTTAACTTTTCAAATTCTTTTATATTGTTTTGATTATTTTGTTTGTAAAATGAACTTCAGACATGTATATATTTACACACCCTGAAAAGCTTTGCGGGATTTGAATTCCCTCTTGGCGGATTATGCTTAGAAATCACGGGTAGCTAACACAAGGTATCACTAAACTTAGAGATTATTTCTAATTTGATCATAAAACATCAATTTAATGGAGATGAGTCACTAAAGTTTTTTTTTTTTTTTAAATAAAACTTGATCAGATCGGAGATTTTTAAGAAAAATTTATTCAAAATAATGATATAAACAACCATCTTACTCATGTAAATTTTAATTAACAAACATGCTACACGAGATTATAATCTCGTGTGAACTTGAAGTTAGTTTAAATAGATGAGTTAACAGCTATTGTTAATTATTCCAAAAATTTGTTAGAAATTTCAAATGTGATCAAATTGAAAAGAAAAAAATGAAGTTTAGCGACTTATGCAAAAGAAATTAATCTTTAGGATCAAATTAGCAATAAGCTCAAAGTTAAATGAGCTCTTTTATTTTCTTTCTTTTCTTTTTACTGTTGTTAAATAATCTTATCATACTATGAACTATATAATGGAGGTCTCCCCTTCTAATAATCTTATAAAAATAGTAAAAATTCTTATCACACCATTGGATGGGAGACTCAAACTAGCTGCTCCTACTGCCCTTTACACATCTTTAAAGAAAGTGAGAAGACTAACATTTCAATCTCTGAGTTATTTTTGTTCAAATTAATAACTCAGTGTAATTGTACAGACTAGAAACTTAAAAGTAAATTTAGGTAATGGAAGAATGAGAAGGGGAAAAAGATATGGATGAATGCAAGGGAAATAAAATTATCATTCTGTTGTCTTGTTTGGAAAGTATTGAAAGTGAAGGGAAAGACAATATGAAGAAAAGGTTAAAACTTGCTATTAAATTCTTCACTATTATGTTATGTGAAAGAAAAAAAAAAGGGGGATTAAAATACTCCTTTTTTGAGGTTTTCTTCTCAAATTTAAGGGAAACATTTTACAAACACACACTATACATTGTAACCAAGCAACTACCTTTTTTGTCCCCTTATTCACTTCCTAAATGTACACCAACTATAAAGAAAAACATCGAGCTTGATAAAATGCAGCACAACACAGGTTTGTAGGCTGCTAGTCTTATGAGTTCCAACCAGAGAGCACTCATCCATAATGTTCAATGGTGTAGTGTACCCATCTTGTTGTTTGTAACCCCAAAGATCATCAATAAAGTTGAAATCAGATTTTACCTTGTCAAACCCTGATATGACAATGCCCCAAATCAAATTACTTCATTTCCCTGTAAAAACCATCTCCAAGGGCACAATCTCCACAAAAGAGGTACCTTGACAACAGGCTTAAAATAGTGAGGCAGGAAATTCCGTGGCCCTGCTGCTCTGCACCATATAACTGAACTTGTTGCCTTCATCAGAAAGCTCCCAATTCATTATGGTCTTTTTAATAACAGCTTGCAAAGACCCTAGAAAATAACATGCTCTAGACCAATTGTGTATGCTCCGAGGTTATTGCACCAATCTTCTCGTGCCTTTGGCCTGGCACATGTGCCTTCCAACTGTTGGGAACAGCACTTATAAAGTTGCCCACAGAAATGAGGTACGGTTCCTGCAACACAAATGAGAAAAGCATTCAAAGTAAGCATTAGTTATATGATCCCAGATAGAGAGATGAATTACAAATCCATGCCATAAAATTATCACTATATGCAGGATCTATTTCAGATCATGAATAAGGATAACCAAGTGAAAAAAAAATAAAAATAAAAATAAAAAAAAAAAGAAGGGGGAAATTTGACCAGTAATCTAAATTAAGATTTCAGATTACCAAAAAAAAAAAAAAAAAAAAAAAAAAAAAAAAAAAAAAAAACACGTGTATATCATACAATTCAAGCAATATTTAGCATGATAAGATCCATAAAAACAAAAGGTTTTTAACAGTGGAAGTCCCAATATCATCTCAAATAATATGCCGAAAATGGATCTAAACTACCAAGGAATACAATACAAAAACACATGATTTCACTGTACAGTTGAAGGCTATTTTAAGTAAATTCCAAAAAATACAGAGCAGATATAAAATATGCAAATTAGTAGCCAAGAAATCTGTCATTTACCAACTGGAGAAAACCAGTATTGACACTTGAGTAAGTTGAATGGCATTAAAACCAATCCTAGTGTCATTGGTACTTGCTCAGTATCTCAACTATCAGTAGAAAGGTGCCATCTGCTCATTCTTCAATCCATCAACTTGACTTTGCCCTAACAAAATTCAAGAATTGCTATCAGATTTTATAACAGAAAGCTTAGGATAATATAATAAAGGAAATCAATAATAGTGATAACTAGGGAATATATTGATCAATTCAAGATAATCCATCATTGCATTACAATGACATGCTAACATGTCTGCTGCTTTCAAGAATAGAATCAGAAAATTTCTCTCTGTGCATGCATGTTTCACTTGTTTCCATAGAAGCACAAAAAACAAGTAAAGGCAATACAACGGAAGGCAAAAGAGACAATATGGCATCATAGATAAAGCCAAAAAAGATATTTATGCCCATTTAATGCTTTCCAGAGAAAAACCAGAGCTTTTGTTTTTAATTAGGACCAAACTAAACTTTATAAAAAATTAGTAGCAACTGTATGGTTAAGCAATTAAAAAAAAAAAAAAAAAACCCTAGCAAATGAACTTGATCTGAATGATGAAAACACCAACTACGAGCAAATATCTAAATGATCAGAGTTCCAGGTGAGGGTGAATGTTCAAATCATAAGGAAACCCTGAAAGAGAAAGTTGTTCCCCCATTTGCAAATAACACGGATAATTTAGGAATCTCATAAGATATAGTTATCCAGCTCAATAAGGGAGCTTCTAAAGCAAGGAGTTAGCCCAAAACCCTATAAATAGTCTTAAGGGTCTATTTGGATAGTTTTGGACTTATCTATCATGTTGATTTTTTATAAATTTTCAATTAAAATACAAATCCAAACCAATATCATTTCAAATACACATCCATCCGAATAGATCCTGAGATGACTCAGAAAAAGGAACAAAACTCTCTTTAATGACTGTTATTCTGCAGCTATATCCCCAACTTCTAACTTAGAAATCAGAGCGGCTCCACAAGAACCACTCCTGGCCCCATTCCAAGGCATATTAGGAGCAGGAGATCTTTGTAAACCGCAGAATGCCTAATAAAACTACGAAAGGACGATTGTTATATATACAAGGCATAACACAGAATAGAATCAATACAATTCCAACTCACAAATGAACCGAATATGAAAGAATCCACATGCACCTGCAACTGATGTTTCTGAATGTGCCTGATTTGCTGCCCGAATTTCCTCTGGCTTTTGACCATTTATTACATTTGAATTTGGAATAGGTAACAATCTATTGCTGTTGCTCACTATTTTAGCTCTCCTAGAAGAATTCAATCAAAATTGGAAACATCAATTTTCAATCAACTGGTCCAACATAAATTCTAAAACCTTGCAAGAAAGAATAATAATGTAGCACATACCTGATCATTTTCTGCTTCAAAGTGCCTGTTTTTAGCTTAGTTGTCCCCTTTAAAGGACCCACTTTAAGAGCTAAAGCAGGTGATGTTGCTTTGCGACCACCCCTCTCAGCTTTTATAGCAGCAATAAGAGAATCAGCTGTAGGCCCCAAACCCTTTCTCCCAACCAGCTTCACTCCTAGGTTCTCACACAGATAATTCAACCTCATTTCATCACCCCCTCTCACCTCTCTTAGCTCAAAGGCCTGCTCTTTAGATAACAAGGTGTAAACATGAAGCTGTTGTTGCTGATTAAAATGTGACTGAAGCTGCTGAAAAAGTAATTTATTGGAATGTTGTTGATCTGGCCCAGAACCTTCTTGACTTTTCTTCCGAGGTTCATTAAAGGTCACCCTCAAGATTGCTGTGGACTTTGGATCAGTATTCTTTCGACCAAAAATGACAGAAAAACTCCCAAATTCTAAATCAGGCTCTCTAAATAAATCTGCAAGAAGAGAAGCACAGTTATGGGCATTCTTTGAAGAGCCCCTAGTAATTTTCATACTCAAAGTTCGAGAACTAGCATAACGAGCTATGTTTGCAGCTTCTCTTAACCCACTAAGAAAAGCTCCATGCATTGTTGCAGGATACCGCCTGGTGGTGGCCTCCCCTGCAAAGAAAAGTCTTCCATCCCCAACACTCTCTGCTAATATATCATAGTCATCTCCAGAAGCCCCAACTGCAACATTAGAGTATGCACCAAGGGTAAACGGATCACTACCCCATCTTGTACAGACGGTTTGGATAGGTTCTGGGACAGTGATTCCTTTTGGTTCATAAATACCTGCAAGTATTCATCCCAAATGCCCATAAAAACTATTCTAATAAGTAAAACCGTATGAAAATTTGTATTTCTTCTGAAATGCTCATGATTAAGACAGCAAAAGTAAATGTAAATGGTCAATAGAAATGGTCATCAACAACTGAAGGAAGTCACTCAAATAGATGCTCACTAGTAATTCTGATGCACGCATGTGAACAATTGTTAAACCACTCGATCATCATATAATATATAATTTTTTTAAATTTAGAACTTTGCAGAACTCATTAAAACAACAGAATGATCATGGATGGATTACCCTTGAGAATCTGAAGAACCTGTGTCACTGCATCTGTGGGAGGCATACTCTCAAATTTATGTGCAGCTTCTCCTGCTACAAGAGCAATCAATAGTGGATCACCAGAAGCGGTTGCATAGCTATAAAACAAAAAGAACTCCCCTCGAGTGCTTGAATCATCAGTTAGATGCCCAAATGTGTCAAGATCAGTTTCCCAAAACACATAAGGAAAAAGCATTGCAACCTTATTCAACAGCCCATACCCCAATCTCTTTATCCCGTCAAGCTTCCTCTGGGGCAACTCAGGAATAAATTTTATGGACCCACTCTTCAATACCCCAAGTGGAACTGTACACAGTGCCATATCCCCCTCAAAAACCTGACTTCCAGAAACAACCTGCACTCCATCACTCCCATACCTAATAGTATGCACAGTCTTCTCATACAAAATTGGCACATTCTCTGCTAAAGCTTGAACCAACCTTCCATTCCCACCAGGCATAAAACAATGGTCCCCACCCATGTCATATGGATCATCCTGGTCCCAAAACGCCAATGAAAGCTTTGACAACAATCCAGCATTGGCATATTCCAGATTTGCACAATGCCAATTAAACAAGTTCATTTCCTCCTCATTCACTGCATCCCCATACACCTGCCTAAAAGTTTCCAATGATGCCCCTAATGATACGTCCATAGCAACGTCCCCCATTAACTGCCTATGCTTACTTGCCTTATCTAATAAACGATTAAAAACTGTTTCAACTTTCAAGTCTGTATCCAAATCAACTGGTTTCCCATCAAAACTATACAGTGGACACTTATCTCTTACCTTATGCAATGATTGCCCCAACTGCCTTGCCAAAATTCCTAATGGGTTTCCCAAAGTCCCTGTTAACACAGTTCCACCTAAATCTGCTGATGCAGTAACCTTATTTCCGCCTCCTCCCTCCATTTTTTTGGTGTAAACTCTCCCACCAGCACGTTTTCTCCCCTCCAAAACTGTAACCTTAAACCCAAACCTCATTAACTGCCTCGCAGCAGCCAATCCAGCCAAACCAGCACCGATGATTATAACCTTTGACTTCGTAAATTCATTAGGGATTTTCTCTTTAATTGACTGTGAGACTCCAAAATTAATATACCCGCGTGAACCTAAATAATCATAAGCAGAACCTAACAGGCCATGACAATGTTTTGGCACCGAATTTGTGAACATTTCTTTTGTTATCCAACTGTTCACATTTTCGCGCCATTTAGCAATGATATGGTTTCTAATGAGTATATAATTGACCTGTTCAATGCCGCCGATAACCGAAACCACGCCGGCTTCAATTTCCTCGTCAGTTAGAGAATCAGCAGGAAAACCTGCAGAAAGTGCGATCAATGCCTCATTGGTAGATTCTTTGTTGATTACTATAATCTCTTCGGCAATGTCAGGTACTGGTTGTTGGATTAATGAATTAGGATTAGGGTTAGGGTTTTCAATTATAGAAACTTTAGGTTTGGTTGGCAATTGTGGAAGTGGAATCTGAAACGACGTTGTTGAGGTGGAAGCGATGGTGGTGCGTTGGGATCGGCCGCGACGTCGTTTCTTGGGGACAGAGAAGGAAAGGAATTGATTAGGGTTATTAGAATTGAGAGAAAGAGTGGAACTTGGGATTGAACTAGGATTAGGAGTAGGGTCAGGGAGAGGAGGATAAGGAATGAATTCGAGAGGAAGAGAAGAGAATTCATCGGGAGTTGGGGTTGATGGGTTCATTGTTTGCTATTCTCAGAGAGAGTCTGCAATTTTTTGTTTTAATGGGTCCATCTCCCCTTTCTTCTTCCTCCTGTTCTCAGCTCAGCTGTTGTGTTTTCAGAATTCCTTAGCTGGATTCAGCGATTTAAATCTTGTGTCTGAAATAACATCAAACCTATTATTTGATTTAAATCTTGGATTCAATTCATGGATTTCTTATAGCATTACCAAACCTATTATTTGTTTAATATATGAATTTAATTATTGAAATTATAGTTATTTATTTTTAAAAAATTATAACATAGATAAAATAGAGATGTTATATAATTAAATGAATTAAAAATTTCAGTAATGTGCTAAAATTGTAGTATTTAATAAAAAACACAATAATAAGAGTTAAATGCACTTTAATCTCTAATTATTATTTTTTAATTAATATTTGGTTATTTTGTTAGGTTTTTTTTTTTTTTTTTTGGAAAATAATTATTTAGTCCCTCAGATATAAAGAAATTATTTAAATAGTCCCTTCGTTTTTAACAAATATTTAGAGCGATCTTAACATTTGCATATCCGTCGTTCTAAGCAGTAACTCCTTTTAATTTTATTGATTTTTTCAGTAAAAATAAAATTGCATCAGCATAAGAAGGTGACAAGACGAACAATAACTACAAGACATGGCCCTTTAATCTCTGTCCTCTCTTCTATAAGCTTGATTGTTGTTCCAGTGATGGAGGAACTACCATTAATGCTTCATGGTTGGATCTGGCAAGATTACCATCTGAGTAAAATTGCATCAGCATAAGAAGGTGACAAATTAGTATTCGGGTGTAAAGCGAGCCATAAGTCTTGCTTGTTGTGGAGGAGGGAAATTGAAATTTATGTCTTGGTATATTTAGCAAGTCCCTGTTAATCAGCTTGATTAAAATCAAAATTATCATCAATCCTTTTTCAATTTTGTAGAGATTTACAGACCCAACCATGGATGTGTGCAGTTTGAGTATATTGTGAAATTCGTGTAAGTAAATTAAGACGCAATAGTAAAAAATTTTCTTTTTCTTTTTCTTTTTCTCAACATCCTCTGCTGGCCCTTGGTGATATTGTTTCCTGGTTATTATCTTGAATTGCAAAATCAAAGTATGCAAATTGTGGAAATGGTTTGGCACAATATATAAAATATGTGTGTACCTTTTGGCGGCGTCAACGATGTGTGTGGCCGAGATCTAGACCAGAGCCAATGATATCCAATGCTAGTCACATGGGTTGCCGTTAAATGCTCTGCCACCAGTCGTGTTGTTCTATTTCTTCCCTTTCATTGCTTGATCAGCTTTAGGTCCTTGATCTCCATGATAACCGTCTCAACGTACCGTTTTATATCTCATATACTGTACGAACCTCCGGCTTCTTTATTTTGCTAGCAATAACTTCTCTGGTGAGATCTCACTAGAAAGTTCCACTCTCAAGCGGCTTCTCCGCTTAGACCTATTGGACAACAACATTCACAGCGAAATTTCCAACCAAATTAACCAAGCTATTGACTCTTCAGTTGCAAAACAATGAACTCTTTGGCAAAATTCTTGAATACTGAAAAATTAGCTTTGAAGAGACAAATGAGAGGGGCCATGGATGGAGGGAATGCTTATGTGATTTAGCTTTCATTTTGTCAAGGGGTGTTTTCGTCTTTTCATTATGACTTAACGGAAAAAATGAAAAAACTAGACAGATGGACGACTTAGAATGATATATGCAAATGTTAGGCATGCGCTGAATATTTGTTCAAAATGAAAGGACTACTTAGATAATTTCGTCATACCTCATGAACTAAATAATTATTTTTATTTTTATTTTTTTTTAGGAAAATGCTTACCAATTGCTTGAAGGACCATATAATGCATTTGAATTTGAAGAAAAAAAGATTAAGAAAGTCATAATAATTTTTTTCAAAATGTTAATTAAGAACTTATGCATGTTTTTTTCCAGGTAGTAATCTCTCTAAATTAGAAGTTGCTTTTTGGCTTTATTTTTAAGTAAATTTATTTGAGTATGTTGAAATGAGTAATTTTTAAAAAATAAAATTGAAATAAGGCTCAATTTATTTCTTGAACTTGGACACCATATATAATTTGCTTAAGTTTAACTTTTCGTACAAATTACCCTTTAAACTTGTATCAAAATTACAAATTGTCCTATTTTTGCCCAAAAAATAAATTATTTGATATGAATCAAATATGATTAAAAAAGTAATTAAATATTTAATCTAAATCAAATATAATTAAAAAAATAATAAATATATTTTTGTAACCAAAATTTTCAATATAATATTCAATATATCAAATCTTTTTTATAATTTTAATAATTTTTTACAAATCAATATTTGTTCATTATTATTTTTATAATTATTATTATATTTTAAAATGATTTTTATTTTCTAATTTTAAATTTTTAAGTAATTTTTTATTAGTTAAAAAACAATAAAAAAAAGTTTTCTAAAAAAATTGGGCTTTTTATTTTTTTGGTGGAAGTTGAAGGGGCAAATTGTACAAAAAGTTAATTTTCGGTGAAATTTAGAAGGCAGATTGAGCTTTAATTTAATAAAATTAGTATTTAATAACATAATTTAAGAATTAAAATTAAAATTTCCAGCATTTATTTATTTTTAAATTATATAATAACAATTCCAGAGAAACTTGAACGAAATTTGGAAATTCATTTGATTTCTCACACCCAACAGCACACATCTTTTGCTTTCATACAAGGTTTATACACAACTTCTTTCTTATTTTACAATTTGAAAATTTTGAAATTCATCTAGTTCCATGACATTTTGGCTAAATATATACTCCAATCACGCTCTTGAGATTTCAAGAGGTGGTCTTGGAATAGACTGTGGAAGTGTATCAGCAACTTGTTCTTAATTTTTGCAGAAAACGAACACAATTTAGTTCTAGAAAAATATCGAAATTTATAAGGAGTTGATCAATGGTGCTCGAACATTTACTTGTTTTGAATGTCTGTTTATTTTCTATCAGTATCTATAGATTCGTCACGAGGTTCGAGTGCACAACTTTTCTAATTCAAAGCAATTCGACAACAACATCACCAACGTTCATTCGATCCCTTGGCAATTCTTCAGAACAAGCAACACGAACCTTGAGAGCTGAAACTGAAACCAAACACTGTAAAAGCTTATCATTTGTAATGTTAGGAGACTCATTTGAACTTGTTCCTTCCCTTTTCCTTTCCTTTCTTAAATCAGCCCCCATGTCATGAAGTGAAGGAAGAAGGCTAAATGTCGCAGGTGCTGTTGGGAAATCTGCACGGATAGGATCGCATCTTCTCTAATACGAAATGGGTCCAACACTGCTGTTCCCCTATGTATTAGATAAAGCCATTTTAGCTAAGCTATGGAGGTTCAACCCATCTTTAAACATTTCATCAGTTGGTAGCAAGAACTTGCTACTTTCATTAGATTTCAATGCCTTAATAGCTGTTAAAGCCTCACATTCTGTCAAAAAACTTTTTCGAAGCTCCTTTAAGAAGAAGATTAATAAACTTTGACCCTTTTTTTAAATATTTTATTATTTAAGCGATGATATAATTGTCAATTTTTAATAATAATTTTTTCTTTCTTCAAAAATTTTACTAATTTCCAAAAAAAGAAAATAAATTTATTTTATTTCCCTGTACTTATATCAAAACATAATAATGAAAAATAAAAATTAACAATTACTCGCTATTTTTCTCTATTATTTTTCTTCTTTTAATATTTTTCTTCCTCTCCTTTCCAAATGAATGGCGGATTTTTAAAATTTTTTCCACATTTAATTTAAATAATCAAAAGATCCATTTATTTTTCTTTTTTACCAAAATGATTTTTATATAGTTTTTTTTTTTTATCCTTCCACTCTTGTTTTGTTGCCGGCTAATCTTCAAGAATTTAAAATATCAAAACCTATCCCTTCAATAGTTTTTCTTTTCCTTTTTTTTTTTTTTTTTTTTTTTTTTTTTTAATGTTGGAAGTAGTATGTTTAAAGAAACTTATGTCACCTTTGGGTTAGAAGCACAAGCCACAGGGATTGCAAACGTATCTTCCTATATATTTTTAATAATTTCCTATGCAAAAGACAACTATGCCACCTATTGTATTGTTTGGTATATAAACTCCAATTACAATGACTTCTAGGAGATTCTTGGTTAAAGATTCAAGATTACGTGCTACCAAATCCACAAAACAAGGTGAAAAGTATAAGATTTGGCTACATGTATAAATTCATCTTTGTACTTTACTAAAAAAAATGTTTGTGATATCCTCAATTTTTATTTTGATCTATTAAATATTTCAATTTATAAAATTGTACTAATTTAATACTTTAATTTGTAAAAATTATTTTATTGAATACTCGAACTTCTAAAATTTAATCAATTAAACACTTATTAGAATATTGAAAAATATAAAAATTATTGTTCTAAATATTATATTAACCATATACTCAGTGAATATCTTGCATATAAATATCAAAAACATAAAAAAAAAATGTTATTGCTAATATAGATAGGAATATAATATTAGCAAAATTTGTAACTTCAAGAGTATAACAGGTCATTCACAAAGTTTGACGTGCTACAATAAGATTTTTTTCGATTTTTTTTTATAAAGTACAATGGTAAATTTTTTGCAATAGTTCACTCATCTAAAGACATGTTAAATCACATAATTTCATGCTTGTCCTGATTATTCACCTCCTTTGGTTTGATCACCACCTTTTGCCAAATGAAGGATGAACCAAAGATGTATTATATATTTATATTTGTTCAAATCATTAAGATGACAAACATAAAATGTTGATGGAGAAAATTGTAAGACTGATACTTATGTTGAGGACAAGAATAATAAAGGGAAAATTACATTTTTATCCATATAGTTTGACATAATTAATTAATTTATCTTTATATTTTAAAAATTACATTATTTTATTCACGTAGTTAGGATCCGTCCATAACTTAAATCTCAAATAATAGACAGAAAGATAATTTTGTTCAACAGAGACAAACTAAAAGGATAAAATAATGTGATTTTTAAAATGGAAAGACAAAGTAGTTAATTATGCCAAAATATAAGGATAAAATTGCATTTTTCCTAATAATAAAGGAAAGAATCAGGAGTTGTTTGACACAAAGAACAACAAAGCTAGATATAAACAGCTTTCATCTAGTTCTATCCGTCTTAGTGTGTGTGTATATATATTGCCCACAAAAAAAAAAACTAAACTCAAAACGACATTTCTCACATTTTTACCATCCCCTAGTTTCCTTCCTTAAATTTATTGATGAAATAAATTGATCAATGGGGACTAACCTTTGCAAGAAATTAATAGGTAAAAGTTCAAGTCAAGGATTCTCCATTATTGAATCACTCAAGCCAGAATGCCTCAAAGCAAATAAGAAGAAGAAGAAGACATTAGAAGAGTGGCTCTTAGGCTCTCCTAGTATGAAGCCAGAATGCATAAATGGAGGTCAACTTTATGTTTTGAAGAATGTGTCTAAAAGGGTATACCCATCTTCTATAGAATCCCATGAAATTGCTGTAAGTGGGAGTTTTTTTACTTTGGAAAGATTTTTGATGCTTGATAGAGAGGATGATTACAAAGATTATATCAGTTTTTCTTCTTTATCAATTAAGAAAACCCCAAGTGGAAAGTCAGTGAAAAGGGTCAGCTTTAAATTGCCCGAGGAAGCTGATATAATCATTTTTGACTCACCAAAGGAGTCAATAGAGATTTGATTATGATTGTTCTAATTGTTAGATAGATAAAAACTCACCCTTGAGCTATCTTTTATGAGTTTTGACTTTTAGGTTATGATTGTGAGAATCCTTTTTTTAGGACAGTCCAACTTTTTTATTACTAGTTAAATCTACATCTTTCAAGAGGAGCTTTAAGATGTTTGTTGCCACAATTTTGTAGCCGGCAATAATTTTTCCTACTTTTATAGCAAAAAAATGCCATAAAACATGGATTCTCTATTTTATGACAATTCAATTCGAGTTAAGCAATTTATATTGGTTTGATTTGACTTAAATCAAACCAATTGAGCGTTCATGTGCTTAGGCTAATCTGCTTTAACTAGTTACATATAAAAAGAATATACCAAACAATAATGTTTGTCCAAATTTAAAATTGAATGCATCAAATTTCCTGCACATGAAGACTCAATAAAAGATGTCTTTACCAGGCCTTGGGAAATAAATACAAAATGGGCATATTCCAAAAAGACATCTTTAGTTGTAGCAAAGACATTTTGGAATTACTGTAGCAAAATTTGCAGTTTCTCATAAACTGATCTGACCAAATCATTGTCTTTAGAGGCTGAAAAGATATCATCTACCTTCTCAATACAACATAACTAGATTCATTGGTCTTCTGAATCCTAGAAATTCTCTTTAGAGTAGCTGCAAAAGCTTCCTTGTCCTGCATGCATCAATGAGTTTCGAGGATTCAGGAGAAAGGAAGAGACAATCAAAACCTTTCAGATTTCTCAAACAAGATAATTTATGTTTCGTTCTGGAATTGAGAATGGAATATTGTTCTTGAAGTAAGATGAAATATTTTGGTGTGGTTCACAAGGAATTCAAAAGTTCTTTGATCTTTTTATATTTGGTGAATCGATATTTGAAAAATTTGCATAATTCTCAGTAAGCATGTAGCTTTTTTTAGGAGGATGAATGAAAATGGATCTTTGAAAGCCAAATTTGCAAAAATATGAAAACAAGTGACTGCAGTGAAGGTAAAGACGAATCAAGCAGCACCTAAACACAGATAAGTAAACAAGAAAGAGCATACCTGGCGGCATTTTAGCTTCGCTTTAAACCGAGAAACAAGTTCTTGTGTAGTCACAGGTCCATTTTGCGACAAGACAGCCCTAATCTCTTCTTCTGAGACAGGTCCAATGGATGACGTTGATTCTGTTTTCAGAGATGATGGTACCACCTTGGAAGTCACGTTACTTTTAGTAGCAGCAACACTTTCTTCTTTCACGGTATGTTTCAGTTCCTAATCCACAATGATAGTACGAAGAAAATTAATTATTAAAAGATCAGTGTTCAATCTATTAATACTATCAACGCACTCTAAGGTCATAGAGTGAAGTCAAGGTGCAAGACACAAGTTTTGGGCATGAGCCTACAGTAGGTCAGGTGTAAAATTGGCAGCGTTTGGAGTACAACAAATGCAAATTTGCCTTTGTTGCACTTCGCACAGGAATATTTCCCCGTCTGACCATGGCAGAGGCTCTAGACATAGCACCTTGTGCCTGAGGCACACTCCGTTGACAGTTACAGGTTTATCAAGAGCAATAACATACATTTTCTGCCTTGACCTTCTTTTGAGGCACACTGTTAGATGTTTTTGCATCATCACCATTTGATTTTCTTTTTCCCTTTGCTGACTTGGAAGCAGATTGATTTCCCTTAGCAGAACCAGAAGGCATTGATTTTGCATGATTACTTTCAGTAGGTTCCTCCTTAGGTGTATCCTTCTTCTTCGGAGCCAGCACAGAAATCTCATCATCCATCTGGATATTATCAGCATACATAATATATAACTCAACTTAGGCCTCTACACTTCATAAACCAGAGGTTAGTAGGGAAAAAAACCAGCAAGGCCAAGCATAATATATTATTCACAAGGTTATATCACAGATGCCCTTAGGGTGTAAACAGGACAAGAAAATACAATCAGCCATCATTAAAACTCACATCATCATCATCATCATCATCTGAATCACTGAGTCCACCAGCTTTCCCAAGAAGCTTCTTCAACTCTTTCCCAGATTTGCTCAATCCACCTTCTTCATTCTCTTCGCCCTCATCATCTTCATCCTGCAATATGTAAAAACCCAGGTGATAAGGCCTGCAGTATAATACACATTTTTAGGGGGCTTAAATTTTAATGATCCATTTAGAACACTGCAAAGTACAAACACTCAATGTCTGGCAATAAATTTTCTCATTTACAATTCAAAAAAGACTCCAAACTTATAATTGCCATTTTCACTTATCAATGAAATGTACCGCACATCCATTTTACTTTGATAAAGATTCAATTCAGTCTAGCAACCTACTCACATGACAAACAAAGAGTAAATCGGAAACAAACTACTGAATCCAGAAACATAAAACAGACATCAAACTTATGTAGAATGCAAGTAATTGCAACAAATAATTTAGGTTTATCGCTAAATTGACCACAAAGATGTTTTTCTAAACTGCTTACTTTTACCTTTATTTAATATCTCAATTGCCATCAAAATAATCAACTAAAAACTAACAATAAATCAAATGTCATCCAAATTGTGCATTATATTCATGATAAATGTAATAGATTAATCATTGAATCTATCAACAGCCTGCATCTACTGATAAAGTCATGAAAAAATGACATGTCACCTTCTGCCACTAACAAGTAACGATCAATACGCAAAATTTACAGAATAAAAATACACCTGCTTGATTTCTGGAGGAGCAGGAAGCTCAGGAGCCAGATCTTCCCGTTCCTCTGGATCATTACCAACTGCTTCATCATCATCAGTGAAAATCTCTTCATGCTCCCAATCATCACCTAAAATCAACAAACACACATCACTTATTTGGAACTACTTGAAAAGCTAAATTGGAGAGATTTGAAAAGTTTAAAACGAAACATAATGTTTCCATAAGATTCAGAATTTACCAAGCTCACTGAATCAAAAAGAAAGATCACAGAGCGTCTTTCTTGTACATTAGAAAGAAAAGAATATTACCCCGTAAATGTAAAAAAAGAAGCAGAAAAAGAATATATGAGGAATCATTTGCTATTTGAACGTTAAATTTTAAAGGATCAACTATTTATTACAAGAGACTGACATCTGCAACATAATATTGAGGAAAAATGCTCACCCTTCTCGCCATCATCATCATCCATATCATGATCACTCCCCTTTTGACCTTCCTCTTCATCATCACCATCAAATCTGCGAAGTCCAAGTCTATTCTTCCGTGCTGTCTCCTCTTCTTCAACTTCCTCTCCCTTGTCAGAAACATTGCCGCCTTCATCATCACCAGCTGTTTTTCTGCGTCCCTTTCCACCAGCTGTACCACTATCCTTATCATCAAACTTCTCCACTTCACCAAATGCAGCAGCCCCATTATTTGCAGCTTTCATCATCCATCTTTCATATCCATCTGCAGTCTTTCTCCTGTTCTTCATCTTCTCTTCTGCTTCCTCCAAGGTAAGTTGCTTGTAATGTGCAACTTTGTTAAAATTATACCTGGAAAACATGTCAAGCAACAATAGTTAACAGAAAATATTCATATTGCTCATCCATAAGTAAATAAATTTCAAAAAGAAGTGTCTATATCCTAGTATGAGCATCATTTTCCAGCATCAAAAACCAAGTGAGGCAGAATAAGACATAAATTGATTTTATTACTACATATATACATGATCATATCTTTTTAGGACTTGCCCACACCAAGTAAAGAAAAATGAACCACCAGTATATACCAATCAATTATCGTGCATACCAAGAACCAGCAGGGATAGCAACAAACTCTTTTCCCTGCAGTATCAACAGGTAGTAAGTTGCTGATTGCGAACCTTCGAGATGACCTTGGTACTGAGACTGGCCAGTTTCATCCTCCAACAGCCAAGGCCTGTTCTTGTACTTCTCCTATATAATATAATTGTGCACACAAATAAGAAGAAGGCTATCAAAACATTTATCACATTTATTGAGCACACAGAATGACTAGAACATGAAAATTCAATGGATTACAGCTAACATAAAAGTTTGCCTTCCCTTTTATTAAACTCTCATTTCTTTCTTCGCTGTCAAAATTCACTTGAAGGTTGCTGATTATATTAAACTAATGAGTGAACTAACAGTATGAAGCTTTGGTAAAGGATGATTCTAATACATATGGGAGCATTGATAATAGGACATTTGGTTAACAGATGCCTTTGACGTGAAATTGCTCAATCCTTCCAATTCAAAATTTGTATTTTGCACTTGAGTAGAAAATTATGCTAGTCTTTGTTCATTGGAGGAGGCTTATAGGTTAGTACTTAGTAGCAAGTTCTGTGGAGGAAAAGTTGTGATCAGGCAGAGTATAATTGCTTGTACAGAGCAGAATAAAATAATTGCATATCTTTTCTTTTGACTTAAATGATTCTTTTTTATCAAGCAATTGAAGAAAAAGAAAAGGAAAAGAAAATGAGAGAGCAAGGAGAAGCGTTTTTGGTTGAGCAAGGATGAAACTGCAGGAGCAAAAATGATATAAATTGAAGTGATACTACAACAGGCAGTTGAGACCTATAGGACTATGGTTAAGTAGAACAGGCACGAGCTTGGAAATGATCATTCATCCACATCCATGCATGCAATGGGATTTGCTTTAAAAGGCATTATAATGAAGAGAATTTTTTATAATAATTTTGCACAGTTAACGGAGATGGTAGAATTAAGTGATGAGAAAAAAAAAAACATTCTTCATCATAGAAAATTCACTACATAGAAGTAATTTTTGTACTTCCCACGTGTTAACAAAATCAAACTAAAAACCTAAATTCCACCTTTGTTTAACAAACCAAAGTAAATAGATATGAAGTATAGCAAAAGGTAAACAAGGCAAGAAAGATTCATTACCCGCAAAGCATCAGTAAGTTGACGTCCTTGTAGTCCTTCTTTATGAATAGACCATTTACTATCAGCATTTTTCTTTCTAGAAAAACTAGGCAATCCTGTAACAAATCTACCAATAAAGTAGTTCTTGTCGGTGATAGGACTGGCCCGAACATTATATTCCTAAAGAGAAATCAACGAAAAAATCATACAGTAGTTCTTCCTTCCAAGAAAATCTTAAATAAATACAATCAATCAATGAATCAGTAAAAATCTCCAAACCAAACCGAATATATTCAAGCATATAGTAGTTCTACCTTCCAAGAAAATCTTAAATAAATACGATCAATCAATGAATCAGTAAAATCTCCAACAAAAACAGGAATATATTCAGAATTAGCATAATTTCTTAACAGTATAACAATAGCAACGCCAATAAAATACCTAGAATTCATCTTTTCACGAATTCTACAGATTATATTCCTTACATCAAACATGTGCATTACCTAACCAGAACAAATGCACGCATAGCGTGAACAAACAGCAATGAAACAACAAAAACAGAGCGGATTCAGATTGCACATACATAAAACAAAACGTAGAAATCAGATTTAGAGAAAAAGAAGCGAAACTCGAATCAAACGAGTAATGGTGACGCCACAATCATAGCATTTCTCAAGGTTCTCCGCCATGGTTTTGCCACAAGTTAAGCAAAGAGTCATGTGCTTGCAATTGCTTCCATACAAATCTGTGGTCGATCCACATCCACTGCACGATGGCTTTAAGAGAAGATCGAACGACATTTTTACCTTCCACCTTCAAAGATCAATAAACAGACTAGAAGACGGACCTGTCTAGCTTTTTTGTAATTGCTAATAACTGTAGGAGAGAGACAGAGAGAGTAAAAAAAAAAAAAAAAAAACCATGGTTTTGCGCACAATTAAGCAAAGAGTCATTGTGCTTGCATGCTTCCATTACAAATCTGTGGTTCGATCCCACAATCCACCTGCACGATGGCTTTAAGAGGAAGGAAGTCGAAGAGACGGACATTTTTTACCTGTTCCACTTCAGAAGATCAATAAAGCCAGAACTAGAAAGAACGACGCTGTCTAGCTTGTTTTTGTGAAGTTGCTAATAACTGGTTAGGAGAGAGACAGAGAGGAGTAAAAAAAAAACGAAAAAGTAGGGGCACCCAGAGGTCGTGTTGTTAATTTGAGAGAAAAAGTCTGCAGCGGTTGTTCCTTTTAGTAGGAGTTGGTATGCGGCCCATTAATGAGAACCTATAGTCTGAGCTGGCCGGAGCTTGTCCGATTCAGCCGCCAAAATCTGAATTTTACACTCATCTAAAAGGACTTAAGAAGCTGATAAAAAAAAAAAAAAAAAAAATAGGGCACAGAGTCTGTTTTAATGAAGAAAATCTCACGGGTTTTCCTTTTATAGGATTTGTATGCGGGACCCATTAATGAGACCCTATATCTACTGGCCGGAGCTTGTCCGATTCAGCCGCCAAAATCTGAATTTTACACTCATCTAAAAACTTAAAAGCTGATTTTCCAAAAAAAAAAAAAAAACTCTTTTTTTAACTATACATGTATCCATGCTTCGCAACGAATAATGAAAATTTTAAATTTCGAAAACCTCAAATTTTACAATTAAAACTAAAATTCATTCCAGAGTACAATAGTCTGCCGCTATGCAATCGCTTTTCGATTAAAAAGAGAAATTATTATTTAGAAAAATTAATTATTTAGTCCCTATGTACTTAAAATTATTTAAATACTCTTTTTTTTTTTTTTAATATCCAAAACATCGTTGACGTCACCCTAGACAATATGAAAGCCCCAGACCTGCTCCACCCTCCACCGCCTTGGCCTACATCGCTTTCTCCACCATCGCTGCCTCCGCCATTAACATCCCCACCCCGCCATCTTCTTCGCCGCTGCTAAGCTTACTACAATGCCCTCTCCTTCCATTCTAGCCAACAGTATTAACTCTCTATACATGCAGAAAGGCCATAGCCCGTACCCAAGGTAATCGCTGCTCCTTTGCTCCTTGGGCTACACATCGACGATATCGAATTCACCAGCGTTCACCATACATTGGCTATAATGGCGGCAAAGGCTGTAAATCAGGGTTGGGCCTATAACGACCGGATCTCTTTACAGAATTTAGCTTTCGATATAGATAAACATTGGTTGCTTCATTTGTTGTACCATTCAATTCACCTGTTGTTCTTCCTAGTTGTACAGTGCCCAGATAGAGAACACAAGAAGAAGGAACTATCGATTCATCAGCAAATCTCTAAGAATTGTTTGTAGACTCGAACCCTTTAGTTAATGATGCATGAACTAACAAGAGCCTTTTCAAGTATGCTCCTGCAACTCAATTGTGGAGAAGCAGGCTCCATGTAATGGGTGGCAGCAAGGAAAATCGCCACACTTCTGGATTGGATAATTGGAATATTGCCGTAATCGGGGGTCAAGAGGGTGATTTTATGCCAAAACCTGGGTCAAGTGCTCTCGAAGGTCATGATGTAAATGAACTAATTATTTTCTACATTATTATATTAGATTGGCGTTTAGCAGACCATGTTGTTGTTATGTCGAAGTCAGAAGCATGCTCACACGTAGCCTATATATTCTTCATTGTTTCAGGTTATTATTTTCTTGAACTTCTATTTTGTTCTGTTATAGATAGATTATTGATTGTTTCCAGTGGCCCAACTAGGAAAACAAGAGAAGAGAAAAAGTCAAGTTTGCCAATTTCAAATATTTTCTCTTACCTGTCTTTTACTTTTTTCCATTATCGAACGATCAAAATTGGACGGACAGAATACTTAGAATAAGATACAAATGTTAAGATGCCGTTTAAAAGATTATTTAAATAATTTCGTCTAATTTAAAGATTAAATAATTAATTTCCTTATTATTTACCTTTTTATTACAATGAAATACGTCAATTAGATTTATATTTTTTAACATAAAGTTGATTCCTCGATCGACAGGGTTTTTAAATATTTTTCAAATATTAATAGGAAAAATTATAAACATATCTTTATATTTTATAAAAAAAATTATTTTGCCTTTATTTTTTAAAATATAAACTGTTATTCCGTCGTATTTCAAATCCTTTACACTAAATTATCCTTCCATTAGGTTTTTGCTATTTTAGGCGTTAAATACATATTAAATACGCTTTTGACCCTATCTTATCTTCTCCTCAAACAGACCCATAAATCAATATACACATATGCAGAAGCAAATAAAAATAAAGCTGAATCAGATATTAAGAAATAAAAACTAAATTCCCCAAAAATGAAATCCAAGTTGTGGACTTTATCCATAATCCTAACTTCCATAGATCTCAAAAATAACAAAATCTAGATTCTCCAAAAAGAAAATCAAAGTTGTGAACTCTATCCATACTTCTAATTCCACAGGCCTCAAAAATAAAAAATAAAAAAGACAAACACTCAGTTGAAAATCAAACTTGAGATTGAATTATCTAAACTCATGCAATCTATAAACAAATAAGAACTTACCAAGAAACAGAGAATAAAAAAAGAGTGTGAAAAGAAAATCAAGCTCAAAGAGAAGAGAGAGATAGAGAAATAGAAGTTTGAACAAAAGAGAGAGAAGAGAGAATCGATTGGAGATGGAGAAATCAAAGGCTAATGAGTAAAGAACCAAATGATTGGAACTGAAAATCGGGTTATAGATGTGGGAGTTAAAAAGCTCACCGGAATGGTAGGATTCATGAACTGAGTTATGAATGTAGTTATGAACGTTCCGGCTATCAGATACGGATTCAAAGGAGCTACAGCTAAAACTTGTTGCAGTGGTTGTAATAATTGAAGTGGCAATGTTAAACCAGATTGAGTTCTTGAATATCAATGTGGGTTTCCAGGGAAGTTATATTTTCCAGGAACCAAACAGTCAAAAGGAGGAATTATTGTATGGCAGGGAAGTTAAAAAGTTATATTTTCCAGGGAAGTTACATAGCAGTTTATTTTTGAAAAAATAAAGGTAAATTAGTTTTTTTTTTTTTTTTTTACAAAATATAGGGGTATGGTTACAATTTTTCCATATTAATATATTAGCTTAAAGTATGAATTATTGTATAACCCTTATCGCAAGGTATTGTAAATTAATTTTAGTAATTCTTCTATTTTATGATCTTTTAATTATCTAGTTATGTTAGCTAATTTTTCAAGGAAAATTAATGATTTAGATATGAAAAAATTATCTGAGTAATTCCTTATTTTTAGATAAATATTCGGAACATCTCTAATGTTTGCATCCATCAGTCCAATTTCCTCCGTTTTTTCCGTTAAGTGACACGGAAAGGACAAAAACACCCTTTGGCCATATGCAAGTGAGAGATCCATTCTCTCCCTCTCCGCCATCTCGCCTGCATCGCCTCCTCGACCGTTGGCTTCTCTGCCATCAATATTCCCACCCCTGCCATCTTCAAACTCTCTTCCCAACCTCTCAACACAAACCCCCTCACCTCCACTCTCTTGCCTACCTTCCTCAGTGCCGCTCAATGCTGATTCCATCCTTACCAGCTCATCCTATGCCTCGGCTCAACTGACCATGTCGTCGACTCGGCTCTTGCTACCGACCTGGGGCTCCAGTTTGTCCACGTGGACGCATCGCGGACTGAGGAGATCGCGGATACAGTGATGGCTCCATTTATTGGCTTATTGTGCGCAAACTCATTTGCTCTCTTGCCTCGCAATTTTGGCTTATGGATGCCTTGGCTTGGTGCAGCCGCTGTGTCGAGGAATGAGAAGATGCAGAGGACTGGTTCTGGGGATCGTTGGTAAATCTGCATCTAGTACTATTTAGGTGGTCTAAGCCTCTCATGGCTGGAGCCGATCCTTCTCCATTATGGTTTAAGTGGTCTTCTTTAACTTGAATTTTCTTGCTATTAGTTAACAAGGAGAAATTAGTTAAAAAATATATTGGTTTTGGGTGAAGTAATTTTACCAAAAATATAAAAGGCTAGTTCACCTATAGATGTGTGAAAGTTTTCCCATTGAGGAAAAAGAAGAGAAGGGTAATTTTGTCAATTTTATATTTTTTTCTCTCACCTCTCTTTTGTTTTTTCCAACATTAACGGAAAAATGACGGATGTGAACGTTAAGGAGGCTCTAAATATCTGTTCAAAATGAAGGAATTACATATATCATGTCTCGGATCCTAAATAATTAATTTCCCATTTTTCAATTATAGGATTGACAAAAAAACTGAAGAAAGATAAATAGAAATGAATGCTTATCAAGTATAAATTTTCGTAAATAAATTTGGATCATTAACATATAACCCATACATAAGTATAATATATACAATCCATATTCTTATCTATTTAATTAAATTAGTTGAGTTTTTTTTATCTATTTAATTAATCAGGTTACACGTGCTATGTTTCGTATTATTCATTTTTCACATCATGTTCGTGTTTAAATATGAAATGCTTATATTATGAATCATATTAATATTGACCCTAATCCTATATATATTCAAATCAACCATTAAATTCCGATTAAGAATTACAAGTACTACACAAAAGTGTCAAAAATGAAAGTTGAATTTTTTTTATATTTTTGAATATTAATAGCAGTTGATTTTTGAGTGTTTTTTATTTTTGAGTCTTAATATCAGTATTGCATTTTCATATACATTTTTAATTTCTTGATTTTCTTTTCTCCTTTGGATTCATTGGTACACACCACTTCCACTGTATTCACGGATCTAGAAACTGCATATATATCTCAAGAAGATAATGACAGTGCAGAAATGGAGAACAAAGAATCGTATGCATCTTCATATTGAAAGTTAACCAGAAGTGAACAAAGGCCAGGTAAACCGAGGATGTTTTGACCTATTCAAAAGAACTGTATGCATAAATTTAGTGTAATTTCTGCAATTGCAGGAAATTATTGAATCGATTTTGGAAAACAACATTATTTTGGCAGAGAATTGTAAATGTAAAACCTATAAGAAGGGGTTCCAGCAATCTGCCAAATAAGGCAGTCGAAATCTCCTTTAATCAGCAAACGCCAAGAAAATTGCTGCAATCTGCAGAAAGTGAAAAGTGCAAAAGTCGAGCACCTTTAAAACCCAGCTCAGTAGTTCGAGACCCTCGAACAAATGAAAATTGAATGATAGTTATGCAGATTTCAGAAAATAATGATTGAATGAATAAATAGAGAGAATTGAAACTTACTGTTAGTGTTTTCCATCGTGAAATTGAGCATTTCTTGAAGACTTGAATGTTTCTAAAAATTTTTTAGCATTTTCCAACTCTTGCTTTTGTCTTGCCTTATCCCAATTGCACTCGGTAGCCAGTATCTGAATGATGCGTGGCAATGCCCGGCCTGCCGCATCAGTATCCAGGAAAGCAAGTCGTGATCTCCTAGCAATGAAATCAACTGCAGTTTCACAGTACTCATTTCGGGCACAGTAGGCAACCTCTGCCTCTAGAAAAGGGTACCCATGGGCAAGTCGCTTCCCTAGACCTTCATTCTGAAAATTAAAGAGGGTCCAAATGTTAATTACCAAAGTACCACAGGACAGAATGTTATGAAATAGAATTTGCTTCATTCATGCTAATCAAATCTTCGCAAAATCATGCAGCATGGTTACATGACAATCCTACTGCAACCAAGCATGCACCAGATTTATCAAGTCTAGAAGAGCTAACCATGCACCAGAATTAAGTGACCTCAGTTCTAATATCCCTTCAATAGAAGATTGTGCATAATAATGTTTAAACTATACCCAAAATGCATCCCCCTCCCAAAATGGAATGATATTTCCTGACAGCGAAAAAACTTAACCACTAAACTTCCTAGATAAATGGGAAACAAACTAATTCGTACAAATATCCCAAAGCAAAATTCAATGTGGGCTAGACACAATGGCAAATATAATGAATGAAACAGAAACAATTATGGAGATTCAATTATGAAATACGATTGGCCTGACTCAGCACCATTACCTAAGATGAACAATCTACTATTCCCACAATTTATGAGGCTCACCTCAAATTTAGCAATAGAACAAGAAGTGAAACCTGATATTTGTGTCATGGACATGCCAAATAACAAACGATATCAGAACATTAAGGGCAACAAAATAAACAGAATGGGCAAGCTCAAATATAAATAGTAATCAGGGGACAGGGAGAGCAAGAAGTCCAGGGAAAGGGCATACAGAGAAAAAAGAAAGGCCAAAGCAACCTGAGCTATGGCAGCTACTCGTTCTGCCATTGTACCATATGCATGTGACAAGTGCTTAGCAGCAGCAGTGTCCATCACTCCAGGAACAACTTTACCACCATATGACCTCTTCATACGTACATATTGTTGAGCAAGGACTGTGAACGATGAAGGCTCCCATCCATCACCACCAATCAGCCTCAGGTTTTGAGTTGAGCATTCATTTGTTGGACTTAGCTTTCCCGACTTTACAGCTGCATCAACTGCATCTTCTGCCATGCTGAAACACCATTTCATAAGAACAGAGCTTAGCTTTAGCAATAAGTCAAAAACAAAAAGTGGAGGGAGAAGGCAGGAAGGGCTGGACGTATTAGAGATCAAATATAACAAAATGGTAAACCACAAAAACGACGCTGAAGTGATGTTATTTTCTTACATTATGTGCATTAAGCTCATATATACTATAGATGAAATATAGCCAATAGGTGGAATTTTATAAGGTTTCATACTGGTCTATTAAAAAAAATTAAGTAGGAAACATCTCTACATTACTTATCCTCCTGACATGCCAGTTAATTCCAATAATTGGCAAGCTCAAGATTCTTCTCAGTTAAACAAAAATTACCTTCGGTAAGTGGTCCATTTTCCACCAGTGATTGTGACCAAACCAGGATGATCTTCACATACAACATGATCTCTGGAGATACTTTCTGTGCTCTTTGCTGATGGATCTATAGCCAATGGGCGAATGCCACTCCAGGCTGAAAGAACATCTATCCTGCGTACCTAAAATTTATATATTGCCGCTTCGTTATCCACAGCCAAACCAAATTAAAAAAATTCAATAACCAAACCAACAACTAGAATTCCGTGCAGTTTGATGAATATGAATCTATACACATGCAAAATGTCAACATTTTCGCATTTCATAGTTATACATATATGATCATAAATCTATAATAACATCATTTAGAAACCAATTGAAATGAAGCAAGCAACAGAATTCCACTCACCATGGCAACTTTGCAAGATGTAGAACGCACACACAAACAAACAAACAAACAAGAACATCTCTAACCGTGTTACCCTATCCATGCAAGGTTTACCTGTTTTCTCAATAACACACTAAGGCAACAGCTTGAACTTTTTGGAACCTGAATTCTTGCAGCCCACCTCAAAAGAACCCCAAGCTCATAGATCATCCCAATCACCTCCACCTTTAACTCTCTCCACTTATACACCTCAAGAGAACACCAAGCTCATAGATCATCTCAACCACCTCCACCTTTAACTCTCTCCACTTATACACCTCAAGAGAACACCAAGCTCATAGATCATCTCAACCACCTCCACCTTTAACTCTCTCCACTTATACACCTCAAGAGAACACCAAGCTCATAGATCATCTCAACCACCTCCACCTTTAACTCTCTCCACTTATGAGCAGCCGATGGATCTACTGGAGATGGACTTTGTGCTGTGCTTTTGGCTTGATGGATCGGTGAGTAGCGCAGGATGGGGGGGCGAATTGCCAGGCTGCGCAGGGTGAAGAGAGAACATCGGTATCCTGGCGGTGACCTTAAAATTGTATGTGATGGCGCGCCTTTCGTTTTCCACAGCCAAACCAGGGGAATTAAAAAAAATTCAATAACCAAACCAACAATAGAATTCCGGTGCAGTTGATGAATATTGAATCTATTACACAGCGAAGAATGTGGCAACATGGTGTTCGCGATGTTCATGGGAGTGATACATTATGATCATAAATCTATGGGAATAGACATGCGGATTAGAACGCGATTTGTGAAGATGAAGCAAGCGAACAGAATTGCCACTCACCATGGCAAGCTTTGCAGAGAGGTGAGAACGCAGCACACAAAAGCAAACAAACAAACGAGAAGCATATCGTCTACGTGTTACGGCCTATGCCCATGCCAAGTGTTTAGTCCCTGGTGTTCTCGAATAACACACGTGAAGGGCAACAAGCCTTGGACCTTTTTTGAACCTGTGAGTGTCTTGCGAGGCCGCACCTGCAAGAAGAAGACCGCCCGAAGCTCAATAGCGATCATCCCAGATCAAGCGCTCCAGCGCTGTTAAGCTGTCTCCACTTAGGTACACCTCAAGGAGAACACCAAGGCTCATGAGAGTGGCAGGTCTGCAAGACCAGCCGGTCCACGCTTTAACTCTCTCCCACTTATACACCTCTTAGCTTTCGAGAGAGAAGGGCGCCCTGGGGGTAACTCAGACGTACAATTCTTGAAAGCCTGAGGTCAATTCGGTGAAAAGAGTAGCACCTTTAACTCTCTCCACTTATACACCTCAAGAGAACACCAAGCTCATAGATCATCTCAACCACCTCCACCTTTAACTCTCTCCACTTATACACCTCAAGAGAACACCAAGCTCATAGATCATCTCAACCACCTCCACCTTTAACTCTCTCCACTTATACACCTCAAGAGAACACCAAGCTCATAGATCATCTCAACCACCTCCACCTTTAACTCTCTCCACTTATACACCTCTTACTTTCAAAACCCCTTAACTCAACTACAATTCTTAAACCTATCAATTTCATGAAATATGAATGGAGAAGTTAAATACAAATCAAAAGGTACTGTTTCTTTCCATCAAATCCAATACCATTAACACCACTGATCAAATAGTTGTTCTCCATTCATGGAGAAAAGCAGTCTAATACAATGTAACAACATGACCTTTATTTACATTTGACCACCAAGTTATAATAACTCCTGGCAATAAAATGGACCACTAAATTGTACAATGACAGCAGGTACTATTCATATATGGACAGATGGATGAATCAACCATCCATCCATCACCTCAGAAAAAAGAGTGAGAACAACTGATTTGTCAAGATGGAGTAAGAGTTTTCTGAAAAAATAGAATAACTAGTTATAAAGGCATTTTATCCTTTATTTCATGATACCACATGAATGTTGCTATATAGTTGCAGGAGTTTATACGTGCAAAATATCACATACCTTAACACTAAGGTAATCTGAGATAGCATCAAGTATAAACTGAATCTCATCCTCATGTGGCTCAGGGAGTGGAGTGATGATAGTGTTAGAATCTGTAGTTCCAGCAACTGTTCTCCCCAACCATGGCAACATGAAAACAACACGTCCGTCCTTTGTTTTGGGAACAATCAAACCCATTCCTTCTGGAGAATAATAATCAGGGAGAATAATATGTACACCACTACTTGGACAGATCATAGGTTGTGCATCATTCTTAGCCATTTTCCTTACAGAGTCACAAAATGGCCCAGCTGCATTCACAACTACTTTTGCATAGGTCTCAAACTCTTTGCCTGGTACAGTATAACATACAATACCACTAATCACATGTAATCAATGAAATTACAAGAAACAAATGAGTTCAAGCTTGAACAAGATAGTGTGTGTGTGTGCCCTGACGTGCGTGCGCAAATCTGTGTTTGCCATCTATGAGAGACAGCATCCTAAACAGTTGATCATAACAGAAGAAAACAACAAACTTCAGAAAATAAGGAAATATGAAGTGGTTAAGTCGACCTGCTTCTACAACACTTATAGCTCTCAAATAGATTAGGTTCGTGCTTGTGGAAAAATGTGGATTAAAAAACTTCTAGGCCATATTCTGCCACTTCTCAATTCTGGGGTTTTGACAAATGTAAGAATAAGGATCAAACTTGTTTCTACTATTTTCTTTTATAAATCAAATTAGTTTTCCATGCGTTTCCAAATTGAAAGACAAGCACATATTGTTTTTATCATACTACAACATTCCAAAATAGCATGTACTCATTTTATGGGCCCCAAATTCAGTAGGTTCCCAGAATTGAGATTAATTCCCAATATTCTCGTGTTCTTTTCAAGTAGAATATTATCTGGTTCAGTGAAGAAGAAGTTACTATGAGTGGGAAAACCATAAACAAGTACATAGAAATCATCTGCTTGAACATGCTCCTTCTGCTTTCAGGGAGATCTAATTGATTGAAACAGCATAAAAATAACTAGAGAACGCAGATTATTCTGAAGAAAAACAAACCACTCTTAAAAAAAATTGCAGTTCTGACAAACTTAGCAGTTCAAAGATTTATTGTCAAAATTCATACCCTACATCTGTAGAACACTCTCAAGCCTCATAATTGTTCGATTATTGTCTCCACAAATTTGCTAAATCTCACTTTTGTCAGAGTTATGGGAAGAACAAGAAGAGACTCAAGGTGATTCTCTATATTAAGGCAAAAAATGAAGTGGATTTCTATTTGTTTTCTGATTTTGTATTATTTGGGGAATAAGATGATAAGTGCAGGAAAGCCAGAGGGTAAGCAACAGTTTAGTAATGAAAGTCTTGAGCGAAGTGTTTAAGATAAATGTTATACCTGACAGATTGTCCCGGATACGTGCACCAATTATCCGCTCATCTGCCTCATCCTTTAAAAAAGATATCACTTCTGCATGGTTAACCACTGCTGCACCAGCTAATGCAGCAGTACATGCCAAAGCAACATTAAGCCGTGAGTCATTCATCTGCCCATCATAATACACCACTGTGCCCTTCAAGGTTTTATCTTTACCCTTTTTAGCAAGAGTGGGGAAAAGTTCAAGGGACTCCTGTGCAGAATAATATCTGGACAAATGTAACAAGCGTGGTCCTGCGACCAAATCGTACATTTTCAAACCCATCCAATAGTATACTACCTCAAACCAGTCAAAACAGGGTGTCATGCAAGGCAAAGCATGACACAGGTGAGGTGCATTGTCAATAACCTGTTTGCGTTCCTCAAGTGCATGAAAAACCAGCCTCAGTTGCCCATAATCAAGATTGAAGACTGCCTTCTCCAAGTAGCGAACTCCTGCAAAAATTAATTGACCACAAGGAGAAATTATACTAGTCGACTAAAGGCTCATCAAATTTCAAATTGAAATGATCATAGAAGCATAGTACCGTGGATTTTATATATCCCCGTGGATTTTAATATATATATATATATATATATATATATATATATATATATATATTCGTTGAAAAGAAAATTGGTGCCCCAGTGGTAAAAACAAAATGGCCACATTAAAAGAAAAATTCAAATGAATTTTTGCATTAATCCATGAAATATACTACTAAACATTCTTTTTTTAATTTGAATATCGAATATTTAATCATGCAAATTAGATGTTCTATTGGGAATATATTCCTATGAAAAGAAAATTGTGCCCCAGTGGTAAAAAAAATGGCCACATTAAAAGAAAAATTCAAATGAATTTGCATTAATCATGAAATATACTACTAAATCATTCTTTTTAATCTTGAAATAGAATATTTCAAATCATGCAAATAGATGTTCTATTGAAAGCCTTTTTATAACTTACTCGAATTCAAGTCAATTGAAATGGAAAATCCTATTCTCTAGGTTTCTATAATTTGACAATAAAAAAAATCATAAGATAAAAATTAAGAGGAAACAATATCAGAAGGCAATGAATTAACCTGATGAATTTAAAGAACATATTTTAAATTGAAACGACTGAAATACAAAATTTTGTCGAATTCGTTTATAAATTTATAATTCACATGTCCAGAAAATAATTCAGCATTTTTTATTTTTTATTCTGTCAACATTTATGATTTATTTATGCCCCACCCCCACTAAATGAAATTCATGACCCCGCTACTAATTACAGCGGAGGAAATAGTAAGATACTAATAATATTATTGTAATTTCCAAAAATTAAAAGAAATTAAGGACATTGTTGAAGAATTATAAAAAGAAAATATAATTTCCACCTATATTCAATATATTCAAATACAAAAGTATCGAACAAAAATTCGGATCCTAAATGTACACAAGAACATCGAACGCTATCACATGAATTGCATAATTGCATTCTCATTTCAATAGCCAACCAAATGTGAACCAATGAACTGAAAAATGGGAGTTCAGGACAAATTCAGGTCATTTGATCAGATAGTAATTATTAAGGCATGAGTTGCTTAGTGTTAGATTCATCAACAAGAGCATAAGAGACTTGCCTCCGTGAATTAGCTTTGTAGACCTTGAAGAGGTACCAGAAGAGAAATCATCTCTCTCGACCAGACCAACGCGAAGTCCTCTGGTCACAGCATCGAGCGCCACTCCAGTGCCAGTGGCGCCACCGCCGATCACAAGAACATCGAGGGGATTAGCAGTAGTTGCACCAATCAAAACCGATTCCTGAGCCGCTCGAGATGGAACAACGGCATTCGGATCAGTAATTTTCTGTTTCACAGGGTCGAGAGCAGGCCTAACGCCATGGTCGTTGGTGGCAAATGTTGGGGATAAGAAGCCACCAGTCGTGGCGGCAGTGGCGGTTATAATAGCTGCAACGCCGAGGCGGCGAAACCTGGTGGCGGAGGACATAATTGTAAGAGGAGAGGGGAACGTATTTGGTGGCAGAAGCAAAGCATGGGATCGATGAAACAATTGGAATACTGTTATGGAAACCCGCGAAGGCTGCTTCGGGAGTCGCAGACGGGATCGGTGATTTACTAAATTGCCATTTTGTTCTAAACTTTGGTCAATTTATACTATCTATCTGCTTATCGGTCATTAAATTTAATATATTATATAAAAACATATTAATTATATCTTGATGATTCAAAAAGAAATTACATAGGGGCATTTATGAAAAAGTGTCATAAAATCCGAAAATGAAATTCACCTCGTATTTAATTCTCCATTTGTTCTTTTTATATAAAAAATTTTTGCATAATTTGATAATTTTGATAACCATACCAATGTAAAAAGGCTATTTTACTCTTATTTTAGTTATTTTTTAAGTTTTTAGTGTGAAATATCTCAAGACAGTGGTAGACAAAAACATAGGTGAGCATTTAATATGAATAAATTTTGGAGAATGTAATTTTTACAACAATTTTCATTGAAAAAAAAAAAAAGCTCCTATAGGTTATATGAGTGCTAATTAAAATAGAGTTTGAATGAAAAAGAGCCGCAAAACTTTCAAGTTAACCACATTGAAAGGGATTTTTACGGATTTCGCCAAAGATTTAAAAAATTGGGCAATATTTAAAATACATTTTCAATAATCAAATGCAGTTGGAATGTTAAATGAACATAAATTTTCATATTTTCACATAACTTTCCCAAATAAATGACAAAAAATGAATTTCTTTGGGTCATAGCATAAACTTTATTTTTGCAACTGTTTGTATTCTTTTTATTCCAACAAATCATTTAAAGTCTTATTGAATATTGAAATATAATTTAAAGACACATTGATAATAGAGGAGGAATAAATGAGATATCATGGATAAATTAAGAAAAAATGACAAAAAAATTGGTTAAACTTTTGTGAAAAATTAATTATTCCTCCATAAAAAAACGGAGGGAGTACAATGATATATTTATGAAAATCTAAAAAATTTATTTATATTAATTCTGAATAACTGTAATTTCTTTTTGAAAAGGAAAAAATTGTAAAAATTTATACTAATTAATATGCTAATTTATTTCTTTTAACTTTAACTACAAGGTATTCGGGCTCATGTTTGTTTAACGCACTAATTTATTTTTATTACTATACTATGATTAATAAATTTTTATTTTTTATTTAATTAATTTATGCTTTGTTTTAACTTCACATATTAATTAAGAAAATTATAACTAAAATTTATAATTAATATTTTTACTAGCAAATATTGAGATGCATCGAATTGTTTTCTCATAAATAAAAAAATATATATAAAGTTATAGATACATAGAACATAAAAGTTTTGAAAATTTCAGACGAGAAAGGCATAATTATCCTGAAAAGAATAAATAAAACAACATATAATTAATTAATGTTAAATACTAAAGGGCAAATATGTAAAATAAGATAATATTTTTTCCAAATAAAGGGCAAAGTTTGTGGGGACAGTCTCCACGTCTCAAGTTGTGTACAAAGTACATAAAGAGGTTCAAATCCTCGTGAGTCGTGACCCACCTCTCCCTCTCCTTCTCCATTGAATGAACTAACAAAAGCTATTTACATGGCACGCTTTGTGGCAAGTAATCCTCATCACTCGTGACCTTTCTTTTTCTTTTTTAATTATTTTCTATTCTTGAAAAATCAAATTGCATTATAAAATAGTAGTTTTATTTTATTTTCATAAATGGAGAAATGTAGGTATTTTTGACAAAATAGTTTTTCATTAGGTTTTGTTAGTTTGACCTTGCGGAAACGAAATCAAAAGTCAACATGGAAAGTTCCATGCCAGCAGTAACTGATTCAAAATTAAGGACAAGTTTGCTTTTACGTTAAGAATTACGTGGATTATAATATTATAATGTTAAGTTTTTAATATAATAATAATAATAATAATAATAATAATAATTGGAGAAGACAAACGATGGATTATACTAATCATTAGAATCCACAATCAAATGATGCTGTTTATAATAATTATATTTGTCAATTGTTAGTACAGTAAGATGCCGAAAAGGAAAAGATAAAAGACGGATTCTTATGTTCAGCCATTTGGAGAAAAATATATATATATTGTAATTATAATGTAAAATAAGACAAAACAATAAATCTTAAATAAATATAAAAGTCACTCGTTTGATTAAATTTTATAGATTTTGACTTTTTTTTCCACTTAAATAACATTTTTAAAGGATGAAAATAGTATTAATTATTTATTACAATTATGTTTGTATTTAAATAGTTAAGGCGATTCAATTAATTTTTTCAATTTTTTAAATAGTTAAAAATTGTCACAATGCAAAGAGTACTAAAATTTTTGAATAAATTATAAAAAAATTAATTTTTAAATAAATTATATATTGTTTTCAATTTTAGAACAAATTGAGAATTATTCCAAAATAGGAAATAAAATTGAGAATTTGATGTTGATTTGTACCCCAACAGCTCCTTCCTCTTGATTGGTTTCAGTTTATTGTTAGTTCTTTTCAATATCAGCAAGCACAAGTTTTTGGTATGGTTGCGTGGTCACTATGGAAGTCTCGTAACCTGTATGTGTTCCAAACAAAGAAGCTGAATATTGAGCATATTGCTTAAATGGGTTTATCCTGTTTGAATGATTTCCAGGATGCAAATAACAAAGGCACTGGCTCTGCCAATGTTGCTGCTGTGATCAAGTGGGCTCCGCCGAAAGTTGGTTATGTTAAGGTTAATGTTGATGCCTCTGTAATGGACAGACATGGATGTGGCTTGGGGTTTGTGATAAGGGACCGTCTGGGTAAGGTGAAGGCAGCTGCTTGTCAATGTCTCCCTTTGAAGTTATCTGCAGAACAGGCAGAAATTGAAGCTGCTTCCTTTGGTGTTCGTTTGGCTAGGGAGCTGGGCATTTAATCTGTTGTTCTAGAGTCGGATGCTCTCTATCTTGTTCAGCAGCTTGCTTCAAGGTGTTGTTTTGAAACTGAGTATGGAACTCGCCTTTGTTCACTGTTATCTCTGCTGCAACAACTTGGCAATTGGAGTTGTTCCCATATTCGACGACAGGGTAATGGTGTTGCTCATGCCCTTTCTAGATTGGCTTTCTCTTCTACTGATATTGTTGTTTGGGCAGGAGAGTTTCCGAGTTCTATTGCTTCTATTGTTTTGATGGACTTACCTTCTTAATAAAGCAAGTTTTTTCTCAAAACAGAAAAAAAAAAAAAAAGGTTTGTCCAATGATAAACAATAATGAAATATTTTTGGATAAATGGTAAAACAAAAAGAATTATTACGACTTATCAAAATGAAACATGAAACCCAATTAGTGCCGTTGTCCTCTTATTTTATAAGGCACGTATAGGTGAATTATTTTTTAAGATGCTTGAGATGGATATGTACACCTCAACAACTTCTTACATTTTCTTCTTTTCAATAATTAGACTGCTAAAATTTCAAACATCATGCCAACTACAGAGTCAAAGGGATCAAATGGCATCTTCAAATATTTCTAAATAATAAAGGTTGTTGCAGTCCCTATGCACTAAAATTCTAATGATTTCTTGAATAACATTTTCTTTCTACCACCAGAACCTAAATAGATTATATGACTTTTGGTACATAGAGTTGAATGGAGGATAAAAATAATAATATAATTCACTGAAGGGATATTTTACATAATTTTGATTGAATCATTATCTGCATTCCAAGTACAACAAAGACCTGTAAAAGGTCTTAAAAATGCAGTCAATACAATACAATTTAATGCTATTCGTAGTTCATGTACTACACCAGATAAGATCATAAAGAATAGCTTACCTCCTTCACCTTTCATATTAAGTATCAAACTGGTGAGATCATTGTGTGAAGATGCCCCTGCAAAGAGACCGAGTCCTACTGCTGCCAGAAGTGCCAACCCAGACGGAAATTCGCCTACTTTGCCGATATGGTCCTGATTACATTGTTGACCATTTCCATATACAAATTTGGATAGAGACAGCTTAACCAGATATGATTCTATTTTGCATTTTTCTAACAAATTTACTGCACTATTCAGAGGCAACTTTGATTAACAACCCCATCAACTTGTTGAATTAGCTCTAGTAAACTTCCAGCTTTTCTTTTGGCCCTATCAGTGCCACTTTCTGATAATTCCTTTAGTGCTTCTTCTGCACCAAACTCCTTTGCTAACTTCACCTGCTGTGAATCACCAGTACATAGTGACCACAGTACAGCTGCAGCATTTTCCCGATTGCGTGGAGAACCAGTCCGGATGACTTCCATCAGAACAGGAATTGGTTCGGCCTGGCCAATTGCTACCTTCCCTTCTTGATGGCTTGCAAGAATTGCAAGAATTGCCAATGCTTCATCTACCATTCCACCTCCAGCATCCTTGAGCAGCTGCATCAGAGGCAGCACAATGCCTGCCCTTACAGCTCTCGCCTTGTTCCCCTGATAAATTGAAAGATTAAAAATAGCTGTGGCAGCATCCTTTTTTCCTCTTGGAGTCCCCTCACGTAGCAAATCTATAAGTGCTGGGATAGCTCCAGCTCCTCCTATTGCCACCTTGTTCTCATCTACAACAGATAAACTAAATAGGGTTGCAGCAGCATTTTCCCTCGCCTCCATGCTTCCATTTTTTAACACGTCCACTATATCAGGTATAGCTCCCGCATTAACTATTGTTCCCTTGTTAATATCATTTATGGAGAGGTTTAGAAGTGCTGTAACAGCATGTTCTTGTGTACGAGCATCGGTGGAGGATAAAAGCTCTACTAGGAGCGGAATGGCTCCTGCCTCAGCAATACACACTCTATTATCAGCATTCCGCTTTGCCAGTAAACGTAGCTCTCCAGCAGCTGCTCTTTGTTGTTCTGGATTCCCATTTGCCAATTTCTCTAATAAGGCAACAATAGCAATTCGATCACAATCTGAAAAACTGGTTCCAAATTTTTTTGTTCTATAAGCTCCTTGTTGTTTAGGCAGCTCAACACCATTGCTTTCACACCACAATGCGATCAAACTCTTCAAAACATAATTAGGTGTTAGAGCAGTATGCAACAGTGTTTGCTGTGTCTTTGGACAAGTCTTGTGTCCTGCATCTAGCCATTTTTGGATGCACGATCTTTCATAGGTCTGCAGAATGAAGACAATTTATGAACAATGGCCACTAAAAATTTACAAAGCAATGAACTATGATACAAGTCGTAGCCAAACCTGTCCAGTAGAGACAATCACGGGATCTTTCATTAGTTCTAGAGAAATTGGGCATCGAAAATCATCTGGGATAACGGGAGATCTGTGCCTAAATGAACTCTTTTCAGCCTCAGAATTATCAGTTTCAGGGTTTCCCATTTCAACGTAGTCCTTCAACTTCACAAGGATGGATGACATCTTCTGTAACCATTCTCCAGGATCACCATTGCTCGAGATAACCATCTCATGGAAAGCAACAGAATCTTTCTTTAGGTCACTTATGGTCTTGAGTTCCAACTTTTCAATAAGTCTCTTCAATACTGCAGGATCAGGGTCTTTTTCTTTGTGTGCTGCAGCTAAATCAAGCTCTAGTTGTGAATCAAGAGACTCTGGTCTTTCTTTAGCCCTCCTCAGTTGAGTGTGGACAAGTTCAATCTGGAAAAATCATATATACAATGTCAATTCTCAACTACAAGTTTACAAATTCAGTGTAATCCAATTCCTCTGGCATAACTCACTGCAGATTAAGACTGCCTATTTTCCGATAATAAAAAATAAAAAATAGAAGAAGTCAGTTGGATCACTAGTAATACCTGTTCTCGAACTTCCTCTGATAAATCAAGTTTGTTATACGGAATCTCACTTAATGCAACTTCAATTTTTTCAGTAACCTGGCAAAACTTTTGTGCTATCTTGTCCCTCTGCAAGGCCTGTGGCATTGAAATGCATTATATTTTATCATGTGAAAAAAAATAGCTCCCGAATGAAGTAATAATTGGCTTCCATAACATTTTGTTTGTTATTTTATCAAGCAATAACACATAGTAACGAACTTGAGAATTTAGAAGAAACGGAAGAGAAGTAAGACAGACGAAGAAGAAGAAATAAGAGACTAAAAGAGTACTGAGATAGAGCTTCATTGACAAATTTCCATGAATTTACAAAAGTTTCTTAGTCTCCTCTCTTACAAAACTCATCCAGAATGAGTGAAATCGCCCGTAGCCACTAAATGTCCCAACAAAAATGTAACAAACTATCAAAAAGCAAACTAACTAGCAAATGCAATGGCACTAAAATTACTTAGGGTAGACAGAGTTGCTGTTTGAGCTGTTGTTGAAGAATCCATGTCAAAAAACTTGATTAGAAGTCATTAAATTGTGTTAAGGTGAATTCCATAAGTTTCAATCAGAAAAGCTTCAAAACAGGTAAACAAAACTTCCAAATTGCTCTTTCCAGCAACATCTAAAATAATGTTTTTTAGAAAAACCATTTTCAACCTCAGTGCCAAACAGACAGATAAAAACTTCTCATTATTATCACCTCAGTTAATGTAATTTTCTTATTTAGCACATAGCGATGATCTAAAATTTATATATTGGAATACTCCTAAAGATTCCATTTGAAATAAGTGATGTAAATTTCCAGTCTTAAAAACGAAACATACACAACGAAACAGAAAATTTTCTAATCATTGTCTCATCAAGCAAATGGAAATAAGCCAGGCAGATAAAAATATATAAAATCCCCATTACAGAGTTTCCACAGACAACAAAACATTTCAATTTTCAACAGTTCAAAGCATATATAAACCGAACTTACATTTCATTAGCAAGCAAAGAAATATAAAGCAGAAAAAGAAAAAACAAATCAACTCTCATTTTACTTCACCTTCCCAGCAATTAAACAGAAAAAAAAAAAAAAAAAAAAAAAAAAAAAAAAAAAAACAGAAAAAAAAAAAAAAAAAAAAAAAAAAAAAAAAAAAAAAAAACGAAAAATAGTATCCTGATATAACTTTGCTTCCGCTCATTGGTTGAATTTGAAGAAAGCTCCAATAGCAGAAATCTAAAAGCAAGTTTCAACAACTGGAAAGCCCCTTTCATCCCATAAAAAAAAAAAAAAAAAAAAAAAAAAAAAAAAAAAACGAAAAATAGTACCTGATATAACTTGCTTCCCTCATTGGTTGATTTGAGAAGCTCCATAGCAGAATCTAAAGCAAGTTTCAACAACTGGAAGCCTTTCATCCCATCTTCACTTAGCTCTTCGCCGCTGTCCCTTAGCTCCTCGAACAAAGGGCTCAAGAGCTTGATTCTACGTATCAAATTGCCATGCATCTTCTTGCATACATTTTTACATTCAGGTAACCCAGAAACCTCCTTCACAGACTCAATGAATCGACTCATCAACTCGGATTTTGGATCCTCCTTTAATGCCATGTGGGTCAAAGCCCTCTAAAGATTGAGTTAATAATAAAATAAAAATCCAAAATTCAGCTAGATTCACTTTCTTGGCTTTTATCCTCGCTTTCTTACACTTTCTGTTCTTCCAAACACTCCCGATCCACCACGATCGCCGTTTCTCTCATTTGGGTTCCTCTCATTTGTCAACTATATTCAATTTACAATGATAAAAACCAAAAATCCCTCAATATTCTTGGATTCATAACATTTTCACATCAAACAAACAGATGGGAATCTCACAAAATTACCAAAATGAAATATTTTTAAACCGATAACAAACAATTAATTGATGCAAAATGCTTTATTCTTAATTAATAATCACAAAAATTTTATCTCAACTCCGCACGAATCAGTCCGCGTCTACCCTCAACGTCAGCTTGAACTCTGTTCTCAGCCTGCCAGAAATTTCGCTCTCATTGAATATTTGCTTTGATAGATAGAATCATAGAGGAACTGTCAAAAAGATTACTCCATGTAAAAGCTTTGACGCGGCCTATGAGAAAAGCTTGGCTGAGATACGTAATAGTTGCTCTGTTAGGCTTGGGGAGAAAGGTTTCGCTTTTACACACGGAGATTGCTGTTTTGAATTTTGATGTCGGAAAAGAATGGGATTTTAACAGAAAACTAAAAATTTTTAATTCATAAAATTATACGAATTTCATAATTAAAATTTCTTATTAAGTATACGAGAGAAAAATAAATAAATAAATAAAATATGATTGTGGTCTACATTGGTGTCTGCTGTGGCGGAACACGCGTCTTGATTAACTATGATTAATAACAAATTTATCAATACCTCTAAAAAGTTTTTAATTAAAAAATATTTTTCATTAATTTATTTTCTAAAAATTCTTTTGTCCAATTTAGAACAATTGGTGTCACAATTTCAATTGAAGGGTATATATGTAATACAGTGAAACAAATAAGATTAAGGTTGTATTCAACAGTAGCTTTTTTTAAGTAATTTTTAGCATTTTGATGGCCAAAATTGTAAATTTTTATAGTGTTTGATAACGGAGCATTTAAACTCACTTTTAGAGGTTAAGGTAGTATTTTATAAAAAGTTAACTCATATAACGTTTAACTTTTTATGAAAAGTTACTCAATTAGCCAAACTCTACTAAAATGTCCTGAGCAATGAATGCTTTATCCATGAAAGCCGAAGAAGCAATATGAAAATATGATATTTTCCGAACTTAAATTTCACATTTGACCAATACTAAAATCCTCCTTTGTTCCCAAAAGAAGAAATAATAATAATAATAAAAAAAATCATCCTTACAGTGTAAAAAAAAATGCATAATATAATTGAGTTGATAATTGTTTTTTATTTATTGACATTTGATGGGATGCGGAATTCGAACTTAAAACCTCTCACTCATTATATTAAATAAAAAGACCAACTAAATCACCCGATTTGCAATTGAGTTATTAATTTTTCAAGTTGAAATATCAAAAGAAAAATATTGGTATGAAAATGTCATGGGGATTATTTTTATAAAATAGTTTGTAAATATGCATTATTTTCTATTTAATTTTTGATTAGATATTAGAATTATTTATTACATATTCAAATTTCTAAACCAGTCCATGTAAAGAGCAGTGTGGATACTATTTTGTACATAAATTTTGAATAAAAAAATCAACATTATGCATCGACTTTGGCCAATTAAAATCTTAATTGTTAATTTAAAAAAAAAAAAAGAGATTAGGTTTCTAACAATTTCTTAACTATGAGATTAGTATATGATGTCTAAAATATTTATTTTACTTTAAATTTCAATTTAATTTTAGTTTCTTCAATTGTCATCCAATAGTCTACCAAACATAAGAATTTTGGACATGTTAATTTAGAATAATGGAATTTAAACATTTTATAGGTTTTCTAAATTTTGTTAATGAAATTGATTTATTTTATCATGACCTTAATTTCATTTCCATCATTTTTTATTAATGTTGAAATTTAAATCATTCAATTATATTTTAAAAATACTTTCAAATGTGTAAATTTTATTTTTCAGTCAAACAATAGAATATATAAGTCTAAATCCTTACAGTTTATAGGTTATCGATACAAATAACCATATAGATTAATACTCTCTTTGTTTCATTTTATTTGTATGATTTAACAAAACACATATATTAAGAATTTAGTCAATAAAAATTATTTTGCCCCCTTTACCCTTAATAACTCATTTAGTCAATAAAATTTTTTTTATATCCATATTAGTTAACTACCAATTGTTAAATGCTTGTCATATTTGAAATTTCAAATTTATGAAAATAATTATTAAATTTATTTAGATTACAATAAATTATTAATTAAATTAACTGTATTATCCTTAATTTAATACATCTAAACAATAAATATAAATTTCTAGTCACGTATAGAGGATAAATATGAAAAAAAAATACTACTCTTTAAAATTATAAATATGATAAATATTTAAAACATAATATTTTTTCAAATATACAAATATTTAAGAAAGGAGACGGCAGCAACTTAATCAGCTAAATAAGCCGCTGAGCCGCCAGCTAATGATGCGTCAAAATCTAATCGGTCAACCACGTGTTAAATCCAGCGCCGTTGTGTGGAGGACAGATAGATACACCGGCTACGTCTACCATTAGAATTCAGACTGCGTGTACAGCCAATCACCGGCCTTGACCTGGACAACACGCGTTAGATTTATTGCGTTGATCTTTTTGTCCAATGATTCATAAGTTTTTTTTTTTTTTTTAAATTAATGAAAAGATAGAATCAACCAATCAGTTTTTAATGTTTCATATTCTATTAAATCTATTTTCCTGATTGGGTCATTTATAAAAGATAAAAGCTCATTATTTTATTGGGAAAATCGCTATTTTTTCTGCCTTTCAGATCGGCTTCAAGCAGGAACAAATGAGAAAATAAAATAATGACTGAAAAATTAAAGAGAACACGATAGTTTAACGTGGAAAACTTTATTTTATTGGGAAAATCGGCTATTTTTTTCTGCCTTTCAGATCGGCTTTGCAAGCAGGAAACAATAATTGAGAAAATAAAAATTCAATGAACTGAAAAATTAAAAGAAGAACACCGAATAGTTTAACGTGGAAACAACTCCCCAAGTGAGAAAAACCATGGCCGTTGTCAAAACGACAACCAAGAAAAATAATTCACTATACGCAAATTGTTATAAACCATAATTACAAAATATTTTTTCTAACCCGACACCGCTCAAAAATACCCTTAAATATTTTTATACTCCAAGGGACTCCAACCATAATTACAAAATATTTTTCTACCCGACACCCTCAAAATACCTTAAATATTTTATACTCCAAGGGACTCCAAGAGACTTGCTCTAAATCCCTAATATAAAACACATTCAAGTATTTTTGGTGTGTTTAGAAAATTAAACCTTGGCTTCCTTTTATAGCCAAAACCAAGTCCCTAAAATGCTCTTCTCCCCACGTGGGATTGAGCAAAACTAAATTTTATATTATTTTTTTTCTTTTGTTTTCAACAAAGGAGGCTAACATATTTATAATTTTATTATTAAGAATTAAACTAATTAACATCCACCGAGAATTATAAAGTTACTTGGCACTATTATGCACCCATTTTTTTCTTATTAATTTAACTTTATTTAAGAGAGATCTTTCATCTAAAAATACTCCAATATGGAAAAATTAAATCTCATTAATTTGTCAATATACATACATCTAAATAATGTTGAAGCTAATTTCATAAATACATGTTATGAGAGATTTAAAATTAAATATGAAAATACATTTGATAGATGAGATGGGATGACAGAAATCCCTTCTCCCTTAATCGGGAGGGAGATCTTTTGTCCCTTCTTTAGTGGGCTTCGGATACCAGACACTGGATGATTAAAATTTAAAAAAAATATACAAAAGTGATAAAAGTTATTCTCATAAAAGTTAATGTTAAAAGAGATGGTTGCTAGCATTCCTCAAAAAAAAGATTCGTACTAGATTCAAAAAATTAAATAAAAAGAAACAAGCATGAAAAAATAATTTCATTTGATAGTTCTGTTAAGTAATATTCAATTATTGGTTAGACATGTGAAGAATGAATCTATTTTCCTAAAATTTTAGCTTTTGATATCTATTTAAAAGAGTTATAATAGGAGATAAAACATTATTCTATCCTGAAATTATGGTCGGTCCAGCATCACTCACTAATAAATTATTTTAATTATTGACAATTAAATTTCTCCACTAGCTTATACTAGTTGATCCGATCATGATAAGGGACAAGGTTGAAGCAATGGATTGTGTAAAACTTGGATTTAGACATCTCATAAATTCTAATCACTATCAAAATAATTATAACTATCTATTTGGATTATTGACCTTTAAGGGTTATTTTCTTTTTGACCGAAAAGATTTTTATGTTACACCACACCTCCCTTGCAAAACGACACTTTAGCAGACAGTGTAAAATCGTCGCCTCCTCATTACAGCGCGGGCAAAAACGAGGAACAACAACATGCCTGTTTCTGAGAATAGGAAAAACAGGTAGAATGTTGGATAAAGCCCGCCACACAAAATTTTTTACCTTTGGTTGAACCTCCAGCTTCCATAAGCTTTTGCAAAGAATAGCCGGCAGAGTAGCAGTCACATTACTTTGAGAATGGAGCAATTTATAACCACTTTTAACAGTATAGGCACCCTTTGTATCATAAAACCATCCCCAACAATCAGGCACACCTTCAAGACTCAACGGTATTCGTTGTATCAATGAAAGCTCAGACCGGATTTAGCAGCTGCTCCAAAGTTTCTAAATCCCAACGGCCAGATTGTCGATCTATTAAATCCGCTACAACTAAATCAGCAATCCCCGTATTATTTATCGAAGAAACCATGGGCTGAATCGGGTCTGGCAGCCATGGAACCCCAAAAACCAAGGTATGCTGTCCATCTCCAATGTGCCGAAAACATCCTTGCTTAAGTAAAGTCTGACCCGCCATCAATGATTTTCATACAAAACTTGTAAGTATCTAAGAATATAAAAATGTAATTAATGAATTGTTTTTTTAATTTTATTATTGTTTATATTAAACACAATAACTATTTCTGTAATTTTCTAAAATCATCTATATAATTTTTAGTGATATGTTATTAAAAAGAGAGTTATTAAAATTGGAGTGATGATGTGAAATAAAGAGTAATTTAATTAAATTAATTAATATTGTATTTTAATTCTTAAAAAATTAATTTTTTAATTATTATGCAAAAATTTGGGAACAAAATCTTAAATGATAAATATTTGTAGGCTAAATAGTAGTATTGGAAATGAAAAAGTAGATTTATAATTCAATATTTTGGTTAAACGAAATAGAAATTATAAATGACAGCCTAGAGGAAGATACTGAAAATATAAAATATTACAATAGAAATGCTTTTATTTTATAATATTTATTCCAAAGAAAAGCTATTTATTATTTATTTTTTCCATTTCACTCAAATGGTTAATTAAACTTTTTCATATAGAATAAAAAAAATATTTTTCTTTAATTCTATAAAATTTTTATTTCAAATTACCTCAATGCATTTTCAAATCTCAAATTTTCTTTTGGTGTTAGTGAGATCCAATAAGTAAGAATAGAAAAACAATAAACTCTTTTTTTTGAATTATGAAAAAGCGACATGTAAAAAGAATATGAAAAACATTAAAAATTCATAGTTTAAATGGAAGGATGGAGTATTATTATTTCTAAAGAAAGTGACTAAAAGATAATATCTTGCTTTATGCGACTGACACGTGTGACCGTGACCGTGAAATGGAGGTTATTCCAATAACAGACTACCTAACAAAAAAGCAGCTAAAAACCAAAAATCCATTTGTGTGTCTTTTCGCCTCAAACTCTCTTCTGTAACCCTCCACTTCAAAGTTTAAACCCTAACACTACAATATATACATACGGTATATCTTATTGTAATTTTATAGTACATCTGCACGGATTCATGGGTTGCTCCTCCTCTCTTCCAGGTATTTTCCAATTCATTTGAGCTTCATTCAATTGCAAGTTATAGGGTTGGGGTTCTACTGTTGTAAAGTCTAGTTGATCAAATGCGATTTCAATTTATTTTCGTCGCCTGATTGCCATAATTTTGTTTAATTTATGGATTCTTGTTTAGTTCCTTTTCCGTTTGATTGAAATGGTTGGATATAGAGATTTCATTGATGATCGTTGCTCAATTTGCTTAATTTTCTACGTTTGTATGTGGTTTTTGATGGGAGGTCTTTTTGTTGACCCATTTGAGAATTGTTGCTAATTATGTCATTTTAAAAATTTTCTCCCCATTTTTTTTTTTTTTTTTTGGATTATAGACGATTTCATTGATGATCGTTGCCTCCAATTTGGCCTTAATTTCTAACGTTTGTATGTGGTTTTTGATTGGGAAGGTTCTTTTTTGTTGACCATATTGAGAAATTGGTTGCTAAGTTATGTCATTTTAAAAAATTTTCTCCCATTTTTTTTTTTTTTTTTGTAATGTTGTGTAGAATAGGAACCCTTCTGGGCGGTTGGGTGGACTTAACAATTCTGAAAAGCAGATTTTCTCCCCTTTTTTTTTTTTTTTTTGGTAATGTTTGTAGATAGGACTTCTGGGCGGTTGGGTGGACTTAACAATTCTGAAAGCAGTGGAGTTTCTGATGCCAAAAATTTACGTGTGAAGGTAGTTTTGATACTTTAAGTATTGACTTAAGTTTATGGAATTTCATCTTTTTGAAATTAAATTTTATTATTGTTCATAATTTGGACAATCTAAAATTCCATGTGGGTTGAGGATAGGGTTTGAAGGAAAACTTCTTTTGCGACTTCCAAATGGAGGCTGAATGTTAACTTGATGGGCATTGTCGTAAAACTTTGTATGAATTTGTCAATGCTGGTGGTTGTTAAAGATGTTATTTCTAGTTTGCTTAATGATCCCTTTTATTTATATACTATGAGGCCATTTCTTTTGAGAGCTTTTCATGTTTGTCTTTTAAATTTTAGTTTTTCAATTTATATCCTTAATGGAAACTCACAGTAGTTATTCTTCTCAAATTGAGGCATACTGTTTCATATTTATTGACTTATTGAGCAGTTGGAAATGAAAGCTGAAAAGAAAGTGAATTAAAAAAAAACAGCAGCTATTTACCTATTGGAGAATATCTTCCTGGCCTTGATATTTTCGTTCCATTTGCTTCTTGTCATAAGGATCTCCTTGTTTGACAACCTTATGAAATTCTAGCAATTTCCAGTGAAGTACTGGTAGTTAGTCTTCAGAAGATATTGAGAAGCCTTTCAGGAAAAACTCTATATGGATATGGAAGTATGGGTTTTATTCTCCTTTTTAAGGAAATTTTGCAGACTTTGAAGTGAGAGTTATTTGGCAATGCCACAGAAGTGCTTGAATGATAACATGTATTTTATCAGAGATTAGCACCTCTTTGCTTTTTATGCTGTGTTGACTGGAAGACGGGATCATGTGGGTGTTTTAGAATTTGAGATCCATCAGTTTTAAGTTTTACATTTTTGCTCCTTTTTTGGGTTATTATATCATTAACAAACTTTGATATAGTTGTTGGTTTAATTTGAGGTCTGAGCTTTGAAATTCAGGTATATTACGCATCATCAATTTGACTGAAAAAAAGGTGCTCAAAGTTTGAATTATCTTCTCAGTATCATTTGGAAAACCATACTATTTCATTGATAAACTTCTTGTGTGGTTGAGAAATGTCTCATGATTTGTTTCAGCATGCAATAGATAAATATGGGATTTGTTCGGCAGTTTCTTTATATGATTCAAACTCTCATAGATATTTTGCAGGCAAACTAAAGACGTGGAAACCATCTAACAGACTATTTCTTTTTCATTTCCCTCTAGTCAATAGTTTCTTATCCTGTCTTAGATCATATGTTTTCTCTCTCTCTTTCCCTTCTTCCTGGCCTCTCCTATTTCTACTCTGTTCTCTCTATGTCTCTCAACAGAACTACTAAAAACATAGTACCTCTGTTTTTATTGGTATTGGTTGAGTTTATATTGTGTTCTTTTTCTTGGTGGTTAGATTTTTAACTTTTGAAGATTGTCACGTTCTATCTATTCGGTGAAAAGCAGTAACAATCTCAAAATTATTATGAATACTAGGCTTTGTTTTTAGTTTTCCTTCAACATTATTTATTAGTTTTGTTATGACTTCTCTCAGATGCAAATGCCTGTTCCTTGTGCAAAGACTCCCCTTGCACCTCAATGACTACTACATTTTTTCTCAATATCCCGAGGTTTTTTTTTTCTTGTTTTTAATATTTGGCTTGAGTTTACATGGAAGGAGTATCTGTGTTTTATGGGAAGCCACAGTAAGCAGACAATACTATTATCATTGCAAGATTGTACATATTTTTTAAAAGTCATTGCTAAATATTTCTGACTCAATACAGCTGAGCTCTCATTTTCTTTCCGTGAACAGCTGGTATTATTAGGTGATTCTGGAGTTGGTAAAAGTTGTATTGTTCTTCGCTTTGTTCGTGGTCAATTTGATCCAACATCCAAGGTGGGGAATTTGTTTTTGCTCTTTGTTACCCCAACATCTCTTCTTTTATATCTGAAAATTTGTCAATCATGGTACATAAAAATATAAGAGTTTGTTCTGAACAAAATTAGCAACCTAATTTTTTAAAAATTTTTTTTCAGGTGACTATCGGAGCTTCATTTTTGTCGCAGACAATAGCTTTACAAGATTCTACAACAGTTAAGTTTGAAATATGGGACACTGCAGGGCAAGAAAGGTATTGTTGGCAAATTGATTTTAACATGCGCACAATGCACACATACAGGCAAACTCCATAAGAAAGTTGATCTTCTATACTGTTTCTGATGGTAGTCTTCACTTCCTGCCTTTCCCACAGATACTTATTTTGCTGTGAAATTCTAATTACTTCCTGGATCTTTGTCAGGTATGCTGCATTGGCACCGTTATACTACAGAGGTGCTGCAGTTGCAGTTATTGTGTATGATATAACAAGCCCAGAGTCATTCAACAAGGCACAATATTGGGTGAAGGTAGCTTCCATGGACTGCAATAGTACTTATTCTTCACCCCCCCGAATTAAACAAGCCCAGAGTCATTCCAACCGGCACAAATTATTGGGTCAAGGTAGCTTTCCATGGACTGCAATAGTACTTTATTCTTCAACCCCCCCCTCCCCTCTCTCTCTCTCTCTCTTCTCTCTCTATAATATATATATATATATATATATATATAATATATAGATTGCATTATATATAGATTGCATTTAACATAATGAGAAAGTTGTTTGCTAAGGATTAAGACAATTTTTGTTTGGAGTTGGAATAGGCTAATCAGAAGTTACAGTACGTATAGAAGTTTCAAGCTATAAACATTTTCTGTTAAGGTTGGTGCTCTTAAACTTTTTGAAGTAGTAATGATTGTTTAGAAAATCCCATTCAGAAAATAGAGCCAAGCGTTTATTGAATGAGAACATAGAGTCCACTAAGTCAGGTGATTAGAAGAAAAGTAACTTAGTATATTGATAATGCAACACAGTTTGATTTTTGTTTACCATTTTTCATTGTCTCTAGAAGTGGGAATCTTAGATTGCGGTAGTATGGATCATGTTGATTTTGCTATTGTAAAAATGTGACATGGTCAATATATTTCGTTTTACCGCCCTGCTTGAAATGACAAATTGGTCATGCCCAAAATGGATGGTTTGATGGGTATGTCAATTGTCCGCTAGCATTGCATTTGAATGAACAATAACTTGAAATTGAGATTTGGATTTGACAATACATAAATTTTCTTTTTTCTTTTAATTGTTATCGATTAGATATATGGATTTAAGTAGGTTCATGAATATGGATAAAACCATATTTTAGTGCAAATTTGAAATACCTTTAGGAATAGGTATTTTCAGATCCACCTTAAATAAGTTGTTGCCTATGTTTATAAATTTAATTCTCATTCTTGAAATATCACTAAAAGACATGCTTATTGCCTTTGGCTAATGGCCCACTGGTGCCTACCTCGCAGTGTAGGAGATCAAAGGTTCAAACTCTAGCAACTGCCCTCCCCTTAAAGTATTTCAAATATACCAAAAAAGATGTACTTTCTTTTTCCCAAAACAATTTTAAACTAAAACAAATATCCTAATCTCCTCATTTAAATTCTTCCAGCCAAACATAACATAAATGATATTAATTCAATACTTTGCATGCATATTATAGAACAACCTAGATTGGTTTGTTCGAGGAAAGATATGAAAATCAATATTAAAGCTTTGGGAATCTAACATGTAGTATTTTTCTTGTTCAGAAGTATAAATAATGTCTTTGTTTTGTGACTGTTTTCTTTCTATCTCAATTAACTTCCTGTTTTCTACCCCTTGAAAGATTTCCAGGCATTACAAACGCATCTAATTATATTTTTCTTTTATGTTGACAATGATTTTGTTCTGCTTTTGTTTGTGTATAGAGGATTTTATTTGATTATACGCTGTTGTATTACAGGAACTTCAAAAGCATGGGAGCCCTGATATAGTGCTGGCTTTAGTTGGGAACAAGGCTGATCTTCATGAGAATCGAGAAGTGCCTGTTCAAGTGAGTGTGGAACTCCATGACGAATAATCAGTATGAAGCTCTTTGTTATTATGATTTTGACACTTTTTGTTTCATTCTTAAAGGATGGAATGGAATATGCAGAGAAGAATGGGATGTTCTTTATTGAGACATCTGCAAAGACTGCAGATAATATAAATCAGCTGTTCGAGGTACCTCTTGCTTCTGACTTAATGTCTCTGTGTTGCATGGCTCCTTTCATGACCATAATAACTGTGATGAATTTTGAATTTCATATGTGGTTTAATGCCATTACTATATCACCCCCCAAGCCCCAGCCCTGTCATTCAAACAAAGGGGTGAAGAAAAAGTTTTGATGCTCTCCCACAAGGCTGGGTGTAAAAGAATTTACTCAACTTGGACCCTGATTTTTATCACTTTTCATGGGTATTATAGTTAAGAAAATTCATCCCCCTCACAATCTGCCCAAAAAAAAAAAAAAAAAAAAAAAATTTCATCCCCCTCACAATCTGCCCAAAAAAAAAAAAAAAAAAAAAAACGCCAGTTAGATGCGGCAGGAAGTTTGTATGCTAATTTTCTGAATGCTTGTGTTCTTCTTGAGAATTTGCGTGTGCACTATATTAGTGGGATAGCGAAAAAGTTTTACAATCAAAATGCGTTCGGTAACTACTGTGTTTGCACGGAAAAACGGAAATGAAGAAATGCAGAACGACTATGGGGGAAGCGACAGTTAAATTATAATTTTTACATGGGGAAAACAGTAATTCAAAAAAAAAAAAAAAAAAAAAAAACGACAGTTCAGATGCGGAGGAAGTTTGTATGTAAATTTTCTGATGCTTGTGTCTCTTGAGAATCTGGTGTGCACTATATTAGGATAGGAAAAAAGTTTTACAATCAAAATGCGTGGTACTACTGTGTTGCACGGAAACGGAAATGAAGAAATGCAGAAACGATATGGGGAAGCGACAGTTAAATATAATTTTACATGAGGAAACAGTATTTTATACAGGGAAATGGACACATGGAAAATTTTTCTGAAATGTGGAAATGCCCTTGACTAGGAGTTTCCTTGCTTCTTAGGTGTACTATATAGTCCATTTCAATACATGCTGGACCTGCTCCACTTGTAAATAACAGATAACTCTTCAATTTCTATTTACTAGCCCTTTCTTGTCTGCTACAAATTTTTGTTGATGAAAAGTTTTAGATTGTTATTGTCAATCTATAGCAAGGATATTTACAAGTATTGGTAATCTTTGGCATACTACCCTCTTGCCTAGCCGTATTGAAGTGCCATTCCATTTCTTTCCAGTGGGTAGGACCTGGAAGTGTGATTGGATCGTTAAGCTGGATAGAATTCTTGAATAGACTTGCATTACATGATTAGGCTCTGGCCAAGCAATGGGCTTAGAATTAGTGGCATTCTATTTTGTCCATCAGCAGGCATTGGTAGTAAAGTGGTAGTGATAGGTTAAAAATTTGAACCAGCTAATTCAGAGTAAGGTTTAGGTTGTCCATAAGTCCATCTCTTATCTTATCTCTGAGAATGAGTATGCTGCTTATGCAATTTGGGTATTTGGCCTGGTTAGATGGAGTTATGACTGAAATGACAGTTAAAGGCTTTCAGGGAATGATAAATCCTATTGATTGATGTACAGATGTACCTTGACCAAAACTTGCACCATCTTGGCATGTGGTGACCGAAAGATTGTTGATTATTCATATGCTGACTTGAATTGGATAATTGCAAGCCCACTGTTTTCTGTGATTCATCCATATGTGTACTTGTGATGAGAGTTGCTTGTAAGAGGATTGCTAGGTTAGTAATGACTTGCAGTGATGTTGTAAACTGAAACGGTTGACTTCTCTAATCATCATTCAACTCAATTTGCTGTTACAACTTGACTGTAAATCAAGGAAAAACAGAGGGATGATATTCTTCATAGAAAAGGTGAGGGGAATAGAGAAATGAAGTAAAAGCTCCTATAAGGTGAAGCCTTAGTAGTTGTAGTTTCGTTAAAAAATTCTTTGTAATATTTCCCTAGTAATCATTCACATAGGGTATGAGTAATGCACATGGATTTTGTGACATCTATGAAATATTTTGTAATTTTGTTTAACTGTGAGTCTATATGGAGTGTCTTTTGTTGACCTGATTGAATTAGTGAGTTCAGCCCCTTGGCTGGTTTGGAAGTTAAGGAGCATTATTTATAGAATTTATCCTCACTGTGTATTATAGATAGACATTTAAGTTAGAGCTGCAATCTGACAATTTCTCCAATTTGGCAGGAAATTGCTAAACGACTCCCCCGCCCATCATCATCATGATTGCTGAACCTTGTAACTGAACAACTAGAGGGCGTCCAGTGTTGTGGGGACGTACTTGCCTGTATCAAATGTGTATATGTTGAATTGGTGATACCTGTAATCTTTCCTCTATTTTATGATTTGTATTTGAAACTGTTCAAGCTATAAGATTATGAATCACTTTTATTGTGTTGATCATAAAATTCTGTTGATCATAAACACACATCATCTTTATAAGACTAAGGGAGTCATTTATCTGAATCCCATGATATGGTTTATTATTGAAGTTGTTACTGTTTTAGGTCATGTTTCATGTTAAACTCTACCTTCTTATATTACCAAAATTTCTCCCACAGAGAATTGTTAGCTTTTGACAAAGAGTCTGACACTGAGGTTGAAATTCCTTGTTCAGAAAACCACAATTTTAAATGCTGTTAGAAAAACAATTGAAGGGACATTAGGCATCATGTCATGTGGTTGCTTAGCTTCTGATAATGGAGGCTGCTCTCCTTTGCTACCATACAGCCTTGTACAGAGATCTTCTGTACAGAGATCTTATGCAATTCTTCCATACGTTTCATTTGCACCTGGTTAGCATCCTCTCTGGGTGAAGTGGTGATGAATTAATGATGCTAACTTTTCCTCTTTGATTGTAGCTTATTAGTCAGCATTCACACTTTGCCCTAAAAAACTTGCTGCTAAAATTGCACCCGTAAGAATTGAACCAAGTACTCAGGGAGACTGTCTTATTTAATCTCATCCATGGTGCAAAACCAGATTATTGTTGCTAAAAGCCTATTACCCAACTTAATGGTAGGGCGTGTGAATTGTAATTATTGAGTTTTATTGTGGCAAACTAAATGGAGTCATGAGCTTGAGCCATGGAAAGTCTCTTTGCCGACTGGGCGCTTTGTGCACTGGGGAGCGTTTATTTTGTAGGATGGAGTACTGAATATTGAGTTGAAAAGTAGAAACATACTGGGTGTATGCGACTTTTACCCTTGTCTAGAGGATTTTGTCTCTATAATGTCTATGAGACCATTTTGTGGTGTTGAACAATAACCCACCATCATCTCTTCTGATTCCCAATAGCATTCACTAGTCGAGAATCTGCGAGTCTGTGTGGTTGGATTTCCTTGTATGCTTAGAGAATGTCGAGCCCTTTTCATTTGCTGCTGGCACCACCTCTATGTTGTGACAGTTTATTAAATGTCGTTTTCTTGCTGCACTCTCTCTCTCTCTCTCTTTTTGTAGGTACGGAAATGCTTAAAATGCTGTTTAAATTCCTAGTTTCCTACACTATTGAAATAATTGAACTATTTATCTAACACATTTTTGTTCACTATTGAGCAAATTGAAATTCTTCAACAGGTATAATTTTTTTCTTAGTCTGGAGGGTAAGATTTAGACAGTCCATTAGAGGAAGTTCCACTTTCAACATGGTGAAGCAAATGCAATAGTAGAACATGAAGTTCTTTCTGCATTTCCTTGAAGTAATATCTGTCTAGGTCCAACCCTTGGATAGGATTTGCATGGATGTTCATTGGTACTGAAAGGCTGGTCCTTTTATTTTAATCAAGTGGGGTATAAGGGCATGACAGAATTAAGTGGAGTCGAGCAATTGCTAGCTTCTGACAAATCAAGATGTGAGACTCGATGGGCTAGTTAATGAACTTTGAGGAAGTACTACTGTTTTAGCTAAGGGAAACACAGTATCAGAAGGAGATAGCATTTTGAAGGCGGGTTTTGGATAGTGATTTTGCGGCGATGAAATATGCTATTAGATTGATGATAAGTAAGATATAATGTGTTGGGGGGGGGCCAGCTATTACTTGTGCTAGGAAACATCACATATTTTATCAACTGCATTCATAAAAATCTGAGAATATTAGGGGGGCCATGCTTGTTTGAACATCCTCTAATCTATTGCTGTGCATCACTACTGTTGTTTATAGTTGCTGAAGTACAGATTTTCCTATTTTGGATACTTCAAAAGAGTTATAGAATGGTTTGGATAGTGATATACGGTTAGATAAACAACCATTAATCCCCTATTTAGAACCATATGAACATGTTTCAATTAGCACTCAGACTGTCTGCCATGTTCAATCCATTTGGTGATGACATCTACACAGTATTAAGATAATAATAATAATAGTAATAGTAAATGTTGTATTTGGCAATAGTACTTTAAATAGCTTTAAGCTTTTTGACCTGTCAAAACGTTAAATGCTATTTTTTGTAGGGTTTATTAACATAGCGTTTTGAACTAGCTTTTAGAGATTAAGAGAGCCTTTTATAAAAGGTTAACCTCTGTAACGTTTAACCTCTAACATTTTATGAAAAGCTACTAAAACAACTGTTACTAACTACTCAAATAACTAAAATAGCTAATAACTACCAAAACAATTAATTTAATTGATTCATTTTCATTTTAATTGATAGAAGAAAATGTTGAAATTTTATTATTGATCTTCCACATTCATATTATGGCTTGGTATATTTGATAAATCTTTCTGATCTGACAGTTGCGTCTCTTGTTGCAAAATTATTGTGCCATTGTCAATTCAGTAGTCCAAACTACTTCTAATCAAGTTTGAAAAGTGTGTTAACTTTTTCAATAGAGTTAAACACATACTTACGTGGGTAATCAAGTAGTAATTTCCTTTTCTTTTCACCTTAATTGATTTTCAAGAATAGAAAGCGGCAATTATGTAAAACCAATTATGGTGTTTAGATATGATTTTATTATTATATAATTAGTGTTTATGGTCTGTTTAAGATTTTGAGAATCATGACTGCGATTTTGCCAATTTATGCTGAACTATTTCATCCTTCGTCCACTGATCACTAAATCGGCTTAGCCGAGACCAAAGTCGGATACATCAATTTTCGATTTTCATTCCACCCTATTCATAATAAGTCCGCACTAATGTTTAGAATGGACAATTTCCTTCGACGTGGTTCTCTGTCTTTCTCTTTTTCGTTTAGCACCTCTGAACTCTATAGGCAGTAATTAATTTTATTTTTTCAAAAAATAAAACCTATGTATTGTAGTTTAATAATAGCTACATCTCGTGAATCAATAGTCAATAATAGTAGTAAGGGATATTGAGCTCAAAGTTCAAATCATTCATCAATAAAGAAGGATGACCTAACTTCCATGCCATAGTCTAGTCTCATTAGGCTTCTCATTGAAGGGGAAAAAAGCTACTTATAGTTTCTCGACTTTTTGCAGTTCTCTTTCTCGATGGGGGTAAGGGTAGGGATATAACTCAGTAGTAGAGTCTCACATTGATTTGGTGGAAATTTCTAGTTCGAGCCTAATTCGGACTTTTTGACATTTCGATTTGTTATTAAATTTTGCCAAGGCAATCAATCTTGTTAAACGCTTAAGTCTTTTTCTTAATTACCTTTCAAAAGAAAAAATCTTTTTCTTAATTAGGCAGATGGATCAATCCAATTTCTCACTTAGTCACATTGTGAGATTGCATGTGATCATGTGGGCTCTAAAGCTTTGATACTGAGTTTTCTTAAAAGATATAACTAAAACCGAATCTATATAGTAATATTTATATTTGAACTTGTTTGACAAACACGTGTGAAAGAAAAGGCTTAAGCTTTCTTTGATAATGGCAAAAATGGCAGCTTGGTTACCAATTTTAAGGCTATATATTGGCATATGTTTCCTTGAAAATGGCAAAAATGGCAGCTTTGGTACCAATTGAACATGCACTGAATATTTGTAGGTGGGTTCTAAAAAAAGGCAAAATCAAGTAGTTTGCAGTGCACTTGATATGGTGACCCATAACTAATTTAGCTTTTTTTTTTTTTTTTTTTTTTTTTTTTTTTTTTTTTTTTTTTTTTATTTTTTTTTTCCGGATGCAATACCTTTTTTTTTTTTTTTTTTTTTTTTTTTTTTTTTTTTTTCCGGTGCAATACCTGATTTACCAGATACAATTGATTCGTCACTGTCTCTTATGAATAAACCAAAATATCCTTATGATTTACTTCCGTCAGAATATGAGGTTCTTTCGTCTAATTTTTGCATCTTTTCTATTAAATATTTTATAAAACGATGAAAATACCTCTTTTATTTTTAAAAACACAGGGACAGATTCACTGTATTTTTCAGACCATATGAATTGCACTGTAATTTTTGTGGTATAATAGTTTAATATCTCCTTTTTAACTTCTGTATTTTTTTTATTGATTTAATGAAAAAATATAAAAATTGAACAAAATGATCTACTGATATAACGGAATCAAAATATAAAAATAAATTAATATATTTAAAAAAAAAGATAACAACGAAATAAATAAATCATAAAAATCGTATTATAATTTTCGTTTGTCGTCTCACTTTGTTTTTATAGAAAAAATAGTGTGGAAATGTTGAAATGTTTGAGCAATTATATTTGGAGATTTTGATGGGACTAACCAACCTCCGAGGGGACAAACCCACCTGAAGTTGAAAAATAATTGTTATCTATTTTTGGCAACAGTGCTTAATCCTTAAGCAACTTGGACTTGTTGTTTTGGTGTCTCTTACTTTGATAGCATCTCACTCTTTATAAAACCCAATCTTTTGACTGTAGTTGGTGTGATCTCCAACTAACTCTTTGGACAAACAACAGGGAGTAAGTAATATTTTGGTCTGACCCAAAAAGCAAATTCAACCCATTCCATTCCATTCCGGTTCAATCAATTTTTTTAAATTTCGGTTAAGTATCAATTTGATAAGTGATAACTATTCAATTTTCAATTCAATTCGATTTTAAGACTGTATGAGCAAAGATGCTGAAGAGTATAAGTTAAATTTGACAACAGTCTCCATTATTTAGTGATGTAGACAAAGTTAATTAGATTATGACAAGCTTGAAATTTGAATTGCAATTGCATCAATATTTGAGTAGCTTAATTTTGTTTTTGAATTCCCATTTAACCTAACTTGTGGGGCAGATGCTCTTGGGCATGTGTCTTAGCTACCCATATTATAATGAACCCTATCTTATCTTTTATTAGACATCCATCATTTCTATAGTCACATCCATCATCTATTGGCCCTTTTCTATGTTTTTTTTTTTTTTTTTGACCAAAAATCTCACATTTCTGGCAAAATTTTGGTGGACCATTTTGCAAATGTATAGTATTAGTTCGCTGAACTTGGAAAAAAAAAAAAAAAAATACCAAAAAATCTGCACCATATATTCTGGCAAAAATTTTGCGTTGGACCATTTTTGCAAATGTATTCTAGTTCATTAGTTCGCTGAAGCTGGAAAAAAA